TATTTCCTTATAATAATTTATACTTTAATAATATTGTTTTTTGATGAAATAAATATTAAATTAAAAACCTACGTGTGGTAGTTATTTGTATATCAGATTCCGTGTTTAGAGCATAAAACAAGATGAATTCATGCCACCAAGATAGACTCAGATACAGATGACTCATACTTTACTTTTTGATTTCTGCTCAAAAGCCCTTCTAAAGTCCAAAAACACAGTAAAAACAAAACTATTGCCGTCGACAGCCTCAACAAATTCATCACATATACTAACCATCACAGTCTCGCAAGAATGTCCCGTCCGAAATCCCGATTGATTTAAATTGTTTTCGTCACAATCACTTCCAAATAACAAAATTCAGGGCTATCTATAAAAATAAATCACAGTTTAGAATAAAATTGATGGAGTTTAGATATACGCACCAACTAGGATCAGGAACGGGATTAACTTAATGTTAAATTGAATAGGAACAAACCTAGTGTCTAACTGCAGACGTCAGCCATTAAACAGCTTACATAGAAAAACTTCCGGTAACAATTTTAAAAACAATCAGATGAATCAGAAAACTGTTGGCTAGCTATATAAATGAAACAGGATCTAAACTATATCTGACTATGCCCCCTACAGCAATAACTCTTGAACCTGTTATCGCTTATGTGGAGCAATATACTTGAGGTAAAGCTGAGTGCTCTGTCCAGTAGGAGTGACAATGAGCAGTTGAGGCCAAAGTGCTGTGATCTTTCACTTCAAGAGATAGAACGTTGAGCGATTCTCTGGTAACTTGTTTGGGTGCCTGTCCATAGATATATCAAAAGAGAAACTAACCGCATACCCAAATCTGATATTTTCCTCCGCCCTCCGCCCTTCGCGGCGGCCGTTATATTAGAAGTTTGTGTTCGATTCCATGTTAACAAAAATACTCGTCGACCGATTTCGCAGCTGCAAACTCGATTAGAAGTAAATTCGGGAGGGGTTAATCGATGAGCGTTTCGTTAACCCGCCAAACTAATTTAAACTCGGATTGAAATTCGTCGGGCATCCGATTCAGCCCCCACCCGAATGGTTCTCGTTAGATTTTTTTGAAAGTCGAAGCTGGCCACGCTCGGCCTCAAAAATAATTCGATTTCGATGTAGAAGTTCCAAATCCAATTTGCGGCAGGTAGTTTGCAATACCACTTAGTAATGGCTCAGATATCGATAACCGCGGGCACCGGATTTAATTAGAGATCCCCGTTATTATTGTACATCGTTCTGCCAGCCGAACCCCGCGGGCGGGACAGGCAGGGTTTGCTCTCCCCAAGAGCCCTACCCTGTCGATATAAGTTATAACTGGCGTAACGGACTCGAAATTGAATTCTGTGCCGCTCGTTTTGACAAGTGTGATTAATTCGTTCAATTACTGGGGATAAAATTTTTTCAAGGAAACAATAGCTCTTTTCACAAAACTTCTGGATTCCTCCTGAGTGGGTTTTTGCTAACCTTTCGCCAACCAACTGAAACTGGCTCGCATTTTACTCTTTACCTGCTGTACGAGAGCAGCGCCAAAATTTCCAGGCCTGAATATGAAAGAAACAAGGTAGAGTAACAATTTTTTATTATTTTTCAATATAATACCCCTTAACTTCAATACAATTATTACTTCTCTTTATTAACAACTCAATCCCCTTGAAAAAACACTCTAAAATGGCAGCTTGTGCAACACCGGCAGTATGGACAGGTGCATTATCGTGCAAAAGACGCACGCCTCTGGTCAGATTTCCTCGACGACACGTATGCAGTCTCGCAATTTATGTAATAATGTAGGGTGATATTTACCATTGACAGTGGCATTGGTTTCTTTAAAATCTATCGAAAGAATTCCTTCACAATCCCAAAAGATCGTGGCCATCACCTTTTTTGTTGACTGGTAGACTCTGAATTTTCTTGGAGGTGCTTCACCCTTACGACGCCACTCCATTGATTCTTTTTTCGATAGAGGGTCTTAATAGAGAACCATAGTTTCATCTCCTGTCACAATAGTTTCTGTCACAGGCTTCGCTTCCGACCTACAGAGTTCCAAAAATGACCAGTCAACACGGCATTGTTTTGGAATAGCCAAAAGGTTTTTGCACTAATCATACCTAAATGATCATGCAGGATTCGATGAACACTTGTATCAGAAAGCTTAGTAATTCCTGAGATTTCCTTGACCTTTAACCGTCGATCACTCAATACCACCTCTTCCAACAAAATCTTCCGTTATGACCTCTACTGGTCGACCAGTTCTTGAATCATCTTCAAGGGACTCCTGCCCCATTCGAAAACGTTTTGCCCATTCTTTCACTACAGAATACGAAGAAGAACTTTGACCGTACACACCATCCAGCCTTTCATTAAGTTTTATCGTGATACTTTAGGTGCATCTATGTCAGGCCGGGAAATTTTGGCGCTAACCTCGTATATTGTTTGAGAGACTGATTCACCTATTGGTGACAGGTGAAGACCTGAGTCGCGGTTAAGATTGTTAGGTTGTTTATAGATTTCTATAAACACTTGGATTTTTCGTTGGTAGAAGAATTGACTACACACAAGAATTTTAGTTTTATAGAATAACATTTTGTTTCGTGTTCGGCAACTGCCGATGAGTTTGAGTTTATTTGTCTTAGTCGTAAGCCTCTTTCGTGTTCTTTAAGCGTAGTTGGTATTTTTCGTCCAGTCTTTCCAACGTTTTCTTTGCCGCATATGCATGGAATGCTGCAAACTCCTCGCGTGGAATTTTGTCTTCTATGGATCGAAGATGTTGAGAGATTTTTGGACAAGTGGTAAATCTGGTTTTGACGTTATACTTCTTTAGAACTTTTGATATGTGGAATGTAAGGAAGGACCACAGTGGCAAGGGTACGTTTGCTTTCGGCCTAATTGCTATTGGAAGGTTGTGGTGAAGTGTATTTTTTATGGAACGCTTGGACATGGACATGGACAATGCATAGATCCGGGAAGAAATTATGAATATACTTGCACTATCACCTTTTTGAAACCTATACATCGGTAGATCGTCGGCTATACTACACATTTCGTACTGGGCGCCGGCAAAAAACTTGCATTTATTCGCGAAAGTTCTGCCGTGGTCGACGAAAACGCTTTTTTTTCCCGTGCAATTTTACGTAGCAAACGAGGAAACTGTCTACTTCGACGTTTTAACGCTTCCTTTCGCAAGTTTCGGCGAAAGGAAATGTTCAAGCGGGGAAACTTTCCTCGCGACCATTGCCGACTCTATCTTTTGGCACACGTGATCCCCTTTCTCCGAATAAGTTAGTCCGGGAAACTTCCGGACCACGCCCTCCCGCGAACAACGCGAAAACAACTTCCAACTTGTAAATTCGCCTCGTAATTAGTAGGCATTATTGTTATTTGCCGCCGTACGGATCGAGTTTTCGTACCGGATCACGGGATTGAATTAATTTGTGTTTTCCAAGCTCGCCGGAATATTTTCCGAATCTAAATATGAATAAGTCTGACAGGGCGCGGGTCCGGGTGAGTTCAGTAGCGTAGCGCGGGATATTAAAATAAAAAATTGTACTAATTGTATTGATTAACGACGATTTCGTCAGTATGTCATTTTCTGTTAAGGACGATATATTCATAATATTTAATGTATTAGAAAGAAACAATTATACTCCAGTCACGTGATTTGTACAGTTACGTCACGTACAGTGACGTAATCAAATTTGATCCGTATGCCTAACGTATATTTTAATTTTAAGATTTTAATTAATTCGTTAGTTTAAAGTAGACACTAAATTAAAATTTTATTTTTTAATGGTATTTGCAAGGTAAACGTTAGTTATCGCGTTATAAATGGTAGAATCTACTAAAAACACGATAATAAAACGGTCATTCGCAAACAATGTCATTTACTTAGGTGCCGTGCGTTCGATTTATCTTGATAACGTTTTAATTGGCTGTAACTTTTTTGTTTGTGTGTGACGCATAAAACAAAACACTATCAATTTTCCGACATGTAAGCGTACATCATATTTTTTTAATGGAACACCCTGTATATTATATATGTGTTTAATAATATGTCTTATTCCGATTACAATAATGTAACACACTTTACATTTTAGAACACTCGTTTTTGACCCATAGTCCCGCCGTTCCACATCCCACCCTTGGGATATTCCATGTTAGGAAATTTTTTAACTTAAACAACATTGTTTGGAGGAGCACTGTCTTGCCATCCATCAACGTAGCTTACTAATATGTCAAAGAAAGACATATTTTTATTTGTCAGTCAGGGCACTCTTTGACATTATATAAAAATTTCTTATTTGTACCGATTTTTCAAAAACAAGTGGACTAAAACTACTTTTTGTGGCTGTATGTAAAATATCAATAAACGCTCTTTTATGTTCATTAATGCGTTTCTTGAAGGATCTACCCGTTTTAGGACAAGATCCGCATATCAACCTGTAGACACCGGTCCAAAATCTCAAAAATCAGGTGTCTACTGGTTGAAATGCGGATCTTGTCCTAAAATTTATATTGGACAAACAAGTAGATTCTAATTATGCTACATACTTAAACACAGAAAAACACATTTTTGACGACAATTTTGATATTTTACATACAGCCACAAAAAGTAGAAAATTAAATTTATTGGAGGCCATGGAGATTAACAAAATGAAACATTCAAATGTATTGCTTAACGAACAATTAGATTTAAATACCTCTCCTTTATTGAACTTAAATTCTCGCAACAACATTAATTAAGGTTTTATGGGCATTTTTCGGTAATATTACATGTAATACAGACACAATTGTCATGTCAAAATATATAATTTCGTGAAAATCTGAACTTTTAGTTCCTATTTATTTTGATAAATGGATTTTCATCAAGTAAAAGCCATCTCAGTTCAATCTTCCTCTGAACTACATTTCCGCGATTTACCGACGGAACGATACTGCTCCCCCGTAATTTCCAAAACGCGAATTCAAAAGTCGATATCAATTTGTTCCAGTTTGCCACCTGCTAAGGACTGGAGTGGCGGCCATCTTCGGCCCCCAATCGGCGCACACCGCGAGCCACGTGCAGTCGATATGCGACACGATGGAAATCCCCCATCTGGAAACGCGGTGGGACTACAGGCTCCGCAGGGAGAGTTGTCTCGTCAATCTGTACCCTCATCCGACTACGCTTTCTAAGGTATTCGTCAGGCTTTTATATATCGTCGTGTTCTTGTACTTCTCTCGTCTGACGCGCTCGAGCGACAAGAGAATTTGAATGTCATTCGAGAAAAGTTTCGCGGTTTTTGCGAAGCAGTAACAATGGCCGCGCTCCTCCCGGGAGACGCGCAAAGATATCGCTTACTTCCCTCGCCGTATTATTTCGACTCGGAATTTATTTTAAGCTCGGGGGGTGCGAGTTAAGCCGGCGGTTGCTCCTGGCTCGTAGCCAGGGAGCCATAATACTAAAGACCTTTTTTGGCAAAGCGTGCCATTTCGATTGATTTTGCAATAAGACGACCTGACGTGCATTTTCGAAAGAGCTTACGATGCGTCGTGTTTTTGTTTGTCTACTAGACAAGAAATGACATGAAACAAACAGAACGGTTTGTCAAATACATTTTTCATTTAATAACAATATTCACTTTTCATAAAACTTCCGGATTCCTCCTGCGACGGTTTTTGCGGAGTCGAAATTGCTGACAATTCATTATAGAGAACTTTTTCAAATATTTTCATAAGTCATTAAAACTGTAAACTGAAAGAACTACAGTATTAAAGCGTAAATGGAGATATTTCGTCCAACCCTGTGGTATTTCTTATAATTTCATGAATATATTTCAGAAATTTTTTCAGTAAACCGTTATTGAAAGAATTGCTCTGATAATATTTGTTTATTGAAGAAACTGCACAAAAAACGTATTAATTTTTTTAGGATTAATCGAACTACTTCTAAGGGTAGGGTATTTATTTGAATTAATATTATATTTTTTACAGTGTAAAATTTTTATATAGAAGAAAATCATCCCTAATCTTTCTCCGCTCCGCTTCATAAACATTCTAAAATTTTTGGGTCAACCAAGGAGCTTTTGATTCACTTATACGGGATTTTGTAACTGGATCTAACAGAAAATTATGAACTATTCTAATTTTCTCATCGATTTTGTTTTCATAGCAAATATCGTCCCACAAGTCGCGTTGAAAAGTTTCTAAAGCAACAATACCTTAAAATTTTGAATTCTGTGCGCTTTTTAAGAAAATCCAAAACGCAAAAAATTAATTTATGGTCCAAAATGCCAGAATCACTTGCAAGAAAACGCACCAATCAAGGCACCGTTAGTTGTAAGGTCTTAAAAGTTACTAACGGATTGTCAAAACAACATTAAAATCTTCAAGACAAGAAGTTTCATCCACATTGAGATGACGATTGGGATATAAATTGTCTGAACAACCTAAAGCAGTTTTCAAACGTTTCAGTCATTTTTCAACAATTTTTTGCATTCGACGCAAAATATCTGCAATCCCCATAACTGTTTGACGAATCCGAGTGTCGATTTTATGGGCCACAAAACGTCTCATATGGTCGTAAAATGTGACCGCCACGATCCTCGAATAAAAGACAACATAAACCCGGCAGTTTACAGCTCTCGGAGATATGATTTTCTTATAGAAATTCGATCGGAGGGAGCCATTTATACAGGGAACTATTGAATCGACAGAGAGAGTCGCCATGGCGACCCAAAAAATCCAAAATAGTGACACTAGTTCGGAGTTCGCGTTTATTCAGTTATTTCCGTAACACCCTGTATTAATGAAAGTTTATATTGAACGCCGCATAATTTTGACCGCAGCGCGCAGAAAAAAAAAAGATTAATTACCGCCGACGCTGGTTATTGAAATTCTCCGGGGAAATTGATAATTATAATCGAACGGGCCCTGTTAATTTGGTATGATTGATTATACGAAACTCTCGTCGCAATACGTTCCAAAATTTAAACACACATTGCACGGTTTATTTTAAAACGTAGATAAATATGGCGGCGCGTAGAACGAAATATGCGAGGATTTAAAAATTAATCGTTTTTCGGTTTATCGCGGTGTCGCATTCGGTCGAAACGAATTTACGCCTCTCATTGAAAACGGCGCTAGTGTTAAACATTCGTGACGTTTTAGGCCTACGTTGATCTAGTGAAGGCCTGGGGCTGGAAATCGTTCACGATAATCTACGAAAACAACGAAGGCCTGGTCAGGCTCCAAGAACTGTTGAAGGCCCACGGTCCGTACGAGTTTCCCATCACCGTCAGGCAACTGGGAGAAGGTAACGATTACAGGTAGGCAGCGGAAAATTCGAATTATTCAATTTATAATTGTAATGCTCTACTATAAACATTGCTTTATAACGTACAAGCTATAGTTATCAAATTATTATTAGAACGAACGTTGCAGTTGCCTATAATATGTTCTGTATAATTGCCCACAAATCTTGCTGCTTTTGGAGCTCGTAAATATCAAATTTTGATATAGGAAATGACTAGAGCATTGTCGAAAATCAGCGCTAGCGCTAAACTTGATATCTCAAGAGGACGGAGGATGCACAAATTGTCGAACACACTACTTACAATGTACGTCAATAATTCTAGCTATTTTTGTAGGTGATGCTGATTCATTGTAAATACCAACTTTTGACATAAGAGATTAGGGTTAGTGCCGAACCTAAAAAGTTTTGATATCTCGAGAGAACGCAGCATGCAGAAAGATCCGAAGAGACAACTTAAAATTTGCATCAACAAATCTGACTGGTGTTATTTAATTGTTAATATGAAATTTTTACATAGGAAATTAGTAGAGATACAGACTAATTCGACATAAGCCTAAAACATTATTTTAATAACTGTCTATTAGCTTATGAAATATGTAGTCCAGTTTCTTTGGTATTCCCGTCCGTGGGTTTGTGTCCAAAAGAAAAAAAAAGAGACATCCGCTTTAAAAATATCCACCTGTCTCTGCTGTTGGTGCAGTATAACTGTAAATATCAACTTTTGACATAAACACTGATTTTTAAATCAATAGCAACAGCAGAACTTAAGAAATTTGGATATCTCAAGAGGAGTGGGCATACCGAACTATTCGACTATACTACTTACAATTGTATAAAAGCACTTAATCTGACAAATGAAGACGCAGATCATTTTGAAGAGGCATAATTACGTAAACTTAAACTTACGAATTTTTTATACTTCAAGGAGACGGAGGATGCAAAAGTAACGAAAGAAACAACTTAACGCATTTTCTTTATTTTTATCTCACAAAAATATTGAATCCTGCGTACGTTCATGTTTCTAGTTATTTTATGCTATACCGCGGACGTTAGTCAAAAGCAGACCGCCGAAAACTACATTTATCCGAAGCGAAAAAAAAAAGAAAAACAACCGAAACAACCGATTTCGGTCGCAATTGAATTAATCTCCGACCCGGGCGAATTGAAAAGTGAATAATAAATAAGCGTCGGCGCGGGGGCAAATTGAAAAACATCCGCGCGCGTTGTTCGGAACGCGTTCATAAATCGAAACGTGGTCCGTTCCGCGTTTGTCGGTGAATTTATAGGGCGAAAGATTACGGCCCAATTACCTCGCGGTATATTTTCCCAGGCCGCTGCTGAAGCAAATCAAAAACTCGGCGGAATCCCACATAGTCCTCGACTGCTCGACTCAGAGGATTTACGACGTGTTGAAACAGGCGCAACAGATCGGCATGATGAGCGATTATCACAGCTATCTCCTGACGTCGCTGGTGAGTTATACGGGCGGCGTGTGGATGATTATTTCGTTTTATATTAACGTCAACCAAAGACTAATCATATTACAGCTACTGTTTACTGCGTCGATTGTGTATAAATCGTTTCGTCAATCATCCTGTTGACTTCTTCAGAGCTTAGCTGAACCTGTACACTATGTAAAGGAGGGATACGAACATTGTCATTGTTATGTATTCGATTCTTCCGTTATCGAAAAATCCGAGAATCTATCTATAAGCGACAATGAACTACACTACACCACCCTCAAACAATATATAAGCAGGCACAGAGTAGAAGTCAATAGAATAGAATAAACCCAAGAACACAAAACACCAAAAAAGAATCTTCCAAAGCATACAAAATGTCACCTAATATGGAGCAGAAGTATCGCCAATGACAATAACGAAAGATAAGAATACATAATAAGAACGGTCGAATTGGACTTTATGAAAACATGTCTACAAATCACAAGAACTACGGAAATTTGGCATCGAATGGGAATAGAATGCTCGACAACAAGAAGATCGCTGACAAAGAATGCCAGAACAGAGGTGGTCAAAACGAGTACTACAATGGGAACCTGCAGGGGAAGACCAAGAGGACGGCGGGCACCAAGATGCGATGCATGATAGAGATCTGAGAGTAAGGGAACGGAATGTAAGAGAACTGCGGAGGATAAAAACGGCGAACTCGTGAAGGAAAATGCCGAAGAAGAAGAAGAGAAGAATTCCAGCCAGTTTCAGTTTTGTTCTGAAGAAATCAACAGGATGACGCAAAAGATCAGCAAGTTTGATTCATCAACAATCAATGCAGGAGGAATCCAGAAAATTTGTAGATAATATTACAGTAGACAAATTAGAGTTAACTCACTTTAATAAGAAGTTTTAGGAATATGGAATATGTGTAAAATTTGGAGACGATTTGAAGTTTTAAAGACTATTCATTTTTGTGACCAATTTCGAATTAGTTCAGTATCGGTTAACTTACATAATTGGCAGTCAGGTTCTCAAGAGCCTTAATCAAGGACTTGGGCGTGACTTGGTTCAAAAATCGCATAGCACATGAATTCTGTTTTCGTGAGGATCGCTGGGTCTACTCGAATGCTATATCTTTCCGTGTTGAGAGCTAAACAAAGAAGGTGGCTTAGTCGTTAAACAGAGAGCTTCACAAAAAGAGATAGCTGCATAAATAAAACTTGTTGTTTTTGTAAATAGTGTAGTTAAATTGTAAATAATATGTTTTGACATACCAAATTGCGTAGGATGTAGAAGTAACAAAACCAACTACTTAAACTGAGTTAGAGAAAATGGTGTTATAATTATCTCAAAAAACTTTTACTGGGTTTATATTCGTTTGTGTTAAAGTGGTCACGTGGATTCTTTAGAAAGAGTGCAATACAGGTTTTTGATAGTTTATGTTTTTAAAAGTGAGGTAGTTATTATATACCATCGTTGCAGGGAGCATTTCTGTAAAGAGGCGTTTAGGGTATTGTTTGTGTGCAAGCTAGTGAATAGTATGCGCGATTGTCCCAAATAGTCCCAATGATAATATGGTTTTTTCTTGAATATACGAGGTGTGTTCAAAAAGTAAGGTGACTTTTGTCGTACTACGTTCATTCGCTCTTCGACATTTTTTTTGTTATGTTGGTACACATGTCCCTAACATATGTTCAGAGTTCTCAAATCCATAAAAGGAGGGAGGTTTGGTACTGTTGAGGAGATAAAGAAAAAATTGTTTGAAGAAATCAAGGCTATACCAGGAAGTGCTTATCAAAGGTACTTCTGGGATTGGAGAAAACGTTGGCAAAATTATATTATATCTATAAATAAATACATTTTGATAAAACTTAAAAGAGTCGCGTTACTGTTTGAACACACCTCGTATACACAAATAAATAAATTCCATCGTAAGTTGGCGTTAGCACTCTTTCGTTTTCGTACAAAGTTCGGAGAACTAGCGGTAAAGTTTGTCGTGATTAAAATTATTCCGAAGGACCTGCACGGTGTGGATCTCGAGGAGTTTAAGTACGGCGGAACGAACATAACAGCCTTTCGCTTAGTTGACCCCGAAGGGCCTGAAGTCCGCAAAATCACGAGGGACTGGAACTTGGGGATGGACGCGAAAAACAAGAAGGACTTTCCCCTAATGAACAGGGTAAGGAAAATCGTCGACACTCTGATTATTTATTTAAAAAAAAGTAAATTTCGAACATCGCACTTCCCACAAACGCACCTCAAAAACGGACACCCTGTATAACCGCGCACAAACGATTTCTTTTATGTATTTCTCCGATTGGAACGTATTTTCGTTTAACTCGATTTTGTTTACTCTTCCCTGTTGCCACCCCAAGGACAACGAAACTTTCGTTAAGGTAAGCCAAATACTCTTTAGTTTTTTACCCCGAAAGCTATACAGGGTGTCCCAAATTCGGTGACGCGCAGTTTACGCTAAATCATAATGGTAAAATTATGATTCACATACGGTGACATTTATATGAACGGATTTTTCGGACACCCTGTCTATGGACGATACAAACATTCACGTCCGCCGACTCATATCAATATCTGCCTCGGCTATTTTACAAAACGCCATTGTGTAGCACTCGTTTGTTTAGGCGGCGTCATTTGAAATGGCCGACGGCACTAGATACGAAATAAAATAACGAGCAAAATATCAAAACAAATCTTGAGCCGCATTGTTTGTTTTAACGTGCCATGTTATTTATGGTGCCGCTGCGGCGGCCATTTGGACGTCTCGTTAATACGGCATTTGAACCTAGAAAACGACACCGGTTGTCAACCCTCATAAACATTTGTAGCATCTATGCTACTGACGGCTGAAATAAATTTAGGAAAACTTTAAACAAAATAGCAAAATAATGGTTTTCAAGTAAAAGTAATTTTATTTGTTGTTGAACAATGTTACATTGTTCAGCGTCTCAGCTGCGAAATCTTGCACAATATTTTCTCAGTACGAGTTTCAAAAGTGACATTTTGTATAATGATTTTCAAATAAATTTACAAATTCTTCACGAATAGGATCACTAAGAAAAGAATTAATATTTAAATCTTGTTCATTCTTATCAACCTAATCAATGTTTAGGATTTCATAATCAGCATATTCGGTGTAATCTCATTCTCTTCACATGCCTGTTATAAAATCCCTTGCTTTTTCATTCACCAAAAAAAATACAAAATCAACTTCAATATTAACATGTATAACTTTAAAACATGTAGATCCAAGAATATCTAATTTCGTTTTGCTTTTTGGTGGATCAAAAATAAAATCAAGAGAACTCTTCAGAAATCTACTGTTCCATCAATCAAAATGTAACACTTGTCTTTGATGAGACAATTGTAAAGTATATACGATTTAAGCGTGCAATGGAATAGATTCCAAAAAAAATGATGTCACCAAATGTTCCTTTTTCTTTACTTTCTTTACTTTCCCATCAAACGAGATATTATTTTTTCACATAGTTCAGGTATTAGAGCCTAAGTTATTTGCTACATATTTCGTTTACGAACTTTTTCTCAATACTTTTTCAGTAACTTAGTAGTATAAAAAGGTGGTTCTGAGACACTTATTCTACACTCATATTCTACTTAATGCGGAAAGCAGAACCATAGCCGTTTAATCTAATTTATTTGAATTTCAAACATAATTGTGTAACCAAAGCTAACCAACAATACAAACAACGAAAAAATAAAATAAATAAAACGAAACATTTGACAAAAACTGATTTTTTATTTACCACATAGAACACAATGTCAGCTTCAATAATATTAAGCATAACTTTAAAACATGTAGATCCAACAATATTTATATCCGTTTTATTTGTGCCTTCGAAAGTTTTGCTTTTTGCTGGATCAAGAACAAAATCAAGAGAAATTGGAAGACTTTCTGAAATCTACTGATCTATCAATCAAAATGTAACATTTATCTTTGATAAGAAAGACATAATTGTAAGCTATATCCGATTGTCAAAATACAATTAAAACATGTAATGGAATAGATTCACAAAACAAAAAATAACAAATGTGATCAAAATATTTTACTTTCTTATGTATCGAAATATTTTTACGCATAAATATAGTTTAAGTTAGAGCCTAAATTATTTGCACACATTTCGCTTACGAACTTTTTCTCAATACTTTTTTGGTAAATTAGTAGTATAAAAAGGTGGTTCTGGGACACTTTTGTTAGGATGTGTCACAAACTACACTCTTATTACTAACTACGTCAGAAAAACGGATCATTGCCGTCTAATCGATTTTATCTGATTTTAATGGGTAGAATAATAAAAAAATAAAATAAATAAGACGAAACATTTGACAAGGATTGATTTTTATTTGCCACATAAAACACAATGTCAACTTCAATAATATTAACATAACTTTAAAACAAAATTTTGAAGATTTTCAGAAATTTACTATGCTACTATATACACGGAAAAATGTCCATAAAACCTTAATTACTGTTGTGAGAATTGAAGTTCAATAAAGAAGAGGTATTTAAATCTAACACTGGTTGGTAATGAAATCCTCCTTTATCAATTTTTATAATAAATATAATGATTCAAACGTTTTGGATCTATCTGTATCTGTTGGCCGATTTTTTCTATCACGATTTTTCGATATCATTTTTTTTTATATTTCAAAATTTTGTTTTTTTTTTTTTCAATTTTTTCATTCGTCAACGTTACAAAAAGTAAATATACATACAAAATGAGTTTCAGAGAGTTGAACTTAAATTCTCACAACTACATTAATTAAGATTTTATGGTCATTTCGTGCTATATATAGTAGCAGGTAGTTTGTAAATATTACATTTGATAAAGACAAGGTATTGTCGAAACAATTGTCATGGAAAAATATATAATTCAGTGGAAATCTGAACTTTTAGTTCTTATTTATTTTCATTACGTTTATCTGTAGAGGCAAACTCGTAGGCAGCTCAGAGATGATTTTGGAAATTTCCTGTTATCAAATAGTTGCTTGGTTTCTTCGACCACAAGCCGATCGCTATGCCAAGTTCTCTGCAGGATGTTTCCCTTTTATCAATATTAATCGTTTCATTTGGCAGCTACTATCATAAATATTACACTCTATACGATATTCGATCCTCCTAGCTCAATTCAGGTGTGCCGAACACCGTATAAAGACCCTGAATCGGTTCCCTCGTCCGTAGCCAAAACGTCTACCGCAAACCAAACGTTATCATTTCGCAGGCGGAGACGGCCCTGATGTACGACGCGGTTCATTTGTTTGCCAAGGCCCTCCACGACCTGGACACTAGCCAGCAGATCGACATCAAGCCGCTCAGCTGCGACGCAGTCGACTTTTGGCCTCACGGATACAGCCTCATTAACTACATGAAAGTGGTGAGTGGATTGATTAATCGCTGCTTCGGTTCGGTAGCGGCGTATGACGACGCGAGTTGCCGAACAAAAGGCCGGACGTGATCGGAATTTTGCGCGATTACGTGGGGCGTCGATGCTTTCAGGTCGAGATGCGTGGTCTGACCGGCATCATCAAATTCGATCACCAAGGGTTCAGGAGCGATTTCGTCCTCGACATCATCGAGCTGACCAGAGAGGGCCTGAAGAAGATCGGGACTTGGAATTCGTCGGAGGGAGTCAACTTCACCAGGACGTACGGCGAGGCCTACACCCAAATCGTCGAGATCATCCAGAATAAGACGTTCGTCGTAACTACGATTCTGGTGAGTCTTATTTGGGAGTGGTCTCCGTCTGTCTTGTGCTAATTTACACAATATTGACAATTAAATCTGTTATTAAGGTTTCTTCTGTATCAGATTCCGTGAAAAAATCTGTTACCCCCCCCCCCCCCGGACTCTAACATTCATAATCTCTACGGACTCTCAAATAAACAAATAAAGCTCCTTTGTATGACCGCATAATCCGGATACGAAGATGCAGGATCTATGAAATTTAATTCCCCGATACTGACTACTGAGGTATGGTTCAATGTTTTATAGAAAAAGAAACTTGCTTCTTTTAGCTTACCTGCTATATACATTTTAGCGTGGAATTTACTAATCGTAATTTCATTACACCAAAATAAAGGCTTGTCATATCTTGTTATATTTTTAAATTCTATTTTGGAACTGTCTATTTTGATATTTGCATTGTCCAAAAAGAATGGGTATGACCATATCAAAACAGCAATGCTGCTATCAGCTTAAGGCTGTGTATTGCTATTTCCTAAACAAGACCATTTAGGACACGTAGGCTTCTTGGTAGAGGCTAATTTGTGAGATACATCATGAACTAGATTTTTTTACATGGTGAATTCTTTCTGAGTCTGCCCATGGACCGTAGAAAAACCGAAATCGTTAAGCTAACATTATTTTTTGGACTTTTCGAGAGTTTCGAACACTTTTCTTTTAGTTTTGAGGCTTGAGGAGTCAGGTTTGAACCTCAAAGCTAGATTAGAAATTAACATAAGTTGCGACGTATTTGTGTATGTTGCATATATACCTTTAATTCTAGTGTTCATATAGGTTTTATACGTTATGGTTTTGGGAATATTGAAATGATCCAGTACGTTGCTCATTTGAAATAGAAAATAGTCTTGAGGAACGCCATAGATGGGTCAAATATAGTACAAATATAAATTTCAATTTGAACAAGCAATGGAATTGACTTGGATAACAAAAAATGTGACTTTCTCATTTAAGTGATTTGACAATTAAATTTAGTTTAAGATCCAAAACTTAAATTATTTACTATTCGTTCACGAAATTTTTCGGTAAATTAGTAGTTTAAAAAAGGTGGTTCCGGGACACTGCTTCTAGAGTCTCGCACATTTTCAAGTAAATCCAAAAAAAAAAAATTTTAGATTTGTATTGCCATTTTTGTTAAGTCCATAGCCTTGAGATTAAATCTCAGAAAACATACATTGGAAATACTAAATTGATTATCCTTTATTTTTTGAAAATATTTACTGGTGCGTGAATGCACCACTGGCTTTATCTGTGAAACGAAACTTTGTTATTGCAAGTCTAGACAAGTCAGCGCATGCGGAATAAACATCCAACAATTAGCGTGTTCTTTAGTACAAGTTTGGGCCTTGTGCAGTGAACGTTACAGTTCGTAAAATATGACATTTCCGACGTATTTGACTCAAAAGGAATTAGAGACGCCGATGGAGGAAATCGTGATGGATGAGGACAATAACAATGAAAGTCTTAAGTATTATTTGGATCTACGTATTCTTATGTATTATAGAATTTTCATTCTTTGTAAATTTATGCTAAAAATGACGTGAACAATTATTTACAGAATATATTGTCGCGGTCTATCTTCCACCCGACGTAGATACCTTGACTAACGAAGAAGATATGAACGATAACATAAATCTACAAGAGTTTGGGGAACTAACTGATATAGTTGGAACTTTCGAATTACATACACCGAACGATACAGCTCTCCTTCAACAGTCCTGTAATTCATCAACTACTTAACCTCAATGGGCCTCATCAGATGATAAAACCCTGGAATTCAAAAGAAAACTGCAAACGACAGGCTTGCTTCTACTGTCAAATGGAAGAAAGGTCAGATTGAGTACACTCACATATCTATATCCGATGAATTTAGATCATGTAATGTATTCTTAAGTGCAACAAAATAAATAATTTCAGAGCAAAAAAGCATTTTATTTATTTTTATGCTTGGGATAATATGGGTTAATATTCTTAACTTTCAAATTTCCCTGAAGATGAAACTGGCGTCGCGAATTCTCGGACGCTCGAGAATGCCGACCTTGCCGTTTTCGACGATACATAAATCTAAATCGACTTACTACAAACTGACAAACACCGATACATTCCGCACTGTCGACGGTACGAAGAAAAATCTCTGCATCAGCCGAACGCATTCAATTACTCACAGAGTTTTACCAACATCTCGGATGCACATTTTTAACTCGCAGACGTTTCCGGTTGCGGAGTTCGATTACGCCCCCCACCCCTTTTCCAAACAAACGACGTCATTTCCGTTTATTGTCGTAGAGCGCGCCTTACGTTATGAGAAAAGAAGCCAGCGAGAAACTGATCGGGAACGCACAGTTCGAGGGCTACGCGGTAGATCTCATTCACGAGATATCGCGCGTATTGGGTTTCAATTACACCATCAAACTTGCGCCGGACGGCCGATACGGCTCTTTGAACCGCGAAACCAACGAATGGGACGGCATGATAAGGTAAACCTGTTAGCGGTCGGACCTAAACTTTAATTTGACGAGAGCGGTTTTATCACAGGGAACTTCTGGACCAGAAAGCCGACTTGGCGATCGCCGATTTGACTATCACGTACGATCGCGAGCAGGCCGTGGACTTTACGATGCCGTTCATGAACCTCGGCATCAGCATCCTGTACCGCAAACCCATAAAACAGCCGCCTAATCTATTCTCGTTCCTGTCGCCGTTGTCGCTCGACGTGTGGATTTATATGGCCACTGCTTATTTGGGTGTCTCTGTCCTGCTCTTCATTTTGGCAAGGTACGTATCATGTGACCATCCGTTCCTTGGATATTTTACAGAGTTTTTTTCGGTAATAAAGATCGTTAATAGCTCTTTATCTTTATTGCATCTCCGATATCCTTAAGCCTATCGAAAACGTTAAAGATTTTTCCGTAGAAACCGAAACTAACCAAAACTTCCGCTTTTATTAAGTAAACTTGACTATAAAATTGGAGTTTTTCTAGCTTGTCACTTAATGGAGGGCATGAAATGACAATGTTCTAAAATTAAATGTGTAATTTAAGAATAGATCACGAAATAGAATAAAAAACAGTTGAAAGTTGCACGTCAGTTACGAACAATTGGATACCTTGCACACAAAGTATCTTTGTATAAAAGCGCAACGTTTTCAAAAAAAAAACTATAGAATTTTTATAACAGTAAGTTTGTAACACCAAAAAAAAAATTAAAAAAACATTTGAAGATTTTGAAAGGCTAAATGAATTTCCTCATTCGCATTCCGTATATTTTATTTTGTATGGAGGACCAGAACATTTTTGAACAGTTACGAAGAAACTTCACCTCTTTCAAAAATCGTATAGTTCGATTTTCTTTGCTTTTTCTTTTTGTTCTCTGCTTTAGGATGGTGGTGAACGACTTATTCAGCGTGTCACCCCGATAGCTGGTGTTATAGATGAGTTAAGTGGACTGATTTTGATTCCGAATTGTATTTCTAAATGTAAACAGAACTATACTATCTTTGATGATTGAAATTGTCGAGGTACGTAGATGCAAAGGGTTTTAACGTTTGCGCTATTAGCGTTTGTGTTCAGTGTAGAAAATTAGTTCAAGAAAAATTCAGAATCCGGCTCGAAGGACCAAATGTTTCACCAATCGCGTAACAGTGATGTAGCCTCATGCGAGGCACTTACCGCTTGGAATGTAATTGAACTCCTGTTCTTCAGAATTTTACCTAACGCAGTGGAATCTTCGCCCTCTATGGATCAGCAATTATCATTATATATTTCAATATATACGAAACGCACATAATTAAAAATGGATACTCTAGAAAACTAACTAGGCACCAAAAGCAAAGAACATTCAAAATGTTCAATATTCTCTATAAAACATATAACAGCATATCATATTTTTCATAACTTTCATACGGTGCATTATTCGCATTCGCATTTAAACATGAAATCATGTGTTCTTCGAAAAAAAATTATTTTTATTGGAGTAATTGCTCTTTTGGATTCAATAATTTTATTTAGAAAATCGTAAGTTTCGTTTCAGTGGCGATAGTGTCATGCTCAAAAAAATATGTTTTTTGGTATCTAATTTGAATTTCAAATATAAATTGCAAATAACTTAGAGTATTGGAGGTACATAAAAACGCTTTACTATAAAAATTATTTTAAATTGGACACATAATAAAGTAAATGGAACTTTTAAGGGATTTTTCATTGGAAATTTTTGTCGAAAACTACAACGAAATTCAATTTTCAGTGCTCATAGCAAAAGTATGTTTTCTATGAAGAGTATATTATGCAACAAGTATGGTGAACTGCGTGTGAATTATGAGTGTTTAATGAACGAGTGACTTAAAAAGTTGTTGTATACTATACCATTTCTTATATCGTCAGTTTTTGATTGCACTTTTGGAAAACAGCACGAATACATTCACTGAAATGACAAAAAAGACAAATTTTATAGCATATATACGGTGTTCCAAAAAATCTACGAGAATGTGATGTTACGAAAATGTGACATACTGTCGCTAAAACCGAAACTACCCAAAATTGGTATTAAAAAAATAGTATTAAAAGTTACCGCGAAAATACGGTTTCCGCTGACGAAAATCGCCCGAGAGGAGTCCGAAAATAATGCGACTTCTTTTCCCGAGTGTCTCGATGCATATTCATGGAGGAATTTGTCGAAACTATTGTGGCGGCCATGCGGCAGCCGGCGGTTTTAATGTTTACTAATTGAGGCCCTCGAAAACTGACGCGCCTGTCGGCTCTCGTCCGCTCGACATTTTACTAATTAAATTGTAGATGCGGAGCATCTGTTGCGCACCACGAAAAGTCGACTATCCGTACCAAATCGGGACGTCCTCGGAAGACCGCAACAAATGGAATCGCAAACCACGGACCAAAATAGACCAGAAAATAATATTTTCCAGAAAACAAAATGCCGAATGTAACTTTTCCCGAATCGGTAAAAAAAAGTGACTGTGAATGGAATGAAACGATGTATTTGCTGTAAGTTTCTTACACCATCAAAACCAGTTGACGTTTAGGTTTAACCCTTTCTACCACCAACTGGAATAAGAGTTTTTGGAAAACAATGCGCTTTACTAGTACTATTCCTAATACAAACACTTAAAACAACAAACAACAAACAACTATTTCTGTCAGGTATCGATCAAGGCAGAGAAAGTTCCATCAAAATGATAAAATTACTAACTAGTCCTGATCTATCTCTTCAATTAAGGACGAGGATGGTCCCATGTTATGTCTTCCTGATTCTATTTTATGGACATAAAAATAAATATTGATCTGTGAGAGCAAATACAGATAATTCACACAGAAGAGAGTTTCAGTTCTCTCCTGTATGGGACTCTTAAGTGTCATTAACGATAAATTTGTTTTAAACAATCTGCTAGCATCAATGCCTCCTTTTGAACGAAGCAATTATGAAAGTGAAGGACTTTGACTATGTGTGATCTGGGCAAGGCCTCTGGGTTCAGCTCTAAAGAAGTCTCTCTTTCTCTCAGAGTGAGGTTTCTCAAAGACGTTGAATTTGGGGCCCCTCAGAATTCAGTTTTACCATGATACAACAGCGTCTCTATGAAAAATGAAAACGAGTAAATAGAAAACACCGAGCAACTAGAAAAATCGGCAAATGTCTGGTTTGAAAAAAAGGCTTAAAACTAAACCGTGATGAAACCCAACACCTAACAATCTAATGCAATCGATGAGTAACTCATGGTAATTCAGTTATATTACTTGGTGTCGTAATTGATGACAGATTAAATTGGTCAAAACACATGAAAAAAAGCAAACTTAGTTCATGTCATTCTCTTTTTCACTCTCATTTGAACTACGGTATAATTTTGTGGGACAGATTCTCGTTGTCTTCTGTAATTTGAGAATCAGGATAATTATTTTAGTAGATTTCTTTTATAAGGAGAATTAAAGAGTACTTACTTATCTAATTTGTATTGTTCTTTCTTTTGACTAGTCCATTGTAAAACGTAGTTAATAAAATCTTGTGTCTTGTATCTTGTTAAGACAAACAAATTGCGAAATGTAAGGTAACATCGGAAACGAAATTCTGCCAATACATATGACCTTTATATCCGATCCAGTTTTCGGCGGAGCTAAGTTACTTCTTTCTGAGATTTAAAGCCGTCTGTCGATTTTCGTTACTTTCAATATAACATTTTATCATGTCTTACTTTTCAAAGTTTTCAAACATCTTTATAGCTCGACGAAACGCCACTTTTGACACTTGGGCTTGTGTATCATGGCGATTGTTTTTATCTGATCATAGCTACCTAGATAGATACCGTAAAACTGCATAAGTCAGAGTTAAGCACAAGCTACTAATTATTAATCATTAATTAAGTAGTTATTAAATATTGCAGATATCTTTTGAACTACTTAATAGTATGTCACATCGTTTGACAGGAAGTTTTATTAGAAAACTAATTTTTTTAAAAAAAAATTGGTATTCCATTTAAAAAAAATTAACTTTGTGTTTTATCTCATGAACTAAATGCTTTAAGATAAAATCAGTGAAACAGCTAGATTTGTCCTTAATAAAAATCTCTGTCTTTACAAATTATAAATTTATAGAGGGTTTTTAGCAACGCACATTTTTAAGAATCACCCTGTAGCTCACCAGCGGTTTGTCGGTCGAATCGAGCCGTAACATGCATATTAGTTTTGCGTTAACTATGCTGCAAATGCTTAAAGCCGTAGAGGCACCTCGAATTTGGACCACCCTGTACATAGCATAATTATAAAATCTTTTTTTTTTTTATTTCTGCGGCTAGCTTGTTAAAACTCACTGGAATTATATTTTTCGACGTTTTATATAAAATGTTCGACCAACTGATCTTTACGCAGAAATAACTCTGAGTTTCTCAAGAGTGGATTTTTATTTTTGAACACATACAAACCCGGAAACCTGGAAATTTACCGGTAAACTGCTTTAAAAAAGAGGCACCCATCTCCAGAGACCGTTTCCAGGTTCACCCCGTACGAGTGGCACAACCCGCACCCCTGCAACCCGAACCCCGACCACCTCGAGAACCAGTTCAGTCTGAACAACTGCATGTGGTTCGCGATCGGGTCCCTGATGCAGCAGGGCTGTGATTTCCTGCCCAAGTAAGTGCGCGGTTTGCGCTCCGCTGACGCTGTTTGGGTTGCAGGTTCAGCCCTTACGAATGGGAAAACCCGCATCCCTGCAACAGCGAACCGGACGTTCTGGAGAACCAGTTCACCCTGTTAAACTCGCTATGGTTCACCATCGGGTCCCTGATGCAGCAGGGTTCAGATATCGCGCCTAAGTAAGTCGCTGTTTTGATGTTTTGCGTGTCGAAACTAACCGGGTGAACTTGCGCTTTCCGACGGACTTCCGTTTCTAGATAATCTATTCCTAGTTCGTTGCATGCCTATAGTCTTCGTTAACCTAGCAAGTTTTATATGAAGACTGTCGCAGGAATTCCTACAATTGCTGCGTCTTCTGTCCTGTTCACCGATAGAGCTTAACCACGGATCCCTTTTCTTCTACTTCTTCTTAAAGGTTTAAGGGACAATAATAACAGGCAGTAAAATTTTAGTTGCCCGCATAGAAAAGTCAATTAGTCTCTATAAAAAGATTAGGAGTAATTCCACTGCCTTAAGTAACCAAACAGTATATGAATGGGGATCTCCTACTTTTCCGCTTTCACACAGCTCAGACGCCCTCACATTCATCGGGTACAGATGGACTGGGTAACAGCAGTGGTTGCTTCGTAATCTACACATACTCTCTACATATATTTCTTTTCTGGTGAGATTCGACCCACAAAACGAGAATGAAGCCGGAGGATCCTCGTAAAAGCTGCCGTAGAGTCTTCCATTGTAAGGGCTCATTCTTCTCCAATTTAAAGACCAGGGAATCCATAGATTGTTTTTAACAGTTCTATAAATATCAGTACAACGTGGTTTTATTTTATTTTTTAAGTGCTTTCTTAAAAATCACTTTGCACAGTGTATCCACAACCTGCGTGGTTACGACTGTCATTTTATTAATTACTCTGTTCATCTCAATAAGAAGTTTGAATTTCAAGTCAGTTTTACAAAAGGTGGCTGTCACGAACATGACCATATTCAACTGTTAAAATAGAGAAAAACAGGCTACTGTTTACAAATCTTCTGGATTCCTCCGGGTTTTCACTCTCAGTGTGGTTTGCCATTGACGTCTACTACGCATCTCTTCACCTTTTTCTTCCTAGTCGGCTACAGAATTGAGGACGTGCATGTGATTTAGCTTTATCGGTAAGCTCGATAGACGGCGAAACAAACATTAACTTCAACTTAAATTGCAAATAAAATCTTGGAGTTCCTCCAACATAACGTGTGTTGTTTTGTTTTAAAACGGCAATGTTTCTGCTCAAATCACATCTTTGACATCGATTTTCTTCTGGTTTTTGGAAGTTTTCTGTAAAGGTTTAAAATATCGGATAGTTAAATATTGTATTTTCGTGGACAAACGACAACTGTCTTCCAATAAATAGCTCGGAACTTCTTCGAAAATCTTTTTATTTAATTTATGTATTTCTCGCACTGCAAACCTGTATTAGACGTTGATTTTCTTCTTTAGCGGTCTGTCTGATATTTTAAAAATAAATAAATACGGGGCGATCAAAAATTAACGTCGAATAAATAAGTGAAGTGAAGTGGAGTAAGTCATTCTAACTTTTGTAGAAAAAGGCATTACTGAAACACAAAAAAAATTATATTTATTTATGTTACATTGATCCGAGGGTCGAGGAAAAAGTACCGCATTTTGTCGCCACTCAAAGTCTTCGAAACGTCATTGAAAGGCAAACACCGTAAAAAAATAACCGCAATAACGGCCTACGATAACTCGAAATATTTGAAAGGGTCCACAGTCCTCGAAGTTAATATTAATTTCGCTTTTGCATCGGAGCTTCAAAGGGTACCGACCGTAATTGACCGTCTAGATTTTCCGCTCCGCGGAAATACTTTCCCGTCGTTCCCTACGTTCTTTATATTTAATTAACCGAATTTCGCCGTAAGTGGGGGTGGCGGAGGACGAAGGCCCACCATTAATTTCTGGCGCTGCGGCACTGGAATAAAATTGAATCAGAGAAACTTTTAGATTGAAACTTTTTTTGCTTCCTCTTCGACCCGCCCGCCGCCGCCGCCTTTAATTGGTTAAAAGGCTTGCCAGGGGCGGGGCGCTCCGGGCAAATCTAGTACCCTTTTTTGTTTAGTTTTTAAACATATATTTTCAAATTTAATATAAATTTATTCAAAAAATAAGTTTTTACCAAAAAGCATTTTTTTTTATCAAAATTAATGTTGTCCCCTTCAAAGTGACCTCTCGCCCCCTTTTTGCCAAGGTTTTTTCCAAATCCCAGAAGCACTTCTGGTATGGCCTTGAGTTCTTCCGAGAATTTTTTATTTATTTCCTCAATTATTAAAAGCCCGCTTCCTTTGATCGGTTTTTTGCGCTTTGGGAACAGGAAAAAGTAGCAGGGGGCCATGTCTGGTAAATATGGTGGCTCGGGCATGACTGTAGTATTGTTTTTTGCCACAAAGTTAGACACGACCAATGATAGGTGAGCAGGTGCATTATCGAGATGCAAAATCCATGAGTTGTTGTCCCACAATTCCAGACGTTTTCCTCGTATTGCTTCTCGCAAACAGCGCAAAATTTCGAGGTAATACTCTTTATTGACCGTACGAGTTTGTGGTAAAAACTCTTGATATACTTCGCCACAACAATCAGGGAAAACAGTGACATTTGATCAAAATTCCATTGGGTTCTTCCATTCTACGCACATCTAACGCTCCTGTCTCACAAAAAATGGGAACGTACAAACTGGCTGAAACTGCGAACTTATGCTAAGGACATGTGTACCAACATAACAAAAAAAAATCGAATATACGTAGCTCGCCCAATAACAAAAGTCTGCTTACTTTTTGAACACACCTCGTATATTTTTCTATTGGGACTTATTGAGATATAATTAAGATGGAAAAAATTCCGTGATTACAACTAAATTATGTGAAAGTGTTAACTATGGTCAAATCTACTCTTATCTCTCTCTACAGGGTGTCGGTATATTGTGAAAAGTGGCTTTATCTAAGAAAATGTTATTTCTCACTGTGAAATAATCATCACAAAACACATCGCTTTATATTAAAAAGAAAAGCTCGTGGCATAAAATTTATATATCGAAACTCTTATTAATTCACTAATCATCAGAGACCGATTGGTTACACACATTTCAAGAAAAGTCACGATTTCAGCCAGTTTCCGACACAGCCAGCCAAATTAATTCCCTAGAGCGTTTCAGAAACCATTAGACTTTCGAGGCCCAGTCTAAATTTCTTTTTGTCTAGTTATTTCTGACATTGTTCCAATTTTTAGGGCCGTGTCGACGAGAATGGTGGCTGGAATGTGGTGGTTCTTCACTCTCATAATGATATCGTCCTACACGGCTAATCTGGCTGCTTTCCTGACGGTCGAAAGGATGGATTCGCCTATAGAGAGCGCCGAGGACTTGGCTAAGCAGACGAAAATCAAATATGGGGCCCTGAGGGGCGGCTCCACAGTTGCGTTTTTCAGGGTACGTCTATGGTATAGCCCACAATGCTCTTTCTTATATCACAAAGTGTTTGTTTATATTTTGCACCATATCTGTAGCCAAAAACTTTAAAAACTGGGTCATGTTATGTTTAAGGCAACGCAAGTTATGTTAATTTGATGAATTCTTTTCTATTTCACAATTGCCATAAGATAATAGATAAAAAAATATTTTCCATTTTTCAATAAATAAAAATAAAAGTAAATATAAACACGCTGTACACGGCGAGTCAACGATAAAGTTCCTTATCTCATGGGTTTCAAAAGTTACGAGAAAATGGTAAATACAAAAATTATTACACGGGGACCCGTCCTGATACATTTGCTTGAGCAGGACTCGAATTTCTCCACCTACCAGCGCATGTGGGCGTTCATGGAGTCCCAACGGCCCTCCGTGTTCACCTCGAGCAACCACGAAGGCGTGGAACAGGTGGTGAAGGGCAAGGGCGGTTACGCGTTCCTCATGGAGTCCACTTCTATCGAGTACGTCATCGAGAGGAACTGTGAACTGACGCAAGTCGGCGGCATGCTCGACTCCAAGGGCTACGGTATCGCCATGCCACCGAGTAAGCCTCTCCCTGACCCCACCATCAAAACACCGAATAGGAAAACAGTACCTTTAATTCTTTTTAAAATAAATAGTCAACCAACAGTGAGAGTGTCGCCTACGATATCGTAATGCGGTACTTCCATGTTTGTGGGGGCTGGGCCTTTCCTGACGCGTCCAGAACCGTCGAAGTGAGACCCGTGGCATGGGCAATAGTAGCCCCCGAAGTCGCCCTCATGGGCGATGGGAACGCACCCTGGCGGAAAATTAAATCGTTAATATTTTGATTCAGTTTCTAGGGGAATTATATTTTTCCGAATATCCAGGGTGTTTTCTAATTGAATGTTAATAACTAAGAGAGCGATTTTTGGGTCTATTGTAAAAAGAACACGCCCTAACTATTGAGTTGAGTAAAGTTTTCAAATATGAAATATAGTTTTAATTATCTGTAATACCACTTTAAATATTTTGATGAAATTTGGCAAAAATAAAAAAATTAAAATTATTCTTACAACTTCAATCATTTTCAAAGAAATTTAAGTTCTTAATTTTCTTCAATCCGATCGGAAAAAATATTTAAAACTCAAATTATGGACCATAAAATTGTCTACAAAAACGGTCCTTTTGCAAAAAGTAAATCAGCGCCTCAACTCTGATGAGGTGTCCGAAATTTCTTTCTTCCCTTTGGGAGACGGAGGGTGCAGAAGTTAGTTGAATCTACTACTCAAACAGTTTTCGATTCACTCACTTGTTTCGATTTCCAGACTTGCGTATTCATTTTCGTTACTAAACTTACCAAAACTATTTTTTCGATAAAGCTTAGGTTTTTCGAGAAAAATCCAAAAAAACGAAAACTCTGACAATAAACTTTCTTGGCACTTAATTTCTGCTGGTGCTGCATTTTTATTAATTGCTAACCAGAGGTTTAACTAATTTTTTCTTTTTTGTTTTCTTTTTTTCACTCATTTCGCAGTTAACCACGCAAAATGATTATTTGTTATTATGCCGTTGCAACTAAATGTATAGGGTGGGCCGTTCATCTTCTTCTCTTATCTCAGAAACTATAGGAAATAGGACAAAAGTCAAATACATTATTAATTATTATTACAAACCTTCAATTTATTTTAATGTTGTATATACAGGGTGTTGTATGTTGTTTATACAGGTGTCACTTTTCGTGGGCGAGTATCAACATTCTTATTTTAAATGGAACGCCTGGTATATTACTTAATTTTTGAATTCTATGTAAAATTCTATACATATTTTGTGTGTAACGTCCTATACCTAAAACTAACCGTTTCTGACATTTTAAATTTTTTATACGAAAAATGACATTTGCAGGACTTAAAATATCTGCCAATTTCTTCATTCGGAAGCATTTATTGTTTCATTTGAGTAAGTTTTGTTGTAGGCAAAGGATTTGAATAACAGATAAATAATATGCTGCTTGCGTATTATGTTTACCACAGAGGAAAAGATTGATATATTAGAAAGTTACATATCGTACAATAAAAAACGAACCCTGGAAGATCTTCGACAGAAAAATAGACGTCGTCATAGTTTCAATAATGATGAGCGATTTAATATTTTCTTGCATCTTGCAGAGACCCCTGAAGATTTAACCAGAATCTGTTAGAACTGCCAAAACCCTTTATACTACTTGTATTGCTCAAAAGGCCGGACATATTGAACAACTGTTATATAATTATTATCCTTTGTAAGCTGTTAATTTTTTATTGATCGTTCATTAACAAAAAAATTCACAAACGTTATCGCTTAAGTTGAGTTGAGATTCGCTAAAAATGAAACACCCAGTATATATTAAAAAAAATAAGGTTTGTAATACAACATTTAACTTTTGCATTTAAATTTTGGCTCCATCCATTATAGATTCTGAGATAAGGTAGTCTCCCCAGACAGACGGCCCACCTTATACGTATTTACGTATTGCAATATCAATTGCGCGGAAAATACGAAACAAAACGCACACGGAAAACGTTTTCCGACCTGAATACGGGATAATAGTGTCCCCGGCAAATATGCAAATATGGCGCCGCCGCCCGTTAAAGTAAGAGGTTTCTCCTCGAAAAGTACTTCTATGCTCGCGCGTGCATGCGAAAGCTTTTTGTAGGGACCGAAAATTTTAATAATTTTAAATCAATTTTCCGACGTCGGGCAATAAAGGAGAGGCGCCCGCGGAAACTCGGAAAAACGGAACACTTTTCCGCGCTCTGTGAAATCAAAATGTATCCGGTTCGCGTTTTCATTAGTTTGACTCTACGCCACGAATCTTGCATAAAAATTCATTCGGCTTAGTTTCCTCTTTTCCGCTATTCCTACTTCCATAACTTCAGTAGATGGAGTGCCTTACTTCTGCACCCTCCGCCAGCCCAGAGATGACCTTGACATACACAATTTCTCTTCTAACGAAAATAAAACGAGTCGTTCGTACTCAAAATGAGCTGTTTTCACAAAAATATCAAGATGCAAAAATACTCAAAATAATATGCTCAAAACGCTACACACGCAGCTGTCATCAGAAGAAATTTTTTCTCAATTCAAACTCATATAAGATTGAATCCAGTTCACTTAAAAGAACTGAAAAAAATTTAAAATAAAAAAATAAACATCTGCTCAGAATCGAAAGCGCTCTTTTTGACCTTCGCGATTTCTAATTTATCAAAAAGTTGAAGTAGCTTTTTTACTCTTTAGTCCTAATTTCGTCATCTCGCGAGAAACAGTTTCTACATCAGATCCAGGATCTAAATTCCAGTAGTAGACTCTCTCTTTTACTTCCCCCAGGTTTTCGTTACTATAACAGATGGCGACACAAGCACAATTACCGATTTCTAACTAAATAAAGTTTTAACCTAAGTTTGTTTATAAAACTCAGGTCCAGTGCTGCTATCTGTAACTTATATGAGGTATCTTTAGTTGGAATTCCTAATCTCCAGATCTCTCACTGTAGGCAGAGGATGTGAAAGTGAGTATATCTACTACTACTACTACTACTCAATCAATTTGTTTTTAGAAATTCTGCCCCCACACTTACACTCTCATCCCTCATCTCATTTCCAGTGGTACGGTTCTCTCATACCTTTATCTTCCTTCAGCTCACCGTTACTAAAGCGCATGAAGAACTCTTTGATAAGTGACAGGTGGCGGTACAAACGATATTACCGACTTCTAACTAACCAGAGTATTAACCTAAGACCACCCACAAATGGCAGCACAGGTCAAAGAATTCATATCCCCAACTCAAAGCACAGGTCTTGTGTTGCTATCATTTGAATATCATCTGCCCCCCGCAACTCAATATGAGAACTGGGTTTTTTGGGATGCAATGCAAAGGAAAGGTAGAGGTCTAAGTGTTACCCAAGTGGGTGCATATTCCCAAAACGACGAGCCACTTGGGATCCTTGACACGTTTTTCGTCGGTCTGGGGATCCCTTAGGGCCGACAGGGGGACCGCCCTCGCTTGCCTGATGACGCGCTCCGGCCTGTGCCAGACAAAGAGCGGCTTGCCTCTCCACTTGAAAGTGGCGTTTTTGTCTTCGGGTATGTCCGAGAGTTTGATTTCGATCTGGGCCTCGGCAAGCACGTTAGCTGCCGGCATGAAGACCATCGCGTCCCTGAAAAACAAATTGGAAAAACTGCAAACTTTTTTTGATTCACTAAATATGGACTACCGTGGGAATTTTTCTAAATTGACGAAAAAATATCTTTATTCCGATCACTTTTATTGACTATCTCGTTTATTTTTTAAGACAGACAGTTGCGGTTTACGCGGCACTTTGCTACTTTTTTGTGAAACTAAAAATGCCGTCAACAAACTTATCATCGCCCTCTTGGTGTTTTGTAGAACTATCGATTTGGGGACCATCCTAGTAGTTGTCTTACAAGATTTTTTCATTAAAATCCAGTGGCATTTGAATAAATTCTCTAATCGTTTATTAGTTATAAAGCATATATATTTTTAAATGGAACGCCCTGTATATTATTTTTTACATTTATTGGAAATCATTTAAGCTTTTCAGAAACATATATGCGTATAAAGGTGATTTTGAAATTATGCTCAAAATTCAATTATTTTAATGTGTTTTATATGTTATGAAATGCTATTTGCCATGATTTTCAACTTATTATAGTCCATCCTTGCATTAATTAATACTAAAGAACATTAGTCTCCTTCATAGAGCGTTTTATATACTTTACTTTGCATATATCCTCATGAAAAGAACTCCAAAACTGAAAGATCCGGATATCGTAGAGGCCATCTTACAGGTCTGTTGGTACTTACCTACTTTTGAGGGAAGTGGTCATGTAAAAATGGTCTTAAAAGTCAAGAGTTATGACTTGAGGCGTCATCTGGAATGAATTCCTTCTTCATAATATAATAATAGTAATATAATTCCGTAGCTTCTTGGGCATTTTCATTGCATTGTATGAAACATACCAATATATCATATTTTTCAGAATTTTTATACACTCCCGTTATCATAGGAAATTAATTCAAAAGACCAAATGGATAGGTAAAAAATATAATTAAAAACTGACAGACTCGTAAATTTTTAACGCATTTGCTTATTTTGTTTTGAGTCATAGGTAACTATCTACTGAACATTACTATTTTTAAAAATTATATTCTCATCCTGTTTCTTGGAAATTAAGTAATTAAGTAACGAGCCCTTTGCTGCTTCTAAGTTGATTTAGTTGATTTACTGTGGTCTAGTGTTAAAAATAAATTAAAAAATGAGCTTAATTTTTAAAAAACTTTATACTAACACATATTTTTCGAAAAGCTTAAATGGTTTCCAACTAACGTAAAAACTAATATATAATGTGTTTTCGCCTGGTCCATATTTAAAGAACTTACTCTACATTAATGTGTTTCATTAATTTAAGAAGAATCAAGAATGACGTCAAAAATTAAAATAAAACAACCCGGTACCTTATAAGTTCACCTTTGATGGCGTAGAGGCTGACCGTAGTCAGCGTAGCTGAGATAGCGTAGCTGAGCAGCTTCCTGGAGTCCTCGGTAGTCGACGACTTGACCGTCGGATCTTTAGCGCTGTTCCTCCGGTATTCGGAAAAATCCGGACACTTTATATCTGTGTGGGCCTGTCGTTGGAATACGCTTACGGTCCGGTAGAAGTTACGGCTTCCCAGCCGAAGTAACATGGCGTTTGGGACTGACAGGCGCGTCTAGCTGACGTGTGATCTGAAATAGACAGTGATGCCCCAAACCGACAACACAAATTTTACCGACAGGAAGAACTGTTTCAAGACACTAGGCGATTTGGTGTTGTTTAGTTAATCGTCAGTTTTTTGGATTTGTACGATTTTTTGATTTTTTTTTGAACAGTCCAAAAAACCAAATATCTTACACCCTTACAAAACAAAGGAGCAACAAAGGAATGTCAAAATTACTGGAATATAAGTGCAACTATTGGAGGACTTTACGAAAAGAAGACTAGGGAACTAAAAGAACACATTTAATTTTCATTGACTTTTAGTTCCCCTCAAATATCTCTTCAGAGTTCTGGAAACTTATGCACAGCTTTAGAGACATGAATAAGAATGGGTAGAAGATTATCTGGGGTCGCTAAACCAATAAAAAGTCAGAAACAAAGCTGCTGTCTATCGCCAACTTTGTTTAACATGTTTGTATATCTAAACGAAATTGCAAATGGCTGGCAGAATATGACATAAAATATATAATAGAAAAATTAACGAAATTTGCTTGAAAAGAAAAAAGAAAGAATACCAGAAATTAATACGTTCTGGCAAGACAAATTGTAATTTTAATTATATGTAATTATTATTACGTTATGTAATATATGTAATTAAATAACATAACAATTATATAAGTTAAACTTGACCTGAAAGCTTTATTCCACATGTAAATTGTTTATATTGGCGTGTTTAAAATTTCAAATAACATTGTTGTAAGAAACGGGTCTGCAGTATATTCTCAATTATTTACAAACTCATATGAGAATAAAAGTAAATACAAAAAACTTTATGGTTGCTATATAAGAAAGAAAGAAAAAAAAATAAAAGAACTGAGAAAATAACTGCGTTTTTGCAAACAAAGCGTAAGTTTAAATTTAAAAACCCACAAGTTTCATATGAGTTAAGCAATAAAAAAAGTAATTGTTTGGATTCCCGTATTTAAAATTTTAAATAAAATTATTTTAAAAGACGGGTCTTCAGTATGCTGTCAATATTTCACAAAGCTACCAACTGAACAGATTAGGCATAGATTATAAAAAAACACTTTAAAATCTAATTCAACAGCCAGTATTAGTTTTCAAGTGGTATTGAGAAAAAAAAAAGAAAGAAGTAAAATAGAAAGATTAGAAAGAAATTAATAATACGTTCTTGCAAATAAAACGTACTTTTCATTATATGTAATTATATTCAGTTATAAAATATATGAAACAATATAACATTTATATGCGTTAAGTATGATGAAAGAAGTAAATAAAAATACTTAATGTTTGTTATTGTAGCGTATCTAAAACATAACATTGTTTTATGAAGACTATATTCCTAATTTGTATTTGCGTATTCCTGATTTGTGTTTATATTTTGAGGTTATGTTCGTCTGAACCCCCTTTATGTATCTATCTCAAGCGATTAGGTATAACATGATTATTCAATGTTGTTCAATGGTCACCAAAGCTACAATTTCAATGAACTCCTAATTGATTTATAAAGTCTTATTTGCACTATTCTCTATAGTCCAAACCAACAAGAATTCGGAGATCTTTTTCCTTACTGTAAAACTAGATTGACCTCATATGATGACCTCATTTAAATATTAAGAGAGATTGAAGTTTTCGCAGCATAAACAGTGCGGATGACAATGTGATTTACAGAGGGAGTCAATATGAACAGATCAAGATGAAATAGATAATAATATATGTAAATTCCCAAAAACCTTATAGTACGCCTCCTTAGACTACTAACAAAAATGTTTAATTACATCAATTAATTGATTATTGATGGTAACGCTCGCCCTAACTTCACAGATTCGCCGTTCAGGACGGCGATCAGCGGGGCGATCCTCAAACTCCAAGAGGAAGGCAAACTGCACATCCTCAAAACGCGCTGGTGGAAGGAGAAGCGGGGGGGAGGAGCTTGTCGGGTATTTGGGTACGCGCGTGCGCGGTTGCGCCACTGAGCCGTTAAATTTTAGGACGACACGACTAAAACGAGCAGTACGGCCAATGAGCTTGGCCTAGCGAACGTGGGGGGCGTGTTCGTCGTGCTGATGGGAGGGATGGGCGTGGCCTGCGTCATAGCCGTCTGCGAGTTTGTGTGGAAGTCGCGCAAGGTCGCCGTCGAAGAAAGGGTGAGCGGTATACTGCACGCCACGTAACTACCGTAAGGGCGCATATAGTATGCTATGAGTACTGTATACTATAGTGTAGTATACTGTAAAAAGACTGATTCACGTCACGTGTCCTATTAGGTGTTTCAAATTCAACTGCGAAAACTCTTAAGGGCTGATTCCTTGCTTAAAATAAATGCTAATTTGTTATACAGGGTGTTTAAAAAAACAAGCGGCAATACCTAATAAAAATATGATTTTGTTTATTTGTTTGAAAATTGCGTCAACTAAGATTCTTCTTCTTTTTGAAGAAAAAAACAACCGTTTTGACAATTTCAATAAATTTTACATACAAGTGAACAGAATAAAATAATAATAATACGAAAAGCATACCAAAAGTTTTTAACATTTTGCTGTGTTTATTATCTCTAGTTGAGCTGAGTTAAAATTTATTTTGTCTATAATTTCTTAAAAAAAGAAGCAACAGTTAAACCTTTTTTGTTATTTGTTATACAAAATTACCGTGTATATTGCTAAACCCGTCGGTATTTCAGAGAATAAAGTTTCAAATATTTACGTAAAAAAGATTTCTGAATAATACGTTCCAAGAAAAAAATAATTTTCTTCATTATTCCGATAAAAACTTAGCTTCAAATAAATTTTTATTACTACAACACAGGTGCCAGTAGAAAGTTAAAACTGCGGACAAGGCTTAGGGAGGAATCTAACAGATTCTCTTAATATCCCAAGAGCAAATTAAATTCTCTTTCGATGATGTACCATGTCTCTATACCTAGTCGTTGTGGGATTGGCCAGCAAGATCGCCCGATATAACGCCATTAGATCTATGAAGTTGCTTTAAAATCGCGCAAATATTTGTAATAGATCCATCTATGTAGTAGATAATATACAGGGTGTTATGTTATAAGAAATGCACCTTTCACATTTTTTGTATCTCGTAGACAAATCATAAGTTTTGACCATAAGCTAATAATTAAAGTTAAATATTAGCGGATTCGAAAATGCATTAGTAAACAGTCAAAGCAAAATCTCAATGTGGATGCTACTTTTTCGAAAAATTTCCGGAACATTCCAATTTACTGTTAGCCTTAAACGTCTAAGTAAGCTTCAACCTTGAAACACCCTATATATCAAAAATGACCCAGGTTTTGCTCAAAATAACGAAAGGGTTTTTCCAATATCGTCTGCTGCGAGTTGAATTCGCAACGCTGCAAGTGCGTAAACATTTGAAAAAGAAATTCTAATGGGACGCGCGACATAAATCACCCTTTATAGACGGGGTTTTGAAATTAGCGCACCATTTGTTTTACGGCATATTCTAAAAACTTCAGGATGTATAAATTCTAATTTTCAAACCACTCTGAACGTATTGTACGCCGTTATGAAGCGGGAAATCAGGGTTTCCGATGTGAAATACTTTGTAAAAAAATTGCACAGACCGCTGTAATACTATTTACAAATGTTCCCGGATGACTGATATGTCATCATCATCTTCTTCCTCTTGGTGCTCTTCCTCAGCCCTTTCTTGCTTGTTGTAATATGCTTCCTCTGTCAAGTCTGCTGTTTTAGGCAAATCCGGATCTATCACCATAAAATCTTGCAACTCGTCAGTTGTAAACGTAATTGTTGTTTGAAACTGCTTTATCCACTTATCTTCCAAGTCCTGTTCGCATTCTGTCTTGGTAATAAGTCCTACATGACGATGGGAGTGTTGAATTGTGAGTGTTAAACAGAGTGGATTAATACATAGCTTTGTATGGAGACAGCAACAGCTGATGAGTTTATTTTTCGTAGTCTTAAGACACTTTCATGTTTTTTGAGCAGAATTTTTAACCAGCGCAGTGGCGACGTAATTAACCAAAATATGATTTGTTCATCCTTTAAAAAAATGAAATATTAAGTTTGCTTCAGTTTCAGTTGAGTTAAACTCCAATAGTTATTATTCGTTATTCGTCGTTTGCAAATAGTCTAAAATTGTTATCATAAGTTTGACTTTTTTTTAAATTGAAGAGAGAGAATTTGCTCCGTATCGAACCTGGATTTTAAAAATAATTTTTGTTTTGGGAAAGAGCAGTGGCGCCCCATGTTTTTCATGAAAAAATTACAAATACGGTTCGGACGTCGCTGATTACGTAAAAGTCCGGTGCGTTAATTTCGGAAAGTCCTGTAGCGGTCCGCCATTTTTGATTTCACGACGCGCTGATTTTGTTCGCAGTGGCTGTTCGGTCAAAGTCTGCCGGAGAAGGTGAAGCCTCTCGAAGATTTCGAACCTACCACTTCGAAGTTTCCGCCCAACTGAGAGACGCTGGTGTAAAATCTCCGTGTGTGTGTGTGTGTGTCCCATGAGAATGTGTAATTAATTTTGACTAGTGGCTATTCTGAAGAGACGAAGAGATTAGCTAGTTGACAGAAGTCAGAAAAGTCCGATGTCGATCAGTAGCGGAGCTACGAGGGGTCAAAATTTATTTATGTTTTGTTTTTACAATTGGCGTTTTTAATACTCCCTAAATTGCTTATCCCCTTTGCGCCCCCCAAACGTTTAAAGCATCTTTTGTTTTTCTAGCAAATGCTCAGTCCTTTGTTATTTTTTATAACGATCCTATTAGCACAAGAAAAGTCAACGAAAAAATGCCCATCTGGCGACCTCTATTCATATAATTGCGCAACTGAATAGTGTTAGGACCAAATGAACTTTTAATTGTTTTTTTTTACTTTCCATGCAAACTAATGGAATCAGCGTCGATTTTTTGTCTGTTCTCTGTCCTCCGTTTTCTGTTCTCTGTAGACGTTTCATATAAACGCGAATAACTTTCGAACAGCTCAAGCTAGTACGCTCAAATTTGGCTCCTTTTAAATAGCCCGCGGCCCACATAAGTCCAAAAGAAACAGTCGCAATCGGACATTGGCGTCCATCTCTTTTTCTAAATTTTCGTTTTTTTTTCGAACAAGCGTCAGAAATTTATAGCTATCGAGTTCAAAATTGACGTAGATATAGGGTTTAGTTCCCTAACGGAACTTGTTTAAACTGCGGGGTTGGGGGGGCTGGGTAGTCGGAAAGTATTTAAAAAAAAATAAAAATCGCCTTCGCAACTGTCCGCGAAACAGATCATATCTCAAAAACTATGACAAATATCGGATTTTTTTTGAACGAAAAGACGGTTTTATATCTCCAGAGTTTGCTTCAAAAAAAGTATTTATTGGTCAGAGTATATCATGAGTATCTCGAAACACCCAGTACATTAATCAATTTCCGCCATGTCATGGTGACTTTATTCAGGTCCAAATACTAATTCTACTAAATTCTTCATCCAAATACTTGCTTGGATATGTTAATTATAAAAGGTTTGAAAATGACTGTTTTGTTTTCGACCAAAACATAGTCTTGATTATATTTTTTACTACGACACTGGAAAGATACAATTTTGGATGTAATAATAATAATAAAAGACTTTATTGATCCAACATAAATACAAAATAAAAGAAAAGAATAACAATAAATTGTGTGAAATTTGTATATTTATATAAAGTAAACAACTCTTATAGAGGTTGAGGTTTTACCTAACTTTTTTTAATCTTAATAAGGACCGGCTTAGGAATTAGTGAAGTTTGTTTTGTATATTTGTGTCTAATATTATTATTATATTATTTTATAAGAAAACTTCTAACTTAATAAATATAAGTTTTAAGTTGATGTAAGCTCTTCGTCGATATGTAAACCCACATTTTCAATATAATTGAAATTTAATAAAATCATTATCAAAGTTAGTTTTCTCTATTAGTATTCTCTATTTGCCTGGCTATCAAAAATAATTTCGATGGATTTGCTGTTATTAAGGTTTAAACAAGGTTTAAACAAGTTTTTTTTCGAAAATTCTGCTATTTTACACTAGCTGAGATTCTTCCTGCTTATGCAAAATATTCATAAGAACATGACAAAAAAGCAGATGGAAAATTTGAAGTATAAATATAAAATAATTTCAAGTATTGAGGAGTCACTTAGCAAAAGAACATTTATATTATCAAAAGAATTTGTGTAATCGGTATATGGAATATAGTAAGTCCTAGTACAAAACCCTGTGGAACTCTCTTTTCAAATGCAAGGATTCAGAAGTTTGGTGTCCATAGTATACAGGTAGAGGTCCGTAGCTTGGTTAGGAAAGCCAATATAGTTAAAAATACTGAGGTTAGTAAATAAAGGTTTAAAAAGTTCAAAAGCCTTTGTGTAGTCAATATGAGGCGTCATATTAAAAAATGAAACATATTCTACTTGTGCAGTTGTTAAATACTTGTTAAATACCATTCTATTAACCATAAAAATGGTTAATAGAAAATCCAATGGAGTCAAATCTGTGTAATCAATATTCAACAAGGGAATGTTTTAACTTCAGAAATTCTCATTATTTTTAAACTTGTTATCTGATGTTAGTTTCGTAATTGAACCCTTGGAGGAATGACAAGAAACCGCTGAAAATATGTGTAGGAACAACACAAACTGTTGACCTAAAATAACCTACTATAAAATTTTCCAGAAGTCTCTCCTTTCGAGCAGCGTTTTTATACAAACAACTTTGTTTCCGATAAAATGAACTTTTATGTTGTGATTTGCCAAGTAAATTGGAGTACGGGTGATCTGATATGATGATAATGATTAAAAAGTTTATTCGGTCCAGGCTATACGAAAGGTAGGGGGCAGAGGCAGTGAATAATAGAACGTCTAGCCATAGATGAGGCGCTGAAAAAAAAATCTTTTCTCTGTTGATTATATAGATCATTTTATGAAAAAAGTTCTCATAAATGCAGGTCTATTTCCAGGATACGGGACAAAATTCAGAGGGTCTAAATCCGGAGATCGTGCAGGCCATAAGTGAGGTCCACCTCGGCAAATTTATTTGAAAAGGAAAACATCTTTTTTCATAAAAGGATCTGCGTTACAAGCACTTTTTTTATTTTTCATTTTAGATGTGCGTTTTTGGTAAAATGTATTTTTATACGTCGCCGGTCACGCCACTGGTTTTTCCGGACGCGAGTAACCCGAGAAACTCGCCAAGTCCGCTACTGACTTTTTTGCGGGTCTGATTACGCCGTTTTAAGCGAAACGTGGTGAATTAAGTTATGGTTTCCACCAATAAAGTAGACTTCGCTGGTTTCTTATGTTACTGGGAGAATTTTTAATTATTAATAAACCGTATTTAATAAAACTTATTATGACGTAGCGATGTAAATATGTTCCTTTCAAAACCCGAAACGACCACGAATTCGTGTGTACCGGCTCAAATTCTGTAAATTTTTGTACAAAGAGGCCTCTCTGTCTCTCCTGTATATTCAACTACCACGTAAATTTTATATAATTATATTATGTACAAAAATAAAAGCGGCACAAGTCCGATAAATTCGATAGTTGTGTGTAATAACTTCCGTGGAGACGATTAAAATATTTACTGACATTTACTCGGTGTTGTTAATTCGAACTGCGTCCCGGTGATGGCGCTGCGAACATCGAATACCCGTGGACGAGGCCTGCTTGGATTCTGCGCGCTCGAACGCTTTCGGTCTGTGTCGTAAAACAGTGTAAAGACCGACCCATTCCTTATCTTATATTTGACAAAAATTGTGTCTGAAAACTCCCACTATTCGGCAACTACAAACGATATTATCAAAAGCTAAATAAAAATAACAATTTACGTGTCAGAGTGTATTCAGAAAATGAAATATTGGATTTATATATATTAAAGGAAACAGATATTTGTCATTGAATATTTAATTATAAGGGAGCACAATAGGACTAATTTAAACTTTTTATAAAACTTCTGGATTCCTCCTGCGTCGGTTTATGTTGACTTAAACTTGCTCACTATTGGTTTTGATCACTTGTCCAAAAGTCTCTCAACATCTTCGATCCGTCAAAGACAAAATTCCATTTGAGACGCGGCAAAGAATATAGTGGAGACTGGACGAAAAGTATCAACTAGGCTCAAAAAACATGACAGAGCCTTCACATTGAAAAATCCGAGAGTTTATAGAAATCTATAAGCAATCAAACACTCTTAACCGCCACTCAAATCTTTGCCTTTCACGAATACGGGAATCAGTCATCGCAGACGATGTTCATGCCCCTCCCTTAGCTCCGTCCTCCCTCAGACCGTATATAAGCAGGTCAGGGCCAGTTTCAGTTCAGCTCTGAAGATGCCAACAGGAAGTTTGATTTATTAATAAATGACGTAGGACGAATCAAGAAGATTTGTGATTCAGGTTGGCATAGTTTTAAGTATTTAAGTAATAAAAAGGGGAAAACTAAGCAGGTACGCAAAAAAAACCTCCTTTAGCCCAAGTAATTCATTTCTTGCTTGGACTTAAATTATCCTATTGCGATTGTGTTTATTGCATTAAAAATATCTCTACTGATTAAATCAATACACATTTTACCGATGGTGCTACCGATCTTTACGTGTCACCAGCATAGGAATCAGTTATCCGAGGCGGTGTTTATGACCCTCATTTAGCTCCGCCCCCCTCAAATAATATATAAGCAGCTACAGAGTAAAATGCGAGCCAGTTTCAGTCAAGCTCTTAAGAAGCCAACAGAATGATTGACGAAACGTCAGCAAGTTCGAGTCAACAAAAACAGACGCAGGAGGAATCCAGAGGTTTTATAAAAAGTATTACAGTAGCCTGTCGAAGTTTTTTTGAAAAAATGACAAATTTATGTAATAAGAGGATGACATTATACCGGGTGTTTCAAATTAAATGTATCACGATTTGTATTGTGTCCCGTAAAATTCCAAAGCAGCAGCAACGGCAGGTGCATTAAGGGATATAGTGCGGAGAAATAAACATCTAGGAATAGAAACGAAAACAAGAATCTATAAAATATGTATAAGACCAAGAACAAGCGCTAATAGCTGAAATGAAAACATTCAGATACATAATAGACTAGACGAGACCATGTAAGAAACGAAGATATCCGGCAACAATGTAATATTCAAGATATAGTAAGATGGGGATGAGAGAGAAGAAGAAATTGGAATCAACACGTAACGGGAATGGAAGAGCACAGATTAGAAAGATCACAAGAGATGGAAAACTCGAGGGAAAAAGACCAATAGGAAGACCACAAAAAAGATGGCAAGATAGCTGGTCATCAGAATCGCAAATAAGATTAAATATAACCCAATAAACACAAGGCATTGGACTTAACGTAGGAATAAGAAAAACAGAAGAAATTAAACCTTTTATTGCATTGACTTTTACTTTTCCGTAACAGAAATGCATATATCAATGTCGATTTGCGGCTAAACGATCATCATTTGTGATTCCGCTTAAGGCAATCTGTTCTGTTGTAGAATATCACTCACAATAAATAAAATACAGCGAAAATAAAAAAATGTTCTAGGTAAAGCGCCCTCTAGTGATAGATTTCTGGAACACCAAATCTGGGCCGTGTGTAAAATACCAGCTTATTCCGTTAGCAAGTCAGCCAAGTTTCCGAATTCAATTTCCGAATACCCTGTATATATATATATATATATATATATATATATATATATATATATATATATATATATATATATATATATATATATATATATATATATATATATATATATATATATATATATATATATATATATATATATATATATATGTATGTATATATATATATATATATATATATATATATATATATGTATGTATATATATATATATATATATATATATATATATATATATATATATATATATATATATATATATGTATATATATATATATATATATCCTCACGTATTGATTCACGGATGGAAAAATGTGATGACACTATATTCCGGGATATCATCCGTTCGCTCGTTGAACTCCGACTGGAATCCTGCATCCGACTGGAATCCTGCAAATCTTGCATCCGACTGGAATCCTGCAGACGTTTCGCCAAAATCTCACTTGGCATCTTCAATGCTCGCGTTCCGAAAACACTTCGAACACTTCGGAACGCGAGCATTGAAGATGCCAAGTGAGATTTTGGCGAAACGTCTGCAGGATTCCAGTCGGATGCAAGATTTGCAGGATTCCAGTCGGATGCAGGATTCCAGTCGGAGTTCAACGAGCGAACGGATGATATCCCGGAATATAGTGTCATCATATATATATATATATATATATATATATATATATATATATATATATATATATATATATATATATATATATATATATATATATATATATATATATATATATATATATATATATATATATGATATATATCCTACAATATTGTAAACTGGGGACAAGCGAGTGATGCGGAGAAGGTGTTTGTTCAGCAAAAAGGAGGGTTGATTTTCAGACTGCCCCCGAGGCTATCTTGCAAAGATATATTTATAAAGTATAAAATACTAACAGTGCCTTGCATATATTGATTTAAATTATTCATCATCGTTCATAAAAATAAACGCTCTCACAAGAAACACACGGATGTCCACGGTTATAACAACCGAAACAGAGAACACCTTCTAAAGCGAAGACTGAACCACATGTTCTACAAAAAGTCGCTAAATTACGCAGGACCTTATTACTATAATTTGATTCCTACAAACATAAAAGCATTTGAATTTGAAACATATATTACAGGAGTGCCCTAATGAGTTTAGTGATATTTTCTTTACATTTTGTCAATATGTTTGTACTATTTTTATATCCGTTTGTAACTGTTCTACACTGTACTGTTAAATGTGTGTTATCGTATTGTTTATATACATAATTTCATGTATCTTTATATGTACTCGTTTCCTGACGAAACATCCACTGTGTACGTACTGGGCTTTGTGAATAAAACTATCTATCTATCTATAGTCAAGAGTTAAATTTAGGAAATAATGCTGTGAAGAGGTCGAAAACCAGATTGAGTGTCTGGGAGGATTTTGTTGTCGCATAGGAACTGACGAAGTTGTTTACCTGCAATTTTTTCAATAATCTTTGAGATTGGTGGCAGCAAACTGATTGGTCTAAAATCGTTAATGGACACTCTTTCTTGGGAACGGGTATAACTTCAGCCTGCTTCCGTGAGCCCGGAAAAACCCCGGCCAGCAGACACTTGCTAACAAGGAAAGTGATTCGAGATCGTTAGTTTTAATACTAATTGAAGTATTATTAACGTCCTCAGGGTGAACTTTAGCAAAACGGAATTAATTAGAACCAAATTCTTTATCAATATAATTTGCCGACACAACCCCAGGATCAATACCACCAACAGCTCCAAAAGAAGTAAAAGCACCATTAAAACTATTAGGTTGGCCAAAACTGTTTTCAAACATTAAGATAGGATTACTGTGTGCTCGAAGTCTCCTCAAAGTACGGCAAAAATTTTGAGGATCAGCCTTAAATGTACTTGCCGAATATGCCCCTTTCTCGGCTCTCACGCAGGAATTCACAAAACTTCGTAAAGGGTTTTCGGTAAGCCAAGGGGCTGGGGGTCTCTTAATTCTAACTGTTTTTAATGGAGCATGAATATCAAATCAATAATTCATATTATTCGTAAGAAAGTCAACTTGTACGTTTATATCATCAAAAGAGTATAAAAGATCTAAGTTCATTGGTTGCAGCTTGAGATTGCAAGAAAAAAAACATGTATGTTAGACAGAGAGAGATGTATTATTGGATATGTCATATAGACAACGGAATGTTGTTCATTTAACTTTTACAATTGATCATTAAATAGTTCATTTAAAGGGAAAGACTGTAATTGGAAGAAAAACCATGCGAGGATAGAGCTCTTTGTCGATTGTCCCCAAAAAAACTTGAAATCGGTTTCCACTGTGTGGATTTAGTGTTGTTAGTGTTTAATGAATGTTTACCACGACAGTTCGAGACCGGATGGTCCGTGGCGGAAGCGGGGGAGGCCGTTTTTTGCTACCTTTCAAAGTACCTTTTTTTTGAGAACCTATTAAGAATATGTTAGCAAACCTGGAGGATGGTCTAGACAGTTCTCTTATGAAAACATCGTATAGGCTTTTTGAATAATGTTCACAATTGTTGTAACCTGACCGAATGACCTTATGTAGTGGCCATTGGAAGTAAAAAAGAAGAGGAACCTTAAATGTTGTTGGTCAATTCGTCTTGGCAAGATATTAATATAAAAACTGTAAAAAAAAACACTAAAGTTCATGAGAACGGTAAGTAAAATTTCTGTGGAAAACTTAAATTATAAATGTCACTTTACTTACCGACTAGTCCACTAGATTTTAATTGTACCTTATAGAACGCAGTATTTAAATTGTCTGATATATTGCATAACATTTTTCTGTGTATTAGTTTTTGGGCACATTTTTGCAAAGCAACACGAATACATTTACTGACATGACTGTCAGAGTTGACAAACGTCAAATTTCAAAGCGTGGAAAATATTTTCGAAAACATCCGATTGCTCCCAAATCCGTGCCTTTAAATGCCGGAAATGTCCGAAGGGGTCGAGGTAATTAGGTATTTTACAGACGGGAGTAGAAAAACAATATTAAAGATTACAGGGTTTTATTTTATATCGTCGCCCGAGATGCATAATTTTTATTCTGTACAGTGTGAGTCAAAGATTGAGCCAATAAAATGGTAAACGCGAAAGTTTCACAGATTGTTCGAACGCACCATTTAAAATCAAGAGTACCGAACTAAACATACATTTTTATAATTGAACACCAAATTTTGAATTCCTTTTTGAAATTCTTCGATTTTTTCATTGGCAATATTGCTTACCTTAATCTAATACTTCTTCAAATACTTTAATTTTTTTTTTACATGTACAGTGAAAACCCTAACCTAAAACCCTTAGATAACTGCCCTTCACATCACCATATTCCAAATCTACGGAATGTTGAATTGGCATTTCTTCCAACAACAAGTGCATTACAGCCGATGGACCGGAGCGTAATAAAAAGTCTTAAGAGTCGATACAGGAAAAACATTTTAATGGAAATGATCGAGTCCTAACAAAAATTTTCGAATAATATGCTAGATGCAGTCAACTTTATTAGTAAAGCTTGGAAAGAGGTGACAGCAGAAACAATTGAACACTCTTATTACCGAGACCGAATGCAAACAGGACTGGGAAGATGATCAACCAAGCGAGTGGATAAAGCAGTTTCAAACAACAATTACATTTACGAGTGAGGAGTTGCAAGATTTTATGGAAATACAACAGCAGACTTGACAGAGGAAGCCATATTACAACAAGCAAAAAAGGGCGAGGAAGAGCCCCAAGAGGAAGAAGAAGATGAAGGAGTTGTATAAAAAGTAATTAAATATCACAGAAAACATATGCCTATTGTTATTTTTCAAGTGCCTATAACTCTTCATAAAGAAAAAAAAGCAGTGCCTTCAATTTCGCCAGATAGAGTTTCGACTGTATTAGTTTTCACACCAGGCTCAATATCGTTCACATTTCATATTCAAAAATTTTTAAAATTTGTTACTATTTCTTGAGTGTTATTGCAGTGTTGAATAATTTGTCGCTTGATGCAAAGCAAGTTGTGAAAAATGAGTATGAAACTTTAATCTGTTATCTTTAATACACTTCGAACTCACCTTATAGACACTAGTGATCAGGACCTAATAAGAAGGAAAACGTATTGTCTTTATCAAAGCGAAGTTGTTCCTACCTTGCATATATTGAAAAAGGCGCTAGAAGAAGATGAAAATAACATAAATAAAAGCCATGCCACCTTCCACAGAGTTGTTTATAAATAGACAATTGGAGATTTAACTACTTTCAAGAAATTAAACGATATAGATTAGACATCAGATCCATAATTTACCTTGTTAAAACATGGTTCGTTACACAATACTGTATCCAAATGATGGGTTGAATCCACTCAAGACTGCCAGACGAAAACACCTACAAATAAAGGAAAACGCATCCTCATAATGCACGCCGGATCAGAAGACTGCTTGCTGTTATCTGCAAAGAATATTAAGGATTCCAGCTTGGATTATCTGGACGATACATGTCTCGAACTGTTTGAAAATTTGTTTCAAATCAATCTTTTATCCCCAGTAACAATATTTGTTAGAAAATGATATTTATTTTGAATTCGGTTACAAAAAAACGCAACTTTTGGACCTCCTAAATTCATACGCAATTAAAATACTATATGCGATAATTGGGTTGAACAGGCTGGGCAGACTGTTTTACGTCTTTCTCCATATCATTGCATGTTTAACCGCATAGAGCACGGAACCAAGTAAAATCAAATAACATACCATCATATTTAGTATTAGCATTAAAAATTAAAACATTAGCATTAAAAATTAAAACATTTCAAAAAACTAATACTTTTATTTATGTTTCATTTTTAATAAAAAAGTTTAAGAATTTTTATTTAAGAAAATGCATGTTTTATTTATAATGCTTTCTCGAGCCGCCCTGTATACGTTAACATATCTTTAAATTGTGCACCATAACAATCTCTACAACCTTTGTATTTACTATTTTCTCATAATTTTCGAAACGAACGATGTAATGAAGGTTGTTCTACGGTTGACTCACCATCCACACGTCACCTTAACCGCCATTGATAAGTTTGTGTAATAATAATAAAAATGGCGGCCCACGTCTATAATCCACAGATAAACAACTTGGTCGGTTTGGTCTGACCTACCACCACTTCCGGCGATTCGCAAACATCTCAGAGTACAGCATCGAGTAGGCGTGGGCTTTGCGCGCGGCGCACGTCAAAATGTCCGCCTTGACGGAATCGATCAACTCCCTGCAACGGAAACGTCATTTACCTGTCAAATCGTACCGCTATAAAAGACCTGTAATGGTTCGCCTTCTCGATCCTCTTGTCTTTGGCCCTGCGATTCTGAAACCACACCTTGATCTGAGTTTCCGTCAGTCCTAGATCCAACGCAAGCGCACACCTCCTCTCCCTGCTGATGTACTCCGTGGCATGATACTCCGTCTCCAATCGGAGGGTCTGCTCGTTGGTGAATGTGGTGCGTTGCCGTCTGGGTCTTGATTCGCGCCTTTTCCGTCTGTCTACTGTATTTGGGAAAACCTCCGCGTCATCATTTGCTTTTGCTCAGTACCGAAGATCGTCCGATCAAACAATGAAAGTATTATGTGTATTGCATTGTATTGCATTGTATTCGGTATGGTCTGTTTATAGATACAAGAAAGTGACCAATTGCTTTTGAATGGGATTATCCAAGCGTGGTCATTAACAAACAATGCAACAAGATTATTACCTAAAGTTTCGGAATTTAAATTCAGGTAAAATTGTGGTCCGTAATAGAAAATAATTTTATACCTACCTGTGTTTAATATTCTTTGGTTTGGTATACTACCTATTTCATGTGTTGAATCGTGTGCGAATTATGCAAAATATGTGCGAGTCTAGTGTATCTCAGGAGATGCAATGGACAATGCAAGTTATCACAGTAGACAGTTGACTAAATCCCCTTCATCATGTGACACAAAAGCAACAATCCAAAACTACATGTATAATATTTTTACGAATATTATACAAAAAACCAATTAATTGAGGTTCTACAAAACTTGAACCTACAAAAGGAATACGTCTGTGATATATATGCAAAAAATGTAGGGCATACAGTTTCCTGGCTTCCACCTTCCACTATATATTTAATGTATAATAATAAATAAAAAAAAAAAAAAATTATTTTTGAAAACTGCACCACCCCCTATGTTTAGGACATATATTCATTTGAAGTTTTCTTTTTAAGATGGATTCAACAATCGCTGCCCTTAATTGTCGGCATTCAATTACTAAACACCCTGTATTTACGAAACGCAATGAATATTGTCTACAACTTTGGTAGTTAACATTTTTTTTTCTAAACCAAACAATAAAAGAGATACATTACTTTGACACCCGTAGCTGTGGGAAAGTTTGGCCGAATGATTCCGGCTTTATTGGCCAATAGACCGAAAGAAGGGATAAGGAAGACGAGCAGAGAAAGAAGAGAAGAGGTAAACAAAGCTCGAGCGTCAAAATATAAACGCGCATTATGATAATTTTTCATGACGGCGATAAATTCTGGCGTCGAATTTTCCGCCGATTCGATTTCGAACCGAATCGTTTTCGCGGAAACGTCAGCAACAATCGCAGGATCGGGACGACAATGGCTGCCGCGAATTATCCCCGTTCGACTGGAAACACGGAAACGGGCCGGAATAAGCCGACAAGCGGTACAATTTAAAACTTAAAATATTACGGTTATAAGATTACATTACGCGCTCGGATAGGTTCGTATTGTGTCGGTGAGAGCCGAACACCTGTTTGCCGTCGAAGCAGCGACACGCGTTGCGGCGGTAAAAACTTGGCAATGCCGCGAAACACGCGGTGTTGCCATGTTTTTACCGGCGAGCTCGGACAAGAAACTCTGCTTTTTCAAAATCAATGGGTTCTATCGGCAGTCACCTAGAAGTAATCTGCTTTTTTTTTTAATATTCTAGAACAAGATTATTGTAATATTGTAAAACACACCGAACAGGGAAAACCTCTGTTACTTATTAACAAGACAACTATTTTACTTTTATATAAGTAAACTGAGACATTTTTATGTTCTCATAAGAATCCTTTCAAATCTTTGTACTTCTTTTTAATTTTTAAACAGTTCAACCATTTCAAAAGGTTCAAAAGTAAGAGTAACTTTTTTCTGGATTTTTTCTACTACTAAATTGCAAGAAATTTGACATGTTAGCAGCTCAAGATTATTGTAGAACACATCGAACATGGAAAACCTCTGTTACGTATTAACCAGACAACTGATTTACTTTTATGTAAGTAATCTGCAACATTTTTATGTTCTCATAAGAATCCTTTCAAATCTTTGTACTTTTTTTTAATTTTTAAACAGTTCAACCATTTCAAAAGGTTCAAAAGTAAGAGTAACTTTTTTCTGGATTTTTTCTACTACTAAATTGCAAGAAATTTGACATGTTAGCAGCTCAAGATTATTGTAGAACACATCGAACATGGAAAACCTCTGTTACGTATTAACCAGACAACTGATTTACTTTTATGTAAGTAATCTGCAACATTTTTATGTTCTCATAAGAATCCTTTCAAATCTTTGTACTTTTTTTTAATTTTTAAACAGTTCAACCATTTCAAAAGGTTCAAAAGTAAGAGTAACTTTTTTCTGGATTTTTTCTACTACTAAATTGCAAGAAATTTGACATGTTAGCAGCTCAAGATTATTGTAGAACACATCGAACATGGAAAACCTCTGTTACGTATTAACCAGACAACTGATTTACTTTTATGTAAGTAATCTGCAACATTTTTATGTTCTCATAAGAATCCTTTCAAATCTTTGTACTTTTTTTAATTTTTAAACCGTTCAACCATTTGAAAAGGTTCAAAAGTAAGAGTAACTTTTTTCTGGATTTTTTCTACTACTAAATTGCAAGAAATTTGACATGTTAGCAGCTCAAGATTATTGTAGAACACATCGAACATGGAAAACCTCTGTTACGTATTAATCAGACAACTGATTTACTTTTATGTAAGTAATCTGCAACATTTTTATGTTCTCATAAGAATCCTTTCAAATCTTTGTACTTTTTTTTAATTTTTAAACAGTTCAACCATTTCAAAAGGTTCAAAAGTAAGAGTAACTTTTTCCTGGATTTTTTCTACTACTAAATTGCAAGAAATTTGACATGTTAGCAGCTCAAGATTATTGTAGAACACATCGAACATGGAAAACCTCTGTTACGTATTAACCAGACAACTGATTTACTTTTATGTAAGTAATCTGCAACATTTTTATGTTCTCATAAGAATCCTTTCAAATCTTTGTACTTTTTTTAATTTTTAAACCGTTCAACCATTTGAAAAGGTTCAAAAGTAAGAGTAACTTTTTTCTGGATTTTTTCTACTACTAAATTGCAAGAAATTTGACATGTTAGCAGCTCAAGATTATTGTAGAACACATCGAACATGGAAAACCTCTGTTACGTATTAATCAGACAACTGATTTACTTTTATGTAAGTAATCTGCAACATTTTTATGTTCTCATAAGAATCCTTTCAAATCTTTGTACTTTTTTTTAATTTTTAAACAGTTCAACCATTTCAAAAGGTTCAAAAGTAAGAGTAACTTTTTCCTGGATTTTTTCTACTACTAAATTGCAAGAAATTTGACATGTTAGCAGCTCAAGATTATTGTAGAACACATCGAACATGGAAAACCTCTGTTACGTATTAACCAGACAACTGATTTACTTTTATGTAAGTAATCTGCAACATTTTTATGTTCTCATAAGAATCCTTTCAACATTTTGTACTTTTTCTTTATTTTTAAAGAGTTCAACCAATTATTTACTTGGATGAAACCTGGTTCGACACTTATGATACCAAGGAAAAGGGTTGGGTTGACTCAACTGGTAAGTGTAAGACAAATGCGCCATCAAAAAGAGGTAAAAATATAACTATTTTGCATGGCTCTAAAGATGGCTGGATTCCAAATGCACATTCTCTGTCTGCGAAAAATATTAAAGATTCTTCTCTGGATTACCATGAAGACACCACCGCTAATTTATTTAAAAGTTGGTTTAAAAACAAACTAGTTCCAAACATTCCTCCTAATAGCGTCATTGTAATGGGCAATGCAAGTTATCACAGTAAACAGTTGACTAAAACCCTTTCCCATTTGACCAAAACTGCATGTATAATAACATGAAGATTGTACAAAAAGCAATTATTTGGGGTTCTACAAAGCTTGAATCTACAAAAGGAATACGTCTGTGATAATTATGCAAAAAATCTAGGGCACACAGTTTTAAGGAACATGTTTGGCACCAACTGAAATCTGCCATTCGTCGTAATAATGTCTTTCGCCGTGTTAATGTCCTCAAACTTATAGAAACCGAAGTTTTTGACATCCCTCCACAATGTTGGGCAAATTCTGTTAAAAATATAGAAAAAGCAGAACAATCGTATATCCATATTGCAAATAATATAGAACGGGCGATGATATGTACAGTAATGCTGATATATTATGTGAATAATTTTAAGTAATTTAAGTAGGCAATAAAAATAGTTTGTAATTTTATTTTAGATTTAAACATAAATAAAAAAAAGTACGGACCTCTTCGGCCATATTTCATTCTTACAGCTTGCCGGGGTCTTTCCTTAATTCGTATCAGTTAGTCACTTTCTTATATCTATGAACAGACTTTACCGAATAAAATGCGAGCAAGTTTCATTCAAGCTCTGAGGAAGTCAGAAACGTTATCAAGTTCGACTCAACATAAACCGGCGCAAGAGGAGTCCAGAAGTTTTGTAAAAAGGATTACAGTAGCCTGTGCAAATTCTGAGGTGTATTTATGTATTTATGTAGTAGGCTGTGCCTGTAAGAATCATTAATTCTCTCATCAAGTCGGTTGTTTGACAGTTGTTTGACATCAGTTTTTAAATTCAGTTCCGAGGGTCTTATTAATTTGGTCTTGAAAATATCGGAGCATTGTTATTCTCAAAAAGAATGGTCGAGTTTACTTTTAAGGAGTTGGTAGATATGTATTTTATGTATGATTTGACTGATGTCTAGCTAGGCAATTATATCAAGAGCGCTTTCTTAATAGAGTCACACCAGATAGACGAAACAGGTACTTTGAGGACAAATAATTATTTGAAAGAAGTCCATCGAACTGCAAGAACTCCAGAAATTGAAGAAGCAGTTTTACATTCTATTGGTGAAAATCCTGAACATAGTACTAGACAAATTTTAAATTTTTGCACGATTTTCTACTGTACCCATATTTTTCCCTTGCGTATTACTTTTTGTCAATGGTTTTTGAATGCATTCAGAAATTTTCACAATAACCATTTAACAGTTTTCGGTAAACGTTTAGACTGGAATTGTTGGAAATTACTTTATTGGACCGTTTTTCCTGGCAGAAACGCGAAACGGCCATAATTGTCGCTAGTTTTTAGAAGAGGATTTGCCAATATTGCTGTAAGAAGTACCATATTTAATTAGGAACGGAATGTGGTTCACTTTGGTGTTGCAGTAAGAGAACATTTAAATCACAGGACCCCAGATTTAAATAGTTTTAACTTTTTTTTATGGGCATCCCAGTTAATACTGTAGAAAAGTTAAAAGATCGTATAAAAGCTTCCTGGGATTTAATTAGAAACACTTGAGGTATACTTCCAAGAAGTTATTAATTTATTAACAGAAAATTTTGTTAAAAATTTTAATAGTGGGTGCTGTTTTTTTTTTAATAAAAGTGAAAGTGAAAAGAACAGTCTTCTAATTTGTTTAATTGATTTAACCAATGCAGTGGCCAGCCAACAAACCAACATATTGTTTGTCCATAGACGCCACTGATTTCCTTGAATTAAATTACATTTACATTCAGAGGTTTTTATTTTTTTAAGAGCACAGAGGATACAAACAATATAAACATCAATATTGTTTAGGACTGATTGGAGATCGTTACAGTAAATTTTCTTTTAGGAGAAATCAATGTGAAATTCCATACGCACGCCACTGGTGTATTTAGAAAAAAATTTGGTATACTAAATAATACCTGTTGATACATAGTGCGTGTGTGCCAAATTACATTAAAATATCTAAAGTGGTATTGTAGATGTTAAAAAAATATATTTTATTTTTGAAAAATTTACCACTCTGTATCTCAAAAGTTAAGAGGTTTGGGGCATATGTTCATATGACTCAAAAATCTCCTCCTCAATTATTGACATTCGATTTGAGAACTCGACAAATTTTAAAGGACTCAAAAGACTGCAAAAACTTACGAGATATGGAGAACTGCTTGCCGATCGGAGTCGCATGGCGGGGTTCCCGTAAAAACGACGACCATTGCGAAGCCAGTACCGGTACGGGTACCGCCAGAGTCCCGAGGGACTTCGCTCCTCTCGCCTCTTCCTCCAGGTCTCCGTAAATCTTCCTGAAGAACTCTTTGGGCGAGGACATGGCGGTTCCATGGGCTTGGGGGTGTTACCACGGTATGGGTGGCCGCCACCGCGAATGGTATGTTCGCGTGGGATACCACCGAGCGATTAGACACTTCCGTCACACTGGCCCGGAAATATTGAATTGCCATTTTCGCTGAGATCCGGATAAATCCGGAGCACGAAGTGGGCGGGGCGCGACCGGAGGCGGGTTGCCGACGCCGACCAACGGTGTCGCGACGTTTTCACAAAGGGGCGATGCTTTATCTCCACCACGTGTCGCTTATTTTCTCTGCGAGGCTTCCGGAAGTGCGAAAAATCATTTAGGAGTTCGATTTATGTACGTTTTTAATTATGACATGACTCTACTATCTCTACTCATTGTCCCAAGGTTTATTTTATGATTTTTCGAAAAGGAAATACCATTTTTTGCATAAATATATGTAATATAGTGTCCACCTCAAAAATTAACCAATTTTTTTTTCTTCTGATAATTATAAATCCCGCGTATCTTTAATATTGAGAATTATTAATGTAATTAATACATATTTCCTTTTTTTTTTCAAACCATTGCCCCTTTTTAGTTCGAAGTGTTTTCGGAGCGCGAGCATTGAAGATGCCAAGTGAGATTTTGGCGAAACGTCTGCAGGATTCCAGTCAGAGTTCAACGAGCGAACGGATGATATCCCGGAATATAGTGTCATCATATATATATATATATATATATATATATATATATATATATATATATATATATATATATATATATATATATATATAATCGAGTTATCTAAAGTTGATAGTTCTGCAATTAAATACTTAAAACAAGATCAGTCCAAAACCTCCAGTTCGCAGATCAATGCAGACGAAATACTCGCGCTTTTTGTTGAATCTAAGTTGACCAGGCGTCAATATACATTAATTATAGATTTTGTTAATTCAAAAATGCCCTCAAATGTCTTTCTTTCCTATCACAAAGTCCTGGAGACAAAGAAAAAGTGCTATCCGGATGAAAAAGTGTCAGAGACATCTGCAGAAGTGGAACTGCAGTCTTCCACTCCAAGGAGACTCAATGTTAATAGGAAAATGGGGGTAGTTCAGGGCACAGTGGATACAAGCAGAAGTTTTCTGAGAGAGCCATAAATGATTATTTGTAATGAGTCTTTCAGTTATATTACAATACTCATTATAACATTATAAATTCAATTCAATTTCAATTCGGGTGTAATTAGCCATAGCCATAGCCATAATGAAGGTTCAGGAACAATTGGTAAAGATTCTTTAGACTTACTTGTACCATATTGGGTTAGTTTTCACTTTTATGTGTTTTATTAAGATAATGTGAGATATGTTTCTTGCTGTTAATAAAATTTTACTTTTCTAAAATAAATATTTTTTTTATTGATATTAAAGTTTAAAAATATGTATTTGCCTTGGAAAATATCCCATCAGCGTGAGAATTTCATGATCGCGAGGCTTTAATTTTATCGTCGCTAATTTCGTATGCTCCCCGCGTCTAAGTCTAAAAATATACCCGCCAGATGATTTTACAAAGCCACGCTCGACGACGCACTCTTTTAAAATGCTGCTCCCGTTGTTATTCTACTGTTTACCGCTGTCATTAGCCTATCAACGTGGTGAATACCGTATAGGTAAGATGCCGATACATAAGTTCCACGCGATCTCTAACACGAGGGCCGCAGGCGGCCTCTTCCACGATCGGACCCAAGAAGCCGCCTTCCAAGTGATCACCGACGAACTCAACACCAACCCTAACTCATCATTCGACTTGGTCGCCGACACATTCGGAGTTTCCTACTCCGACACATTCGTCGCCCGACTTGGTGCCTGCAGACTTCTGGAAAACGGCGTAATCGGGATATTCGGGCCCAGCTCGCAGCATTCCTCCCCTTACATCCAAGCCATATGCGACCACAAAGAGATCCCCCACCTGGAGACGCACTGGGACGACAAAATCGAGCGAAACAAGTGCGTGGTGAACCTCCATCCTCACCCGGGGGTGATTGCGAGATTTCTGGTTCAGTTGGTGCAACGTTTCGGATGGGAGCGGATGGTCGTGCTGTTCGAAGACGACGACAGTTTGCTGCGCACAGCGCCGCTACTCGATTTGAACATCTACCACGGCGTCAACATCATCCTGAGGCAGTTGGAGCTTGACGAGTCGCAGAGCTATAGAGGTGTGCTCAACGCTATCAAGAGTAGCGAGGAGACAAACTTGCTCTTGGACTGCTCGGTGGAGACGTTGGGGAAGGTGTTGAAGCAAGCCCAGCAGGTCGGTTTGATGACGGATAGGTATCGGTACATCGTCACCAGCTTGGACGTAGGTGTTTTGGACCTGACTGATTTCCAGTACAGCGGCGTCAATCTTACTGGGGTAAGTCCAACTATTGCGCATCATAGGTAGAGGTTATCAACGTTCTATTGACTTATAAACGGAAGAAACCTTACTCAAACCATTCAGCATCAATTCAATGAAATACAACCTTCCACTGTCAACCTGTCACTGTTGCCCTTCCTTACATTCAAGAGTATTTTTTCTTTATTCTTGACCCATATTATCCCAAGCATGAAAAATATTAAAAAATACTTTTTTGCTCTGAAATTATTTATTTAAATAATAATAAAAACTCGAAACATACAAAAAAATACTGGTGCGTAAACGAACCACTGGGAAAAAACATTAAATAATGTTTTGGTTAGTAAACTAAAAGTGGATAGAACCTGATTTGATACAAAAAAACGCATAATTTTTATGGTTTTAAGCATGAAGTATGTAAATGCATGTTACACTTGTTACAAACGTAAATTGTGTGACTGTGGCAGAATCTACATCTCCTTCGGGCTTTATTAGCATGAACAATCATGAGGTGACCTTGATTATCATAACGCACAAACCGATCTATGCTCCCTAGATTTGGCTGTTTGACCCGTCGCATCCGAAGGCGACCAAATACGAAGACGCCATGTTGGACGCACTAGGCTTACCAGCTGAGAGCCTGTGGAAAATGAAACTTTCAACGGCCCTGCTCTTGGACGGAGTACGTCTGTTTTACGAGACCATCGGAGAGTTCGGCGACACTCAAAGCGAACTGCTGAGTACGCAATCATTGTCTTGCGACGGTACCAAGTACTGGCGTTTCGGCTACACCATTGTGAACACCATAAAAGCGGTAAGAGCTCTTTTTTTACAGGTCCCAATTGGGCCTGCAATATGCCCTGGGGCACCTGGCATTTGTAGTGAATAGAAAGGAACAATGGCGTGTAGAATATCACTCCAGTGAGTGATCCCCACTCCCTAAATCTTAAATCTAGGGTTTGCTTGGCATATTTGGCATTAGGATGGCCTAGCACTCTCCTTGCAGAGGGAAGTAATAAATCGCGGAAACTTTTATATGAACCTTCAACCCGGGCCCCATACGAAACAGTCTACTCTTACTGCAACACTATTCATTCAGTTCCTAATTAAGTATGGTACTTTCTCCAGCAAAAAACACATTCATTGTACGAATGGTTTGAGCTCTCCCTGGCTCACAGTGCGTCGGTTCTTGTTGAGTCGAACGTGCAAACTTGTCGCCGGTCGTCCTGTTGGCTTCTTCAGAACTTAACAGTATCAGTTAAGTCACCACTAAATTCAAATTGTATAATCTAGTGTGTCAACCAAGGGGGTTGAAAGCTTTATGATAAAATGAAGGGTACATATTTTTATTCCTTTTTTTGCAAATGGAAATTTTCAAGGTCTGCAGTCGACATTGGGTTGGAAAGATTTTGCAGAATAAAGAGGTGGTAATTATTGACCGGAATACATGTTTATCTAATTTTTCATAAAACGTTATCTAGTAGTTCATCAACAACCGATGTTGCAAAAAAAATAGGTGAAAATATCTTAGAATCGTGATGGTGGTGGTGATGGTGAGTGGTTTCAGAAAAAGTTCCAAGGCATCACGGGCCAGATCCAATTCGACAACGAAGGATTCAGGAGGAATTTCGTGCTGGAGGTGGTGGAGCTGACCCCGGCGGGGTTGTCCGTTGTCGGACAGTGGAACAGCTCGGTAGGTGAACTGAAAGTGGACAGATCTCGAGTCCGCGTGCACCAAGAACCTGCCATAGCGAATCCTTTCAACCGGACCTTCACCGTGATAACGACCCTGGTAAAATGTTACTTTAGCTACGCGTCGCTTCGTCAAAAGGGCAGTGTTTCAGACTGCGCCTTACGCGATGCTCAAGGAGACTACCGCGCAGCTGACGGGCAACGACAGGTTCGAAGGTTTCTGCGTCGACGTCATCCAAGAACTGTCTGCCATGTTGGGCTTTAATTACACGTTCATCATACAAGCGGACGGTGCTAACGGCGACCTGAACAGGATCACGTACGAGTGGAACGGAATGATCAGGGAGATCATCGACGGGGTAAGAGTAAAACGGGACTCCAGTTACAGGATAGTCGATTTAAGAGTAGCTTATTTTTGAATACAAAAATTGTTTTCGGTAAAACGACTTTTTTTTTAAGGGATTTGTAATAAAAAACTACAGGGTGCGGCAAAATCATAGGTACTATTTGGGATGTACATTTTATGCCATTTGGAACGTTATTTGTTAAAAATCATGTCTTTTAAATGACGGCAATTATTGTCGATGCACTCTTGTAGGTTCTCGCGGAAGCGCATCATTACCCGATGGATCGTTTCTTGGGGAATTGAGGCAATTTCTTGTCTTATGGTTGCCTTTAATTCTTCCAAAGTCCGCGGACGATGTGTGAAAACTCTCGCTTCACCCCGTAAAGACACCACTTTGTTTAGGAACATTTCTTGAAGAAGATTTAGTGAACGACGCGTTGTGTGCGATGTAGCACCATCGTGGTGGAACCAAAGATGTTCTCTTTGATCATGGTTCAACTCGTTCACTTTTGGAAGCAGGAAATTGTTAAGCATATCAAAATATCGACCTCCGTTGACTGTTACCGTTATTACATCTTCTTCGAAAAAGTAAGGACCCCACACGCCGAACTCCGAGATTGCACACCAGACGGTGACTTTTGGACTGACTAAAGCCTTTGATCGGCTTGACCATAAGCTTATGTGCGCCAAATTGAGTTACTACGGCTTCGATGATGTTTCGACTCGATTTTTTGAAAACTACTTAGCCAGGTGTACCGCAAGGTTCTATCCTTGGACCTATATTATTCTTAATTTGTGTTTGTGAGATTTATACATGCTTCGAATATTTGAATTTGTATTGATTTGCTAATGACACTCGGTTATTATACTCCTTCGATCCTAAATTATTTGATGTTGCTTCAATTTATACCAATTTGGATTTCCATTACTCATTTCTATATTCTTCCGGGCATAATCTTCAACTTATTGCTAAACAATGCAGTGTAATGTTCTTTTCTCCCAAACCTAACATTGGACAAGTATCCCAAATGTTCAAAACAGCTGTTATTTATTTGATTTCGGCTTGAGGAAATTTGGAAGGATTTCCCACAAAATCCAGGAACTTAACTGACTAAAAATTGACACAACTTCCAAGTACTTTTTGGCGTCTACGGTTTTCCAAATTATAAGCACATCCAATCCGTCCTACTTACGAGTTAAATTGTAGTTTCGTAATCGGATGCTTTAAGGCGCCCCTACAGACTCTCACTGCCACGATATCGCTTATCTTTGTTCCGCAGATCATTTTCTTATGACGCTGTTGTAAGTTTTAATAGTACACCCGATTCAGTAAAACCACATTCAATTAAATTCTTTAAAAAATATTTCAAGTTGAAACTGCTAACTTTAAAATTTGATTTTCAATGTTATTCTTGTTACTTTGGAAAACCGATGAAATCGAATTTTTCGAAAATATTTGCGCTATGAAAATTTTATATCTCGGTAACGGTAGGTCCTATGGGATCGCCGTTGCTACAGAAATGACCACCGCCAAAAAAAATTTTTTTTGTCTGTTTGTCCGTTCTCTGTTCTCCGTTCTCGACTTTTGGTTTTTCCTGAACAGCTTTCGAACAGTTGGAGCTACAAAATTGAAATTTGCCTCCTTTTTAGCCCTCCACGAGGCACATAAGCTTATAAGAAATGGACCTGATTCGACGCCGGTATCCATCTTTTTTTCCAGATTTTGGATTGTTTTTTGGACCTTGCTGTGAAACACGATTAGTGTCCGAAATTTGAAGCAATCGACTTCATATTTAGCACATATACGCAACTTTTCCCCGTGACTAAATCTATTGAAAAAGGGGGACTGAGGGGTCGGGAAGTATTCTAAAAAAATGAAAAATCGCAACCGCAAAGGTCTACAAAAAAACATCATTTTTCAAAAATTGTTTACGAGACCAAAAAAACTATGGATCCAGCAGAAGGAGAAGATACGGCTCTATAAAATTTTATTCTTGACAATTTTTCAAAAATATACAGGGTGCGCCGCAAATTCAAAAAAACTGAAAAATGGGTCCCCTTATTATTGAAAATTGGTTAGAACTGAACGACTATGATTCAGATCTCACGTTCTTTTATATTGCGATATGGCCCGCATAGACATCAAAAACTTTTCTCTCGATATCTGCCTTGTATCCTGTTTTTTTGAGGGTGGTATGAATCTTTCCTTAGAATATATATTTTTTTATCAATATTGGGATTTTCTTCAGTTTTTAGTAAAGTCCTTAAATCACGATCTTCATCCTTTTCCAGTGTTCTCTTCTTTCTGGCTAGGCTACATATTGGTTGATTTTTTAACTAGATTCAATGAAATGGATTTGGTTGAACTAATTTAGCCCTCTCATTTGCTTTAACAAATAAAATTATTTAAATGATCATCCGTTACATGTCGCATTCTGTCAGTAGAACGCGGACCTGGCCATAGCCGACTTGACGATAACGTCGGAGAGGGAAAATGCGGTGGATTTCACCATGCCCTTTATGAACCTGGGTGAGACTACATAACCTATAAGTCCTTTTCTACTAAAAAGGGTACTTCTAGGTATCAGCGTACTGTACAGGAAACCCGAGCCTGTGCCGCCCAGCCTTTTCATGTTTACGTCGCCGTTTTCCACGTCGGTGTGGGTAATGCTGGGCGTGGCATATCTGCTGGTCTCCTTCGCCATTTTCATCATGGGCAGGCTGTCGCCCAGCGAGTGGACCAACCCGTTTCCCTGCGTCGAAGAGCCGGAGTATCTGATCAACCAGTTCAGCATCAGGAACTCGTTGTGGTTCACCATTGGCGCCCTCATGCAACAGGGATCGGAACTAGCGCCAATGTAAGACGATTATTGTATTACGTATAAAATTCACTATTGAGATTGAACAGGATAACTCTATTAATTTTTTAGAATTAAGTATTACGAAAACGCAAAACAAATTAGATTTTTCCATTTATCATCAACCTTCACACACGGACACAGTCATACCTAACAGCTCAGATCACCCTTATACACACAAAATGGCTTCATTTCAATCTTTTATACACAGAATTCGTAATACGCCACTCTCAACAGAAAATTACAACAAAGAACTTAATCAAAATAAATAAGAACTAAAAGTTCAGATTTTCACGAAATTATATATTTTGACATGTCAATTTTTTCGACAACACCGTGTCTTTATCAAATGTCTGAAATTTTGATAAAGACACGGTGTTGTCGAAACAATTGTCATGTGAAAACATATAATTTCGTGAAAATCTGAACTTTCAGTTCTTATTTATTTTTTAACACAATAAATAAGAACTGAAAGTTAATTTTCATCAAGTAAAAGTCACTTCAGTTCAAGTTTAGGATAGTGTATAGCCTAATAAAACTTTAACGATGTTATTACCTGTTGTTTTTGGGTGAAGCCATTAACAACAAATTTATTCTTAATTGAGAAACAAGGCAGGAGTATGCCAGGTATAGTCTGTTCATAGATATAAGAAAGTGACCAATTGCTTTTGAATGGGATTATCCAAGGGTGGTCATTAACATACAATGTAACAAGATTATTACCTAAAGTTTCGGAATTTAAATTCAGGTAAAATTGTGGTTCGTAATAGAAAATAATTTAATACCTACCTGTGTTTAATATTCTTTGGTTTGGTATACTACCCAATATATTGAGACTAAGGAAGTTATAAACAATGCTTATATGACTCTCATTGAACGTGGTGCCACCAAGCAAGCATCTTTAGAAGAAACGGCCACATTGACGAAAATTCCAATATGAACTGTATGGAAAATTGTGAATAATCCCATTTCAGCGAGGAAAAAAAGAAGCGATGCTGACATTTTCTCGAGTGTAGATGAAAGTGATCAAGATATACGAGGAACAAAGCGTGCCTACATAAGATATCTCAATTAGGAGACTTGAAAAAGATGAAACCGGTGTTAAATGTGGCAGAACTACCTTTTGGAAGTGTATTCAACACATGTGTTTTAGATTTTAAAAAATTGACAAAAGGCAAGTTTTAATGGAATCTTTTAGAATTCGGAAATGGCGACTGGAATATCTAGAAAAAAATAGGATTTACAGAGAACAACAAAGGCCAATTATTTACTTGGATGAGACCTGGTTTGACACTTATGATACCCCGGAAAAGGGTTGGGTTGTCTCAACTGGTAAGTGTAAAACAAACGCGCCATCAAAAAGAGGTGTGCATGCTGGCTCTAAAGATGGTTGGATTCCAAATGGACTTTCTCTGTCTGTGAAAAATATTAAAGATTCTTCTATGGATTACCATGAAGACACCACCGCTGATTTATTTGAAAATTGGTTTAAAAACAAACTAGTTCGAAACATTCCTCCTAATAGCGTAATTGTAATGGACAATGCAAGTTATCACAGTAGACAGTTGACTAAAACCCCTTCCTCATGTGACACAAAAGGAACAATCCAAAACTACATGTATAATATTTTCACGAATATTATACAAAAAACCAATTAATTGAGGTTCTACAAAGCTTGAACCTACAAAAGGAATACGTCTGTGATATATATGCAAAAAATGTAGGGCATACAGTTTCCTGGCTTCCACCTTCCACTATATATTTAATCCCATTGAACATGTTTGGCACCAACTGAAATCTGCCATTTCTCGTAACAATGTTTTTCCCCGTGTTAACTCCAATGTCTTCAAACCGAAGTTTTTAACATCCCTCCACAAAGTTGGGCAAAATCAGTTAAATATATAGAAAAAGCAGAACAATCGTATATCCATATTGCAAATAATATAGAACAAATAATAATTAGAACAGGCGATGATAGCGATAGTGATACTGATATATTATGTGAATAATTTTAAGTAATTTAAGTAGGTCATAAAAATAATTTGTAATTTTATTTTAGAATTAAACATAAATACATACATAAATAAATAAATATTGTTCAGTATCTTTCCTAACAAAACCCCAAATAATTAAATTCTAAGCAAAGTGCGGACCTGTTCGACCATATCTCATTCTGACAGCTTGCTCGGGTCTTTCCTTACTTGGTATCAGTTAGTCACTTTCATATATCTATGGACAGACTTTACATTTCCTTCTTTCCGACATATTTCTTGAGTGTTGACCATTTGTGGCAGTGTTGAATAATCGAATAATATAACTTTAATCGGTAGATGACTTATTCAACAAGACGCTTTAAAAGAAACCTGTGTAATTTCAAAATAGTGGAGAATTGAAGATAAGGAATAAACGTAGTGATTTTCAAATTCACTGTATGGATAATAGTGATCAGTACCTAATAAGAAAGAAAACATATTGTTTTTATCAAAGCGAAGTTGTTCCTACCTTGGATTAAATGAAAAAGAAGCTAGAAAAAGATTAAACCAATATGCTGGTCAAATGGGATTGAGTTACCTCAAAATAGACACTCTGTATCTCAAAAGTTAAGATAATATGAAGTTTTTGCAATGTGCTAAAAAAAATTATGGCACTTTTCTAATTTTAGAACTTGCATATCTCCATTATTTTGTAACTGAAACATTTTGCTTTTTTTAAAAACCAGACCCTGCATGTTGTTTTTGGTTTGGATGCACAACAATTCAAGTTTCTATTTTAATGCAATATAATCCAAAAATGATATTACGTAGTGAGCGGCCCCCGTATATAAAGCATAATCTGATTTCCTTCATTATTAATAACGAATTATCGTATGAACCAATGTAATGTCGAAATTCCACTCGCAGGACCATAAATTACCTATTCCTCCATATCTTATCTATAATAAATTAAACTCTCATTATTATTATTATTGACAGCGAATTTAATATTTCAATGAATATCTATTTTGGGAAATTTACTTTGACAAAAATCATTAAGGGATTACCGCGAAAAGCTACTCGAATTGGGCGTACTTGGTAGTAAAGTACACATATTATTAAAATATTATTTATTAATTATAGTGTACAACAACTAAAACATTACTACTCATTTCTAGCGTGCTCGGAATCGTGTTTTTATGTTTTCTTGTCGGATGTGACGTCGTTGGGGGACAACGTCACTTCATGGGAAGCGCCATCTGTTACTTGGTCACTAAACTAATACAAAAAAGTGCCACATCGACGCTTGTTATTCAAACTCGAAAAGGCCGGAGTGGGGGTAAACTGCTAGAGTGGGTAGCGGCGTTTTTAAGCCAGCGGTCGTTCAGAGTTCGAATTGGTTACACTTTTTCACTGCCACAAAACGTGCCTAGTGGTGTTCCCCAGGGATCGGTGCTGGAACCAGTGCTATTCTTAGTGTATTTGCTCTCCAGCATTGATTCTCGTGTGAGCGCTTATGCTAAATTAATTGAAAATCCTTCAACACATGCGACGTATTACAGAGAGACTTGAATGCTATTTCCAAGTGGTGTTCAACTTGGCTATAGCCCCTGAATACTCAAACCTGCTCTGTGCTGCATGTTGGCAAGAACGATCCCGGTTTGAACAATTATATCAATGGAAACTTCGAGTCGAGTGTCGATTCTCAGATGGACATAGGTGTGACAGTTTACAATTTTTCCGACGCAGGAGTATCACAGTAGACTGTGGAAGTTTCTTAAAAAAAAACTCAGTAAACTTTAACCTCGCATTCTAGAAGCGTATCGACTAGGACGGCGTCCGGATTCTGGTGGTTTTTCGTCCTGATAATGGTCTCGTCGTACACGGCGAACCTAGCGGCGTTCCTGACGGTGGAAACGCTGGTAACGCCTTTCAAAAACATCGACGAACTCGCGCGTCAAGACGAGATCAAGTACGGAGCGAAAAAGAAAGGTTCCACCGAGTACTTCTTCAGGGTGCGTAAGGAATGTCGATCCTCGCGACCCTTAAGTCACTTGGGGCTCCCTCTAGGACTCGAACCTCAGCACCTACAAAAGGGTTTGGGAGTTTATGAGTAAACACCCCGAGGTTCAGGTGTCGGACAACGACGAAGGCGTGAGGCGAGTCGAACAGGAAAACTACGCCTACTTGATGGAGTCGACTACCATAGAATACGTGACGCAGCGACACTGCAGTTTGGCCCAGGTCGGCGGACTGTTAGATGATAAGGGCTACGGCATCGCGATGAAAAAATGTAGGCAACCGCAGGCGCTGAATGTTTGACCGTAATCTTAGGTTGGGTTTGGTTAGTCTGTGTTTCTCTAACTTCAACAACGGATACTAAGCGTAAGTGCGATTAATACAAAGTAGAACGCTTAGAAACAACTGATTATACAAAAAAAAGTGAAAGGAGAACGGGAATGTTGTGACTGAAGAAAAATATTTATTAGCATACCCTGTAAAGAACATTTTAATGTCTACACACTCATATCAAAAAAGGGTGTTAATAATAACCTTTAAACAGAGCCAAATTCTTAATACCATAGTTATTCCTATTGGAAATTCTAAAGTAACCAACTAACCAAAACTACTATGCATACCTACGCAAAGAATTATAAATTGATGATACACCAAGGTTCTACCTTTCCAGAGCCCGTGGGTATGGCTTCCCATTCGTGGTTCCTAATTTATATATTTTTGTCAAAAGTTCAACAGCCGCAGACCACAGAAAACAAACAAGACGGCAATAGAAACCGTTCTTAGAATATTGTTTACAAATTAGGGGTCCATATTTATAGAAGTACAATTTCCAATAATCACAAAGCTGCCGTCTTTAAGTTTAATGTAACCTTTTTTTCAGCACATGTAAAAAGGAACACCTTAATGTTTGGATTCTAATCGAGATCAACCTCCCAGTTTTTTAGACCTTGGCTTTAATTCCAGACGTTAAACATCCAGTCATTTTAAGTAGAATAACCATTTTTATTACTTCTGCGGTGTTTATAATTCATCGCCACTATGCCGTGGCCTGGACGACTATATTTCAACCAACCTTTAACGCCTTCTCCATCTAAAGCCTCGTTCTCAGACTTACGGCGAACCGCAACCAACAACTACAAAAAACAAACACTTTTAAATGCCGCACGTACCTTCTCTTACGAATATTTCTTCTTTTCTATGCATGTGTTTTATTTGCGCCAACGATGTAAAGCAATTAAGGTTGTTCTCCATAGTTTGTGATAGTTTGTGGAGTTTTTTCATTGGGATTGTTAAAAGTAGTAAGGATAAACTTGGTACGTATTATAAACAAAAACCTAACCTCAACTTCACCGGCCGGCACAAACAAGGCGCTGACATCACTACGTAGTTCTGAGAACGCGTGGTTACAGTTTCGCCGTACCGTAACGACCTCAGCACGGCCATCCTCAAGCTACAAGAGAGCGGCCGACTGACCCAACTCAAAATTAAATGGTGGAAAGAGAAAAGGGGCGGCTCGACTTGCGGGGTGAGTGCGCTGTGACGCTTCTACGACGTCCCTGTTATATCCCGCGTTTCAGACGAAAAAAGAAGAAGCCGAAGCGACGGCGCTCGATTTGAAAAACGTAGGCGGCGTGTTTCTCGTGCTGTTCGTTGGTTCTATGGTCGCCCTGGCCGGTTCCTTGATCGAGTCGGCCGTTTTCGTGTACAGGAGGTGCAAAACGTCAAATACCACATTCGGCGAGGAGCTCAAGAAGGAATTCCGTTTCATATTGCATTTCAAGCGGCAGGTCAAAGTTGTCAAATAAAATCCGCCTTTCAATGTTTCGTTTCTTTCGCTCCGCGGATCGGTGACGTCACGTTTCTGATGGCCGCAAATACGGGATAAAAAGCGAAGCCTCGCTGATCGAACAAATATCGTAAATCCATCGGGTTGGCGTCGGAATCATGATCGACGGGGTGATTAATCCGATCGATATGCGTAACGATGCCGCGACCTTTGTATATAACGTGGTAGGTAGGACGCGTAACCGCTAAATGTTCCGCTAGTAACCGCCACGTTATCATTCGGTGCGCAGCTTTCGCAGGTGTAGCGTGTGTTTTGTTTTTAGTGAGCTTTCATATTTTAATTGCCGACCCGTAAGTATGTATTTTTAACCGCGTAATTAAATACGTTGCTAATCTTGTAAAATAATTTTTTTGATAGTAATTTTAATTAATAATAATTTAATCATTTTTCTGTATTTCGTATTTCGGTATTCACGGACGAGTAGTTAATTGGAATGCCTCGCATAAATTATCGCTACCCAATCGTGTTTCTCTGGTACACGAAATAAATTGGGAATGCACAAACGTCTGATAAATTCGGAAACTGTTCGTACGTTTTGTTGAACCGAAAAAGTCGCGAATTTCATTAATTTTTAATTTGTATTCCCGTGCCGCGCCTTCGTTTGAACCCCACGAAGTTTTTTATCGCTTTTATCTTAAAAATTAATATTTTCCTAACACTCGAGAAAACTCATCGCCGTCTCTTTTTTCAGATAAACCATGTCGCTCGACGAGGTAAAAGTTCAATTGTTTTTAAAAATAACTTATTGAAACGCGTGACTCAATTATGAGTGGTTGTAAAATATTAACGATTTTGTAGAAATTCAACAAGGCGGCGGAAGACGTGAACAAATTAAAGTCGAAGCCTTCGAATGAGGACCTGCTAGAAATTTACGCTCTCTACAAGCAGGCGACGGTCGGAGACGTCAACACAGGTACCCAGGTCTTTTTTTTAATAATAATTCAAGATTGAGGTTATGTGCGCGGGTTTTCGAAGTGACTCGTCGGTTTTTAAGTGGTTCATCTATTACGGGTTTTTTCAGATCGTCCGGGACTGTTGGACGTGAAGGGCAAAGCGAAGTGGGACGCCTGGAGCGGCAAGAAGGGCGTGTCCAAAGACCAAGCCAAAGAGCAGTACGTCGCGAAAGTCCAGTCGCTGATTGACTCGATAGGACTAGCCTAATTTTTCACCAAAGCTTTCCTTACAAACATACACATTTTGTTCTTTAAGTTTAAAGAAGATGGTTGTTGGTTGTTTTTCGCATTTACAAATTTTATAATAAAAAGGTGGGTTTGAGAGGAGGGAAGGTTGGATTTATTTCGGCCCTGTTTTCGATATTTATTGGAATAGAGGATAACAAAATAAAAATTATACATAAACAACATTAACGTGATTATACGGCCCCCGAGGTTTCTCGCTACGCGACGGGTTTCTTAGTTTGTTGCATCCGGTAGCTGCAAATGGGACGAACTTTAATCGAACTACCTCGAAATCGGTAACCGATTGCTTACTTAACTGCCCGGTACAGTTGGAACAGCTGCGTGACTGCTACGAACACGTTGACGCTGAATAAGCTGTAATTTTTCGGAATTATCACTAGCGAATAACGCGACCAGATCACTCCGGTAGCGGCCAACGCCGTAGTTTGACTGGGGCTTATAGTCTCCGCGGGTCTGGCCAGATCCGCTATACCGGCCATTACCAAGCCCTAAAATATGCGATATCAACGACGGGGCAACGGGAGATTTTAATGCGTACCCATTTGAAGGCCGGCGCCCAGAAGAATATCGTTTTGGGTCCTAAAAACGATATTTTTAAACGAGTTTTCGGGTAGTAGTTTCAAACTCACCAGCCGGATGTTGCCACAACGGCTGCAATTTCGGCGGCACGAATCGGTCGAGGACCGCAATGCCCCTCGTGTAAATTGCAGACATCGCGGCGTAAGCAAACTACGCGTTACCACGAGCCAATTACGTGAATTTCGAGTTACAACGTAGCCAGTTACATATCACGGCCGATCGAATCACAGATAACAGAATTGTACTTTGCTTCCACTGGCAGTCACAGAACAACGGTCAGGTGATTTCGGTTCTACTTCGTTTCCACGCGTATGATTCTCGACCATGGTTGGAGAGGGAAATAAAAAAAGATCGAACATAATACTTTTTCAAAACTTTGTGCCGACTCGATTCGGGATGGTGATAGCATGCAAATGGAGAAAAAATCATGCATAAACTAAAATTAAATATATTTTCTAATAAAATGCCTACAACAACAATTCTCCCGATTTTTCTTCGTCGTGGAGTTCTTTATTGATCTGCAACATTGCTCGAGCTTCCAGGTACGTCATAAAGCTAGCCAGCAACGCCTGACCCGCACAAATCTTCCAGGAAATGCTTCCTATCGGCTTAAGCAACTTTTTATAAAATTGTATCGCCTCTGTTGGACGCTGGGTAATTTGGGGCATATTGTAACAGCCGGACTGATGAGCCAGCTAACGCAGAACATCTTCAGCCTTAGGGCGCGTACGAAAAATATGACTTACCGCCATGGACCCCGTCGGGGCTAGTAAAAACGGCAACAAAAATCCCAAAGCGGCCTGCAGTAACCCGGCTTTAACCTCGAGGCAAACGGGACAAACGTCTGCCTTTAACAGGATGATTGGCCTCTGTATGGCCTAAAAGTCACCGCGGTTTTGAAGCGTTAAATAACGACCTTCATTACCTCAGCGTGCATCACGGCAGATAAAGTCGCTGGCAGAAAACAAACGGGCAGATAAGAAACAACTCTGCCGATGTGAAACAGCCTCAACCTTCTCCTGTAATAGTTGTTATAGAATATACCGCAACACGCGGACGCCACCCCGAGCAGGTGGGGCCCCAATTTTAGCGGAAACCCTTGAACCCAATTGGGCCATTTGTAAATGAATTCTCGCTGGTAACGGACCGCCTCGTTCTCCGAAAGTACGACCGCGCCTTCCGGGATCGATTTGTAATTCCCTTTCGCGAGCGCCATTTCTTACGTGAAACACGAGCGCGTGTTATTTTAATGTTAGTTTATTGTATAAATAGTGAACTACGCATTTTTAGGTTAGGTGCAAATGTAGAAATTTGGTTAGTCTCGGTTTGAAGAACCTAGAAGGCAATTTTGTTCTTTAAGGCTTAAAGTTTAAGCAATTGAATAATACAAAAGTTTAATTCGTCCAGTTCCCTTGTTTGCACAGAAAACAGTAAGATATTGTTTTGAGGTGTACTGAAATTAAATAAGCAAAAATATTTTCACTAAAATTTAATTTAAAAATCACAGGTGCATTATAAATAAGAATCTTTTTAATTGGTTTGTTTAGGAATTACACAATTCTTTTAAAATAGTTGTTAAATAGTTTCTTTACCAAAAAAACATAATGAAGAAACCGATTTTCTAAACAAATTACACTGACTTTAGGCTACTACCTTTTTTGAAATAATTCGGTTGCGTCTTTTCTCCGTGATAGTATTGTTCTATATTCTGTACCAACACTGAATAAAATAACGAAATCATAGGCATACGATACGAAAGTGTTGAAACAAAAAGCATTTCTTTAAATGATAAAATTTTCATTTTAAAATCACAGTCATAGCCTCATTATAAAACAAGTAAAAAAATTGCTAAATAGCAGCGCCGCTCCCAATTGCCTACTTTTATCATATCAAGCATGATTTTGCTTTCCTGGTGAGCGATTGTAACATAACAGACCCGTTTAATAAAGACCCGATTTTCAAACAACTGGACTTTGCTGCCAATGGCTACGACACAGTCCCAAAACCACCAGTTCGTGTTCAGTGGTGAGATAACCTATAAAATCTAAGAAAAGCGTTAAAATTTCGTTCGGTTTCCGTTTAATCGCAAAACATTGTAGATGTAATGTCGTATAACGTTCACGGCAATTTCGTATCGGAAAAAATAAGTAAAATCCGATGGCGACCGGACGGCTTCAACGAGAGCAACTCCTTCGTAACGGGGAGCGCCGACAACGACGTAAACAACGTAAGGTTGTGGGAGTTTTGCGAAATCGAGGAGGACATTTTTCCGATCGCGGTCGCGTCCCTCCCCTACTGCGGGGACGTGACTGAAATAAAAGTAAGACGTCGGTTTCCGCCGTGGGTTGCGAATCGTATTGAGGTCTCCCATTGCAGTTTCTGAACCCCAACTACTTCGTCAGCAGTTCTTCCTCGGGCTCGGTCCATTTGCAAACGATCGTAACTGGACCGGCCGACGATGTCGGTTTAAAACAGGAAAACAAGTGGACGGACATCCATTATTTCTTCAACGGTGACCGGAGTAGCTGCACAGGTTTGGCTCTGTACGAGAGCGATATCGTAACGGTGGGAGAAGACGGCAGGATTAATTTATTGACAGCTCAAATGGAAAACGTGGTCCGTACGATAGGTACCGTAACTTGTTTCTTTTACATTTTGGAAAAAAAATTAATTCAAAAGTTGGAGCGTTTGATGTATAGATTTAATAAATCAGTGAAAAAGGACCTTTCCTTTTATGAAATAATGTATAGTGCTTTCAATTTGAAAAAATATAGCTTTGATGCACTGTTTTTTTGGCTGACCTTGTGTATAAATAAGTATGTAATATTAAATCCACACGTTAAATTTGCAACTTTTGTATTAAACTTTTTTTTTGAAAATGTAAAATAAAGTTCCATAAACATATAAAACATGCCGAAATTTTCATTGTCGGAAGCTTACAATAACCGAATTCAGTTTCATTAAAACTGAAACTAACCAATAAGTTTTTTTTTAATTCTAAACATATTTTGACCTAATGCGATTTTAACTAAGTTTTTTGGCCGTTTTCATTATCAAAATATAGGAAAAAGTGCTTCATCCGCTAGATTTTAATTCTGCAAATGTTTAAAATAAGGATTAAGCTTTAATGATTTTGACTATGTGAAATATCCATCAGTGAAGAGAAGACAACATTTCGAAAGTTGAGCTTCGTGCGTTACTCGGTGACGTGTCCTGAGTCATTGATTTTTACAGAAAATGCCGACAGCTGTTCCATCCAAAGCGTCATTTTCATGAAACACAACGAAATACTGACGAGCAACCTGCGCGCCCAAATGAAAATATGGGACTTGAGAGTCCCCGACGACAAACCAAGCAACAGTTTTATGCTCAACGGGGACCAAGTGATCCCCACTTGTTTGGCATTCCATCCGAACCAACGGCACCTGGTGATCGCCGGCGACGAGCTCGGCGCCTTGAGCGTTTGGGATCTGCGCCACGACACGTTTCCCGTGAACGTTTTCAACGCGCACGAGGGCTCGATATCGGAAATCCAATTCAACCGAGACGACCCGAATAAACTATTTAGCTGTTCGAGCGCCGGCGAAGTCTGGCACTGGGCGAGCAAGGGTCGGAAACAGTTTTCCTCGGGGTTCGACGAGGACGCAAGCGTGTGGCTCGTTCCGGGTTCCGCCAAAAGTAACCTGGAAGTGTTTACCTTGATGTCGACCATCGACAAACCCATCAATTCGTTGGACATGTGCAAGGGCAGGGTTATATGCGGGTGCGATAACGAGGCGATCTATTTAATTAACGGGCCCGACCTTTAGCTGTAGTTATTTTGTACTTTTTAATAAAAAATTAATAAAACGCTTCCCAAATTAAGTGTCGATGTTAAATAAGTATTGGTTGGTTTGTTGTTGAACGCGGGCTTCTTCTTTTTTACTTCCATGGCATACTAACCAGAATCAATCGGTCATAATGCAGAGTTTTATGCCGAGTTTGTTGATTATCCCGCTTTTTCTTTTTATTCGATTATTGATCGGGTAGTCAAAATGCAATTTTTTTTAAACGGAACGGGCTTGATTGTCGTTGATTTTTAAATTTTAGTACAATAAACGATAATTTTTAGTGGTTATTAGTGCCAAATACTAAGCTTTATGCAAAAATGAATTATAAATATGTGCGGACGCAATAAACATGTATTTTTCTTTAAACAAAAAGGCCACCGGTCATCACTTAAGTCACAGAAAATATGTAACTTTTGGAACAGATGAATAAAAAGAAATGAAGGAAACTACAAAACAAAAGCACAGGTAAATACGAACGAAAAAAAGATTTTTTTCTATTTATAGTAATAAAATTAGGTCTTTATTCAGAAAATTAATTTATAAAAGTTATATTACAAGTATCGAAACAGTCTTTATTTTCTTGCCAAAGGGCCCGACGTGCTTTCAAAATTCCGGCGTCTATATTGTAGTAGCTATATGGTCAGATTGATCTGCAATTACGTGACTAACAATCCGTCTCGTCTACGCCGTGATACCGAACGCAGCATCTTTAGCACCGACCTGGTGACATCATTGCCCGTTTAGCGTGGGTACATGTGATTTGGGTTTCAAGCGGAAAATTTATTTTAATCGAATTTCTACCTAATTTAACCATAACTATACTTATACGTCACCGCGTGCCCGCCCCCTCGAAACCACGACCACAAAAACGTATCTTTATTTGGAAAAATAATTTACGAAAGCGGCATCACAAGGAACGAGCCGATCGACTTCGTCAAATGGCTCTTCTTCGATTTAATCGCTCCTAAGCTTCCTGTAATATCAGTATAAGCAGGGCCTCTATAAGCTCTAGTAGCTATAGGCTGACTATATTGTGATCATGTGACTAAAATCGTATTAAGACGTCACTTTCGACGCAATTTTAATTGTTGCATCCTAACGGAGCTTCTTAACGATTTTTTTCTATGCTTCCAACTGCCACGGCCAACCGAAACGTTACCTTAACCATACTCATACGTCACCATGTATGTGCCCGCCAAAACGAATCTCTATTATGAAAAATAATTTACAAAAACAGTATCACAAGTAACGCAACGATCGTTTCTTCATCATCAGTATAAGCAGGACCTCTATCAACTGCGATCATGTGACTAAAAATCGTATTACGACGTCACTTTTGACCCCAATTTTAATTGTTGCATCATAAAGGAGGTTCTTAACGATTTTATTCTATGCTTCGAACTGCCACGGACAACCGAAACATTACCATAACCATACTCATACGTCACCATGTGCCCCCCCAAAACGAATCGAAATTCTGTAAAATCATTTACAAGAAGGATATCTCAAGTAACGAAACGATCGTTCGAGATTCTTAAAAATCTTATTCTTTGCTTGGACAACCGAACCGTAACCATTCTCATACGTCGCCTCGTGCCTCCCAAAACTACGCCGACAAAAACGAATCTTTATTCTGAAAAATAATTTACAAAAACGGTATCACAAGTAACGAAACGATCATTTCTTCTTCGCCAAAGGGCCGGACGTCGATTTGGCCGCCTTGCCCTTGGCCCGCGGCACCTGGAAAGCGTCGCAACCCTTCGCGCCGCCGTAATACAAGAAGTCCTCGTCCTGCCTCGCCTTGGTGCGTATCCGCGAGGGGCGTTGCGTCGTGTCGAGCGGATCGACCGCGTTCTCCGCGAACTCGCCCTTGGCGTCGTCCGCGACGGCGCCGTCGCAATTGTGGTGCTCGATGTCGTAGTAAAAATCTTCCGCGTCGCTCGACCCGTCCGACCAATCGCACGCCGCGGGACCCGCCCTTTCCTCGAACTCGTCGACCCCGCCCACTTCGCGCCTTTCGACCGCCTTGATCGCGCCGGACACGTCCGCCGGCATGACGGCCAATTCCGGCGGCTCCGGGAGCCGGTGGAGGTCGTCCCCGACGTCGACGTCGTCGTCGTCTTCGTGGGGCGCGACGCGCTCCGCGAACAACCCGCACGTGTCGACGTCTTCGACGACGACGGCGAGGCGGGGCACGGGGACCACGTCGTCTTCTTCGTCGAGGTCGACGACGACCTCGGACAGGTCCGGACGATTCTCCAGGGGCTTGAAGTCGTGCGACATGAGGACGGTCTTCCAGTCGGGCACCGGGACGACGACGTCGTCGTCCCGACGGTGAAGTTGGCGCGCGTGCGCGACGCAGTCCGCGCGCGCGAACGACACGTACGAACACTTGGCGCACTGGTACCGGAACCAGGAGAAGTGGCCGGACATGTGACGTAATAGGAGACGCGTCGACGGGAAGTGGGATTCGCACGCGCGGCACCGCGTCCTCTCGTCGTCCATGTAGGGGGCGGCACGGTCGACGAGACCCGCGCACGACGTCCTCGTCGACTTGGTGTGCCGGCCGTCGACGTCGTCGCCGTCGCTAGCGCGTTTCGCCGACCTCCTGCGCAGCGGGTTGTTGTACGACAAGTTGGACAGGTCGAAACCGGCGAAACCGTTCTCGACGCGCTCCTCGCCGACGAAGATGACGTCGTCGTCGTCGTCGTCGAGGGGTTTGCGCTCGTACATGCGTAGCACGTCCGGTTTCCTGCGGGACGCGCCCCTGGGCGCGTCTTCGTCCGCGGGGGCCGGTTTTTTTTCTTCGGGGGCGGCGGCGACGGCGGCGGCGGCGGCCACTTTCTTGCCGTCCTCTTTGATCGCGTTGCAGAGCGCGATGCGCTTCGCGCACATCTGCGAGTGCGAGTGCAAAGCGGCCCTGCGCTCGAAGCGCTTGCCGCACCCGCCGCACATCTGGAGGTCGTTGCCCGCCTCCATCACGTCGATCCACTGGAAAACGACCGTCACGATAATAATAAACGACTATTATTTGAAACAAAATTCGTAGGGAAAAGACACCTACGGCAGCAAGCGAGAAATGAGGAAAACAAGACAATGCTAAACAAGATTTTTCTTTTATAAAAAGAAAGTGCTTCGCGGTTTCGTGTGGTAAAAGGAGTACGGACCACTATGGAAAATCGATGTAATTTAATTGCGCATGCACCCTGCATAAAATGTCCTTCACATCTAGTAAGACTTCAAAGTTACAGCAAACATCGGTAAATATTAAAATTTGCGATATTTTCCCAAATATTTCGCGCCCCGTATAATTGACGAAACCTGAAACTCTTTCTCGACTCAGTTTACGATACTGTTCAAATGAAATTATCCCATCTTTAACGGTTCCTTGATTTATCGCCAATAATTAACCCACAAAAACGGAAATTTTTAGGATCTTTTACATTTTTTGCGAATAAACGACACACCCTGTATAGGATTATAGCCCTGGATCTTCCACGTTTCCTGATTCAAGATTTTTTTAAAAATAGTAAATTGTTTCGATAATAATAATCGATACACCCTGTACATAATTAAAATAATTAGGGAAATGGAGGTTATAGCCCTGGATTTTTCACGTTTTTTCTAAAATAGTAAATGGTTTTCGAGAAAACAAAACTTTTCTGAAACTATGCAGTGCGTCGTAACAATCAATGACGTCATCGCGTCTGAGGTATTTATTTTAAAAAATCAAAAAAACTTTGGAGGTTTTACTAATATTGTTTTCTATATTTGAAAAAAATATAGATTTTTTGACTATTTTTAAAAAACATGGAAAATTGAAGTTTTCTTACAAAAAAAGGGACAAATTTGAATTATGAAGCTATCCATAATCTTTGAAGATTTTCTAATTTTTTCTTTTACTTTTCGAAAAAAAAGGGGTTTGTCTACTTTTCCTATTTTAAAAAATAAAAAATCTCCATTTTTTTAGATATTTTCACCCATAATCGACACACCCTGTACATAATTAAAACAATACCGGAAATACAGACTGTGTTTTCTAAAATATTAAATGGTTTTCGAGAAAATAAGACTTTTCTGAAAACATGCAGTGCACCGTAATGATCAATGACGTCATCGCGTCTTGACTGAGCCCCCTGATTTTCATATAGATTTTTTCAAATTTCTCGACCAGCGTGTGTGATAGACGAAAACCGCAAATAGAAAAATTGTAGGTCTTGATGCGGCCTATGACACTGCTTGAACCGATTGGCCATATTTTTTACGATATTTGATTAGCGATTACTCTAGAAAAGAACAATTTTCAAAGCCTTTTAGATTTTTGCCTATAATTTAAAAACCCTGTATATAATCGAAAAAACGCTTGAAATAAACATTAAAGCCCTGGATCCTTCGCGTCTGCCAGTGAAAAAATTTTGCCGATCGGGTGAATGGTTATGGAGAAAAACATGTTTTTCTGGAAACCAGAATAACTAAAAATCCGGAAAACCGGAAACTTTTCGCCCCACCCTCGTAACTACATATAAATAATTGCTTAGCTTAGCCGTAGATAATTGATAACAATTAAAAATTGCAAATCGAAGCCTCAGAAGATGGAGAGAATTTGCTTTTATCCCATGACGGAGATCTAAAAAAAATAATCTTTTTACGAAATTTAATAAAAAAAAAACGAGAGATGGAACTATCAACTGACAACACGTGGCGATCCTCTTTCCTTGGTGAATTCAGTTTAACGCAGAAAATAGTGGAAAGGATTAAATCGGGGATCGGAAACAAAATGAAAAAAAAATCCAGTCCTGACCTGATTTTCTTGGGATTTTTCCGCCACGACGACGCAGTCGGTCGTCTTCTTCTCCTTGATTTCGTCGCGGCGGATCCAACTGTTGTGCACCTGCTCCCGCATACGTCTTACTTGTTTGTTGGTCATACGGTGGACTTTGAGCAAGTGGCGGTAGACGCACCAGGGGTTCGCGAACGCGTCCTTGCACGTTGGGCAAACGTACATGATCCGGCTCTGGTTGTGTTGGTTCTGCAAACCGAGTGTTACAGTGTCCACTGCGGTGGACCGGCGACAGAATAAACACGACGCAAGGATGCGACGATCGGTGTTGAAAAATCGGGATTACAAATAAAAACGCAAAAGCCCCTGTTCCCTTGGACGTTAACAAGTTTGAGTTTTTTAAGAAAAAATATAAAAAATAACGCATTCAATACTTTTCTACATATTGAAAAAATTAATAACATTTGAGGCTTTTCAATTTTTTAAAAATAGGAAAAAATCAAACAATTTTGTCTTGGTTTTCCTTTTCTTAATCCCCCTGAAATCAAAAAACGATTTTCTGCATTTGTTTACTCACTTAATTACTTTTTTAACTACTCCTATTTTGCTACTGACTCGTATATTTAAAATGTAAATACGATATTTTTCTGTTATAGCTTTATGCTAAATAAATCAATTGATAATAATAACAATTATTGAAGTCAACAAGAATCTTTGACTATTTTAGAAAAAATAAAAAAATAGTTTTTCAACATTTTTCTTTAATTTTTTGAAGAAAAAAAACAATAATTTTTGAGGTGCCCATTTTTTGTATTTTAAGAACAAGAAAATTTTTTCTAATTTTCTAATTTTTATTTTCTAATTAAAAAAATCAAGATTCTCTGGCGTTTCGTGTCTTTTATATATATATATATATATATATATATATATATATATATATATATATATATATATATATATATATATATATATATATATATATATATATATATATATATATATATATATATATATATATATATATATAAAACAAGAAAAGATGAGGTTTTTCTTCTTATGTTTTTGCTTTTATTTATATTTTTAGAAACAAAAAAACAAAAAATGTTGAGAAACTTCTAACTTTTATTGTTGTTGTTCTGTTTTTTAGAAGTTTTTGGCACTCCCGGACCGGCCACAGAATAAACAGCGCGTACGGGATTATAAATAAAAACTCGAAAGCCTCAACAAAAATAATAAAAAAAATGTCCTTAATGTCTTTCTATGTATTGAAAAAATCAACATTTGAGGTTTTTCAATTTTTTAATAGAAAACTTTTGAGGGTTTCCTTTTTTTTCCTTTCAAATCAACTTTCAGGATTTGCTAGATTTGGGTACTAATTATTGAAAATAACGAGAATTATTGATTCTGATTTGAACCTCAACATAAGAAAATGTTGAGATTTTTCTTTGAGGTTGGGTATATTTTATACTTTTTGAAAAAAACAAGAAAATTTGAGGTTCTTTTACTTTTGTCTCTATTTTTTTTTGTAACGGGAATTTTCGTTTATATTTACATTTTTTCGGAACAAAAAAATCAAAAAATTTTGAGGTACTTCTAACTTTTAACAAATTAAAAAACATTGAAGGTTTTCTTTTCTTTTTTTTTTAAGTTTTTCTTCTTTTTTTTTGTATTTTTTGGAAAAAAATCGAATACAATTTTTTTACTTTTAGAAAAAAATAAATATAAGGTTTTAAAGGTCTACGCTAAGAAAAAATCTAATCTTAGATCTTTTTCTATTTTTGGGGTTTGTCTATTTTTTTCTATTTATAAAAGAAATAAAAAAATGTTGAGAAATTTTGAGTTTTAAAATACATATTAAGAATCTATATTTTTTGAAAGAAGAAGAACACTTGCGGTTTTTTTACTGTTATTTCTACTTTTTTTGTAATGAAAAATTTCACCTACATTTCAATTTTCAGAAACAAAAAAAAAAAGAAAAATACTGATTTATTTATTTTAAAAAATCAAAAAAACTCTGAAGGTTTTGCTAATATAGTTTTCTGTCTTTTGAAAAAATAGAGAGTTTTTGACTATATTTAGAAAACATAAAAAATTGAAGTTTTCCAACAAAAAAAAACATTTAAACATTTTCTAATTTGTTCTTTTACTATTCGAAAAAATGAGGTTTGTCTACTTTTTCCGTTTTTAGAAAATATGAAACAATTTTAAAAAATAAAAAATCTTCGAGGTTCCTCCGTTTTTTTAATATTAAAAAAAAAAACAAAGAATATTTGAGGTTTTTCAGTTTTCATTTCAACTTTTTCTGTAACGGGAAATTTCGCCCATTTTCAGAAACAAAGAAATCGAAACATTTTGAGGTACTCCTTTTAAAAAATGAAAAAGCTTTGGAGGTTTCGGTTTTCTGTTATTTGAAATATCAAAGTTTTGAGGATTTCGTAATTTTGTTTTTTATCATATAAAAAAATAGAGAATTTGTGAAAAAAAAAACGCAAATTTTTAAGAATTTTTCTATTTAGAAAAAATCAATAATATATGAAGTTTTTCATTTTTTTTTTCCAAAAAACATTGATTTTTGAGTTTTGTCTTTTTTTAAGATGTTTTTCCTGTTAAAAAAATCAATTATTTTTGCGGGTTTTCCTGTTTTCCCATTTTTTGAAAAAATCAACAATGTTCGTGGTTTATCCCATTTTTTTCCTTATTTTCTGCGATTTTGTGAAATCGTAGACCCCAACAAAGACGTTTGAAGCACAAAAAATATGTTTTCTTCGATTTACTTCCAAATTCGCCCTTTTTTTGGAGGACCCCTCGCGATTTTCGAAAAAGTGGCCGAATTTATTATAACCATTTAAAGATTAAATTAAAAAATTAAGATTTAAAATAGCAATTATGGCCGCACGTACATCTTTCCCAAGGCCATCCGAAGCCCACCGTCGCATCTGGGACGTGTTTACTCTAAGACCTCCAAAACTTACCTTGACATGGTGGATCAGAGTTTTGCGGGTGGTAAACCTGAGGTCGCATTCGCCGCACGCGAGGTTAGACTTAGGAAATAGGGGATTCTCTCGGAGCTTCGCGGCCGTGAGGTACTGAGACACCTTGCCGTCCTCGCCAAGCACTACGTCCCTATTCTCCAGGATGCCGTGCACCTCCATCACCTCCGATTTCATCAGATCCGCGTCGCTCACGTCTTCGTCGCTTTTCTCGACGCCATTTTGAACCACCGTTTGGAACATGGCGGCGCCGTTCGTGTCGATCTTCTCGAGGACGACGTTATTGTTGAGAGACGCCGCGACCTCCAGGTCCTTCATGTCCTTGACGATTTTGTTCGAGTCGTCTCCAGTCAAGTCCTCCTCGGTGATTTTTTTAACGAGCGCCTCCACCTCCCGCCTATCGACCAGCTTATCGATTACGGTATCGATTTTTTTCTTCCGATCGATATCCGGCGATCCGAGGTTCGATTTTCCTGACGGCGTGCGCACGCGCTCCTGCAATACCCCAATTTTGTTTGCAACCAAAATTGTTTGTCACGAATCATCAAAATCAAAAATGTTGGAGGGAGTGAATCTGGCATTTGGACTCGAATATTGGACGTTATCAATGCGTCAAAGGGCATTTTCCAGAGGAATGGAAGTCATCTTTGGTGGTTTTAGACCCATCAACACTGTGCCAGTGTACGAGAAATTATTGGACCTCGTTGCAAAGGAGCAGCTGCAGAGAGATTGAGACGAAAACGATTGAACTGTCTCTAGTCAGTCGGGATTTCGAAAGGAACTGTGGATGACAATAGTTTTGTGTTGGCTGTGTTTTTGGACTTTAGAAGAGCTTTTGAGACAGTCAACGGGGATATTTTAGCCCTGGATTGGCTAAAATATCCCCACTTTCTTATATCTATGAACAGACCATACCACAGGGGACTGTGTTGAGGCCATTTTTGTTGTTTCTTCTGTATAATAATGATCTAGCTCTCAAGTTGGGAAAAAGAGTAAAATTACATTATATGCCGACATATGTGGCGTTGGTAAGAATGACCTGTATCGAATGTTTGTATGGCTGTGCAATAAGTTAATATAAATATAAATGGCGTTAATTTGCAGTATGAGAAATACATAATATAAAATATTTGGGAATTGTATTAGATCCACAATTAAATTTTGATTCACATTGTGAAGTTCTCGCAAAAGGTGGGTTTCATACCTAGAGCAGGCAAAAATTTTAAAAGTTCCACAAAATTTTAAATTTAAAATAGCTTGGCGGCGACATATTTGCAATAATGTTCAACTTTATTGCCTAGTATACCTAACTATAGACTAACGGAACTTCAGAAAATAGAAAACAGGGCAATGCGCGCAATTTTCAAATGTAATAGATATACACCTGTGATGACTATGTTAAATGTGTTACAAATATTAACTGTAAAGGAAAAAGTAATGTTTGATACATTTATATTTAAGATAAAAAATAAAATGATTAAGAATGCTCACGAATATAACACTAGAAACCGTACTGGTTTCATACTAGTCAATCGATGTAAAACTACACATACGTTGAATACCATTTTAAATAAAGGTTTTTTAGTGCTGCCAAAAAATATTAAGGAGTGTGATAATTTAAATGCTTTTAGAAAATTAATTAAAACTTATGTATTATCTGGAATTTTATTCTGAATTTTCTTTTATAATTGTTCTGCTGTTATATACTTTTGTTCTGTATACTTTGCTACTTTTATACTTATTTAAATTTTGCTACTGGCTCGTATATTTAAAATGTAAATACGATTGTTTTCTGTTATAGCTTTATGCTAAATAAATGAAGTATTTTTTATTTGTTTATTTTTTCTCCGGTGTTTAAAAAACGTGGATAATGGATAACTTTGTTGGAGCGTTTTTCACAAACCTGCCGATTCTGCAATCAAACATATAAAACGAAAATTGTATCTGTCAATATTTTATTATCAATGGTATACCCTGCAATTGAACGTGTCACTCGATTTCCTCCAGATTTCAAATATACAGGGTGTTTTCTAATTGAATGTGAATAATTTAGGGCGACGATTTTTGGGTCCATTTCAAAAAGAAAAAAAAATGCTTGTTAATTTTTGTCAATGGTTTTTGAACAAAATTGCTCATTACCCATTGCTCGACCAAGAAATACTATTTCCAGATGAATCCACATGAAAACCCCCCCGGAGTCGAAGAATTTAAACAGTATCCTTCAATGTGGAAGACAATTTCAACAACTGTGTTCTACTTTTTCTCAAAGAGGTCGTTTTTAATTTATTAATAGACAATTTTGTAAAAAATTAGGTTTCAGGTAGTGTTTTTTTTTTTTAATAAGAATCGTTTATTATTTATCTTGCTTTTAGGATGTTGTCTTATTTAATTGAAACTGTAAAAGTAAAACCAACAGCCTACTAATGCTTTTTTTTTCCGAAGGACACTAAAAACTAGATATTTTGGTTTAGATAGGTATTACATTTTTCCCAAAAAAAGTTCTCCATTTAACCAATGCAGTAGCGACCTAATTAATATTCATGATTTGTTCAATATGTTTGTTCATATTATTTGTTCAAAAAGATATTTGCATTAATTTTCACTTATTACACATATTAACCATATTGTTGCTTCATATATATTTGAAATCAGGAGAAAAAGTGGAATCGGTTGACAAATTCAAATGCAAGGGATTTATTTTATATTTTTCATTGATTGAATCGGAAGGTTTAAAAAAAAAACGCTCCGTAATTTAAACTTAAATCGTAGCGGTAAGCGGGACATAAAACTGGCGCATGCGCCACAATGCGCACTTTCCGTTTTAATCGCTGCTACGCCGTTAAATAAAATTTTTCTTTTATATGCGTAATTTTATAAGCTTTACGTCATAAATTATCTCGAATAAGCACATGATAAACTAACCAAAACACATCAATCTCGGTTATCTATGGTTCCCGGGCGTTCCCCCCATTTTCCGCGCCTCTAAGTGTTGTAGAGTTTCCCTGAACACCAGATTACCGCGAAGACGCACCACTTCTACATTTTTTGGGTTTGAATTACTACTCTGTCATTTCCTACAGTTTTTCTTAAATATTTTTTATTTTCAAAATGCACTACGACAATTACGATTGATTTCTTTAAATTTTTACGTCTTATTACTCGAACACTTGGCCAATCAATTAATCAAAACTCACCGGCTGGCGGTATCTATGGTTCCCGGGCGTTTTCCCCCATTTTCCGCGCATTTAAGTCTTATAGAGTTTCCGTGAACGCCCAGATCCTCAGCCTTTTCCGTTTTAATTGCTGCTTTAATGCACTCCGGCAAGTGAGTGCAATTTCTATAAGCTTTACGTCTTACCGCCACCTTTACTGTCAATTTACCGGGCATACGAAGCCGACAAACTAACCAAAACCCACCGATTTTCGTTATCTATGGTTCCTGGGCGTTTTCCCCATTTTCCGAGAGTTTAAATTTTATAGGAAGGTCAGATTACTTGGATGACGCACCTGATAGGCGGCGGCATTGCCTAAATAGTCGATGGAACCGCACCTCTCCTTGCAATAACATCGTTTGTGCAGCACGAAATTGGCAAGGCTCCTGTAAATGCTCCGACACACCTTGCACTCATACATGATGCCGCACTCGTGCATTACGTACCCCTTCACCTAAAAAAAAAAGGCATGAAGGAACCCCGTCTGACTTCAAACGGACCCACCTCATCGGTGGCGGTTTCGAGCAGCGCCAACACCTGCCTGAACCCCGTCACGCTGGTCTCGATGGGTCTCTGCAGGTTCGAAACATCGTGCTCAGTTTCGCTGTTTTGACTGGGCGCCTTGCCCAAAGTCGTGCTGACGGGTTTCTTCGCTTTTTTCGGCGCTTTGCCACTCATCTTCCTTTGAACGTTTAACGCTTACAAAACAGCTCGGCGGCCTCAGCTGAAAGGCAGGGTACGAAATGTAGCGAAACGGCAGACTCATTGTCGGTCTTAAAGACACTTTAGGTACGTCAAGGGATAATTAAGGACCTTTATATGGGTGGAACTTAAACGCCAGGGTTTACCATAGGCAAACAAAACCAACTGCCACACCTCCTCGCGAAAAAGGCGCGTCACGCTCGCCGAATCATTTGGCCCGTACGAACTGAAAGCCCACCTACAAGGTTCCGACGTTATATAAAAATATTTTCGTTCGGATGTGCAATCTAGTCAGAGGTCACAAGCAGACGTCTCTCCCTCAATTTTCCGATTCGATTAGCGTTCGTCGCGCGAATTTCGCACGTCGACGCGGATTCCAGTCCGAGAGGAACACGAGGCGACACTCGCCGCGCAAAACAATTTTAAATTAGCAAAGAATTTCTAAAATATTTCTCACCGTTCCCGATTGTAATTTGGCATATTCACTTCATCCACACGACTGTCGCGCCTGCCCTCTCGCGGATTCGTCGCGTGGTTGGAGCTTCGCGAGTCCTCCGTAAGATGGCAGTGATTTACTTTTTTTATAAGTTTCGAAATATTCTGTTTTTCTAACGGACATATATTATATTGTTTATATAATGTTTAAATTTGTTCCAATATTATTAATAGCTAACATTCTAAATCCTGCCATTTAAAAAACTGATCGGCGTGTGTTGACATTTGACTTTTGACGGCGTTTGCGAATATAGGTTAAGCAGTTATGAAACGATATTTTTATTAGTATTTATTGGGGTACTTTTAAGTCGGCGCGACATGAATTTACAACGAAGCGTCAGCGTTTTAAGGCGCGGTTACGTGCGTCATCCGACGTGCTTGAGGAATCGCGTTAATCGTATCTTTTTCAGGAGCTGACAGTTCGCTACAGGAACATGAAAACAGCGAGGCAAGTATCGAGCGTCGCCTTAAACGAGAAACGGGACAAGAAAAGGTCCGTGTCCACGTACGAAATAGCTACCGCGCCCAAAGAAGAGAGCTTGATCGTTAGGATTTTGACGAAAATACCGTTCTTGCAGTTCGAAAGAGAGGTACGTACCGCGAATTCGTCGCAAGCGACCACGGTTTGTTCGTCCTTGCAGCGGCTGAGGATCGTCGCGTGCGTGCTGTACGAGAAAATCGCCGATCAGGTGGATTACGTCGCCTTTTTTGAGAAATTCGATTTACCCGACACATTTTTCTCGTGGTTCATCGTGACCGAGCTACATCTTTGGATGATGTCGGTTCGTATGATGGCGGAGGGAGACAAAGGGAAGGTCGTCCGGAACGCCATGTTCGAGGCGTTCTGGCTCGATGTAGCCGCGAGAACGAAGCAACTGGGTGTATGTTTTTCTGCATCAGTGTCGGCGCGCATTGATATTTTATTTTCAGGCCGCCAGTCCCAAAATTATGAGGCAACAGATTAATGAATGTTCGGAACAGCTTCAGGCTGTTATAATAGCCTATGACGAAGGTCTCGAGTGCGACGATACAGTGCTAGCGAGCGCCATTTGGAGGAGGTTTTATCGGATGGAGCACGTCGAACTGCCCCACCTTGAGATGCTAGTGAGATACGTCAGGAAACACGTAAGCGGCAACCCGGTGCGAAACTAAGAGTGGAAAACCTGAGGAGTTCGATTTTTTAGGTTATGTTGTTAGACGCGGTGCCCACGGATCAGTTATTCACGCGCGAAGCCCCAATAAATTGGGAACCTATCAGCCTATATTAGGATATTAAGTTAATTGTACATAATTAACCGTTAATAAATAATTTATAGTGTGTTTTGTACTTTTGCTATTGCTATCGCACCTTTCATGAAACATTATGAGTCTAAAGGCTAATTTTAACGTCGCTACGATTAAAGACTGCGTACTGAGGTTGTAATGACCAACCTCTGAAGAATAACTTCAGAACTTACTAAATACCGCTAACTGTGTGCAGTTATCCCATCAAAATGCCACGAAATTAACTTAGACTTCTTAATTATTAAAAAAAAAAAAAATTAACCCAATCTCATTACGTCCAAATGCTAGGTAACGCATATTTTCAGTAGGCAACAAAGTACTACATAAATTGTAAAGTCGCTTAAACTTCTCGCCTGCAATGAGGTCCAATTTGATGCAGTTCCATGGCACGCGACTAACCGGCAGTCAAGACGCTTCAAGTTTTAAAACTTAAAATCTTACTATGTACGGTGGTTGACGTTTTCGCTAATATAAATTTGGCTGGTTAACACAGCGCACGACGTAAAGGCGCGTACACATCTTCAACGATAAATGAATCGTTACGGCTAAATTTAATTAATATGTCGTTACATCCCAGATTAGGGCTTATCATTTGCATAATTAAGCGAGGGTTAAAGCTGGCGAGGTTATTAAGCGGTCATTAATGCACAATTACGAAGGTGCCCTCACGCATTAAACTGTAATTAAGTAAGTAGTACGAGCTTAGGGCCAGTTACGCATATTTAAACGGAAAACGGGCGCTGCGGCGTGTTTATTGCGCGACGACCTACTTTCGAAGATGAATCAGCACGAGATCCAAAATGTTAAAGAGAGCAGGTGCGGCCTGCGCAGAACCTCGACTCACCTGCAGGATCTTAATTACCTCGCCGCTTGCGAGGCGTTCGCGCTGAGCGAACAGTACCTCGAGTTCAAGGCGCGTCTCGAAACTCAAGGCGTGCGGATAGAATCGGGTTTTGCCACCAGAAAAAGTACAGTTCGCAGACGGCCGAATACCCAGAAACAAATCGCCTCGGTGAACGTTCAAAAAGAAGAAGACTTAAACGTGCGCGAGTCCAGCGTTTTCGTGGAACGATTGCCGGGCAATTCGACGTGCAGCTCGTTGTCGTTTCGCTTCAAGAATATGTTCAAAAGGAGGAACAACGACAAGTGCGTCAGACGATACCCCGGCTGCTTTTGCAAGGAGGACACCGGCATTTATCTCGCTTTTGACTTGGACTCGCGGTTCTAATCGCGGAACAGTGCGCCGTGTGTAATTTCTGTATTTTTTTATTATTTTTGGAAATAAAACCCAGTGACGTTTTGTGTGTTTTTTTCTAATTAAATGTCACAGAACACATACGGTGAGAATCGATGTGTACTACGCTGCTGTCAATGAAACTGTCCTCGTTATGCTATCAAGGAGGATCTGCCTGCAATCGCGGTCGCAGCCTTGCGCGATCGAAACGTCGCCTTCTCTGACGTAAAACCTCCAGTATTTGTCGAACAGCGCGTCATTTTCGGACATTTTTCTTGCCAGGGCGTCGAAATACGCGGGTGACAGCGCCGGAAGACCGTACGCCTCCCTCGTCGAGTACAATTTTCGCCATCTCGGCGTAATGTTAGGGTGCAAGTTGGCCTGAGTCACGTTGAAGTAGTATGTGTCTATATCGACAACGTCCTTCGAAAAGTAAGGTTAATTTTTGACGTTTCCATTGATCGCAGCGCTGTGGAACACGCCTTCTACATTAAGGCATAGTAACGATAGACTGCAAACAATCGGTGAGTCGTCACGAAAAGGGAGGAAAATTTAAAAGGTGGCAAATAAAAATCAAGAGTATTCGCGAAAACGTGAGAATAGTTTGCTTACAATTAGTTTGTGAGTTTAGTTAAATTAGAACAAAGGATGTTCAGCTTTTCGAAACTGTTCCGGCAACACCGTTTCTTTATTGAACGCATAACATCTTCCCACGTCTATAATTATAAAAAGTTGGTAATGGATTCTTAATTGCAGTTATTGTAGGGTTTAACGACGATCCAGTAAATCCAATCCACATTAAGTAATAAATTTGAATATCTCATCTTGTTAATCTCGATATCTTGTAATGAGTGTAGCTGATGCCTTAATTTTGATCTAATTATCCTCAAACTAGTACATTTCTGAATTTAAATGGATGGCATAATTGGTATTATGTGGCGTAATTGATTTCTGGAATGTTCTACCTCTAGATTACAGATTTTTGAGATTTTCGTGATTAAGTTTTATTACTTTTCTTTTCCTATGTATTGTACAGTTTGTGCATCGGTTTTTAATAGGGGGTAAATGTAGTTCAGAGTTATTTGAAACTGTTTTTTGGTTACGATCTTATCTATACTATCAAAGAGGAGTCTTGACCATTATTTAAAATTATTTGTTTTGTAATATAAAATTTATTTTAAAAAACTCTATAGGAACTGGTATATTAAGCAGTCTGTGGATAAAAGAGTAAAAGGCAGCCATTTTGTGTGTGTGATTTTAGTTATTACGTATGATAAATGTAAAAATTTAATTTGTGTTGTTGTTTAGCTATTTAGTTTAGTTGCAGTTTGATTATATCACCCAATTCATTGTAGTTAATTTCCTATATTCTCTAATGAGATGATGTTCTGTGTTAAGGTGATTTTTGTTGGAATGAACTCTTTCTAAGTATTCAACACACAGGTTATATGCAAATAAAATAGGTTTTTTTTATTTTATAGGAGTCTAAGATCAAATTCAAAACTATCCAGATCACATTGTGGTCGTTAGTACGTTAGAATGATTTGGGCTATACATGTTGTATATTATATGTTATACCAGTTTCAGGAATGGGGATTCTACGTCGAAACTAACCAGAATATCTTGTATATCTAATGTAATCTTTTTGATTGTTCAATGAAATGAAAGGGATTAAGTACGAAACCATCAGTTTTCCTTCTAAGGGTTTTAATAAGCAAGCTACATATTTTGCTATGAGGGGAGAGGAGTCTGATAGAGAAGAAGCCTTAATAACAGTCTTAAGGTTGTTTTCCATAGATAGGTAATCTTTTTTAAGTTGACTATATGATCCATCTGTAAGAATATCTTGAATCTTTTCCTGATATCGATTTGTGTTCATGACCACCGTAGCAGTTCCTTTATCTTTATCTTTTAGGGAGGTTTAGATTTTTTAATGATTTTTGCGGTTTCAAATCGAATTTCATTAGCTGTTTGAGATGGCATTTTGTTTAGGATAGACGAAGTTGGAACCTGACACATTTAGGAAGTTGGTGCCATAATACATTTATCACAACGTTTGGCAGTTGAGAATAGTTTGATGGTGTCTAGTGTAAGTTAGTGTAGTTCTAAATGTGATTTTGGGTAGAAGACTTTCAACTTTGTCATGAATCGTATTTGGAAAGGATCAAACTTGGATGGATACAAAATGGAAGCAATTTCAAGATATATAGAGACAGAAGAGTCTTATTGATTTGGTCTATTTCGTTACGGGTATGATGGATTCCTTCTCGAAGTAAAGCGAAACTAGATTTTCGAAGAATTTTATAAGCGGATGAGGTTTTGACATTATGGGACATTGGGGATAACAGAGTAACAAAAACGCTAGTGTTGAAGACGGAAAAATTAAAATGAACATCCTCTAAGAGGTTTCTTGGGTGGTATAGATGTGCGGATAATGTTTTTGCTCGCTTCACTGAACCTGAAAAACAACTACAGACTTTTTTGAATCACACCAACTCGTTGTATAGTCTCATTAAATTCACCATTGAGACGGAACAAGACAATTATTTATATATGTCAAGAAACGCTAGACTACTACACAAACACAGCCATTTAGCATTGCCTATCATCGTCCAATCTGTGGGCTTAGACTGAAATTATTGTTGCCTTTTTTATATTTAACTGGTTTAACATGTTGAAGTACCATACACTTCAGTACATAGTATACATACTTATTACTTCTTGTTATATTATTATTAAAGTATACAGTGATTAAAACGTTATTTTATGCTCTGTTTATACTGATGTTATCAACGCTATACATCCCTTAATGTGATGACTCATACTTTACCGTTACACGACCTTGTGAACTAGGCGGTGTTGTAATTTTTCGCCGAGAACTCACGTAATTGTGCCCGTCCACGGTGACGATCTTGTAGTTAGGGTTGTAGTTGGTGTACGGGGTGAGGCTGCCGCCGTTATAAGCCACGCTCACAGGCCTTCCTTCGTCGTAGAATATCTTGAACGCGTCGGTGTGCGTGTGTCCGAAAAATTGACCTTTGATCACGTGCGAAAATCTGCAAACATACCCCAAAGGTATCTAGGTCGGTATCCGTAAACCCAATGAGTTGCATTGCGCACCCAGGAAAGGGTAACAGGTACGAGAGGTGTGGAGGTGTTCTCCGTTCGTCGCTTTTTCATTTAGAAAAGCGGTTAAGGGTAGTGCGACTTTCGTACCTGGCGACCAACGCGTTATAGCTCGCCTCCCAAGGTTCGACACATTCACGCTCTCCAGGAAACACGTGACCCAATATGTGAACGAACTGACCTTTGTCCTCGGCGTCCAGCAATTCGTCTCGAAGGAAATCGAGCTGCTCCACGAGAAACGTCGTATCGTACAGCAGCCACCTGATAACGCACCATTTTTTTTATTGGTTTTTATTGGTCATTGTACAAAAAAAAACAGAGGTCTTGATCTTAGACTTCCATCAAATTCGAGAACCTCACTTTCTATAGCTCCATAAAAGCTGCACGTATTGTTCTAACTATCATATATCATATCATTGTTCTAATTTATCATATTCTAGTTCGATTTTTTAGGTTATGTTGATAGACGCCGCGTCGATGAATCGGTTATGTACACCTGAATGCCAAATAAATTGGGAACCTATCAGCTCATATTACCATATTAAGTTATTTATACATAATTAAGCGTTAATAAATAATTTCTAGTATATTTAGTATTTTTCTAACAACAAAAAAAACTAAACAAAAGTCACGTTTATATTGCATTGAATAAATTAACATAAAATTACATAATCCTTAAAAAATATTTTTTTTTTAACTCAATTTTATTACGCCTAAAGGCTATCAAGGTAAACTTTCAGTTGGCTATAAAGAAACTACGATAAAAATTCGTTCGTTCCCGCCCGAACAAGTTCTAATTTGATGCAACTCGGTTGCTTGCAATTAAATGGTCCGGTATCTAAAAAGTGCAAGTCGGACTTAAAAGCGGCAATTGACGTTTCTGATAATATAAGTTTGGTTAGTTAACAAAGTAGACAATATAAAGGCATGTACACATGTACAAAGGATAGGCGAGTGTCCCTAGTACATTTGCCCAAAGTAACGTAAAAAGTAAAGAGGAAGATTCTAATATGGCTGGGTTTACGTACGTAAGAAGAAGTGGTAACGTTTCGACATAACCTCAAACTAAACGACGTACCAGTTGTATATGTAACAGACATTGTTGTTCAAGCCGACGATTTTTAGCTTGTCGTTCGCCATCACTGAGTAGTAGCCCTGTCTGGAGATGGTTTTCGAGCTATCTCCTAGCCAGCGACTCCACAACCGATCGCTCAAACCGTAAAGCCAGGACTGCGAAAACTCGGCCCGAGTGACATTCGGCGGGGCGAACCTAAAAACCTAAAAAGTAAGATTTTGACGGGTAGACGTATGGAAGTTGCACGTACACATTTAAAGGTGCCGCCTCGTGGTTGCCTAAGACGGGCAGTACAGGCGTATTCGGGAAGCTGGACGCCAGTTTCTGATAAACGTAAGCGATTTGCTTCGAGTTCTCCATCGATGACGCTTTCCATACACTGTGGTCTATGACGTCGCCGGTAAAGTAGATCGCGTCGATATCCTGCCGGATAGAGAACGAAAATCATAGACGGCGGAGGCGGTTGTCACATTGAGGTTAGGATTTTCAACGTCGCAGTCGTTCACACGGTAAAGGTATGTACGGTACTTACGTAACAATTTATTTTAAAGAAAAGGTCGCCAAAAGGCACTTGTTTAAGGGAAAAAGGTATCATTTTTATTTCAAAAATGCAAGAATTTGTATAAAAATTATGTACAGTGCGTTATAAGCTAATAACAATTAACACTTTGACTGCCATGTGCATCTTTAACTATACTCAGTGACTTGGCTTAGGGTGCCACGTGTATATTTTGGTATACACGTGTAACCACTAATATTGTGTCGCGTATATGCTACAGTAATTCGCTTTACGTGCTTTTCTAACCAAAACGTTTTTAGCGCTGACTTTTAATATTTTTATTTTTTTATACAATAATTTAATTGCTTAGCTACTATATTATTTTGAAATAAAACACGAGTTTGAGCATATATCTAAATATAAAAAATACATAATCGAAATAAAGAAAACATGTTCTATTTCATGGAATAGAATCATCTGAAAATTATTTACAGAAATAAGAATCTATACGTTGCCTTTATTTTTTCAAGTAAATCGTAAATTTTCTGTTTCTACTTCTTATCGCGGGTTTTACAAGCACGTACTTTTCCTACCTGGGATGGCAGTACAACTTCCGCTACTGGAGCTTTCCAACTCATATTCACGATCACCATCAGGCTCATTTGCAAATGCTTCATCTTCACTCATATCAGAAACTTCCTCCCATATTCTCTGCAATCTAGACTGTTCAGTTTCGTACGATCCTATTTCTATGAACCACACCAAATCACCATATATACAACACAGGACACTTATAAACTGCACTGCACCACATTCAGACTGAAAGTGATGATTATTTACAAGATCACAACGCGTCCGATAGACAAGAATAAGCATGCTTCACCGTGTAGATCACGATATACCTATGTTTTTTAATTCTACGCCACGTGTATATTTTTCATACACTAGTCTTAATGTCATAACAATATCTTTAGTATGACAAAAATTTCCTTAAAATATCTAAACTGGTATTTCTGATATAAGTAAAAAAAATATATTTTATTTTTTAAAACTTTACCGCCTGTATCTCAAAAGTTAAGAGGTTTAGGACATCAGTCTTCTTTTTAAAATGGACCCAAAATTCCCCCCCCCCCCCTAATTAGAAAGCACCCTGTATATTTTGTATCTGCTCATAGCAAGCTTAATGAAATTTAATTTGTATGTTTGGGAGGAAATATGACTACGCCACTGAATCCTACGCAAGACACATTGACAAGAGACTGCTCAGCTGGTTTTCTTCCCTATAGGTGCCCGGACATTTGGAATGAGATGAGCTCTTTCTGAGAACAGTATGTTGTGCTAAAAAAATGTCCAACAAGTCCAACGACTTCTTGCTTCATCGTGGGGTTGATTTTCTTCCTGTGTGACTTAAATGTGTTATTCATCGTAGTTCTAAATGATGAAGGTATCGTCTTGGTTGTTTTGATAGCTTCTTTTTCAAACCAGTTCAATGTTCTCGAGGACCGGAGACAATAGCGATCCCATGGGTAGCTCATCCACTTGTGAGCAGAAAGTGTCGTTTACTTCAAAATAAGAATGGATACAACATTCAAATAATTCCATGATCAATGATAGGTTTGTCGCGTCTAACAGCAACGGTAGATGTCACGCATCAGCCACTAGCAATCCTGCCGACCCATATTTAGATTCGTACTTTTAAGAATTTTATCATTGTTCTATTGATAACGATTGAAGATACGTCGTAATACCTTGTGGACGTCGGAGATGTGTGTCAGCGCATGCGCGAACATCCACGGCGGGACGTCGCAATTGTAGTGGCCCCAGACGCCGGCATTGGCGCCCCGCAGCCTGTTGCCCAGTCCCCGTTTGCAGCACACGGGGTAACCGCAGTCGGCCACGCCCCCTACCTCGTAGTCGTGCGTCACGTGAAAATCACTGACGTGCAGGATCTTGATAGGCCTCTTCGGCGGCGACGGCGGCACCCGGGGCACCTTGGGGGGCCCCTCGGGCACTTTCGTACGCCAGAGAAGCGCCGGGTGCTCCACGTAGCAGTTCTCGTTCTGCAGGAGCACTGCGCACGCGTACTCCGGGCTCAGGATCGAGCTGCCGCGAATGACGTAGTCTAAAATCGGCTGGATTGGAAGTCAACGTTTACTTGCTTTTATGTTTTCTTGAGGAAAGGAAAAATATTTAGTCCCCAGGGAGACTTTAAGATTTCTATTGAGGACTGTGTTCTGTTCCTGACAGTGGCAGATAGACGCTGAACTATGCAACTTTCGGAGTTGAAATGTGTTCCAATATGGTTCCATCAGATCACCAGGAAGAAAAGTGACTAATAGATGAGGCTGAAAAGGCTGGCTTCGCAAAAACAACACCTTGGACAAAATAACGTGTGAAACGAAAAAGATTGGCTTCACTCCATCTTTGGGTGCTGACGATGACGATTGTTCGAGAACAATTAGACAGTTTCGAAGGAAAAACAAGAATATCTATTATGTGGACGAAACTTGGGTAAATGATGGATGGTCCGCTGGAATGAAAGCACCTTCGACAAAAGTTAAAAGATTAATAATTACCCACATTGGTGGTGGCTTTCACACAAAACGGACTGGAGAGTATCGTGAAGATAAAAATGCTGATGTTTTTGAAGACCACGTTATCAAATGTTGGATCTCAGTCGTGGCTAATTACAGCTAAGGTTAATTTTTCAAGGATACTAAATACCAGGCATCGCGAATATATTTATAGAAGATTTTGAGGAAGAAAGACCTCAACATCTGTACACGTTACACTCCCATTCGTGTAAGGCTTGGGTCTTTAGGCTAGTTGTCAGGGTCTTAGAGTATTGAGTTCTCTAAAGTTTTGCTAATATGTAAAATAAAAAATAAATTACTTTCATCCTACTTACAAGATTGTTTAATTCCTAGGTCGTACAACCATTCTTATAACGTTAGGAGTAAAAATGACTTTGATATTCAGTTTGTTAAAACTCTACAAATGCAAAAAAGCCTCTTTAGTTATGGGCTTCGATCGTTCAATGTTCAATATTTTTATTAAATTTTTGTTAGACACCTGAATAGGCACCTCTCACACTCTTCTTTAGACCTTCCTCAAAATCGGCATTGGTTGAGTCCTCTGTTATTATTTCTAAATTTTTAGATTACGATCTTCCCTTGTTCCCCAATTTCTATCATCCACAACTGGAACAGGTTTCTCCGTGGGGAGTAAAAATTTCCCTGTTTTAACATTTTGGCTATCAACTCCCACCATTTCCGTTCCTTAGACTTCAAAAATAACGACCCGGGGGTGTTTCCCGTCTCACCTTGTTGATTTTGATGATTTGGTGGCAAAAATCGCTGATCGTCCACGTCTGGAACGTGATGTAGAGGTTGCAAAAGGTCGATACGACCTGGTCCAGCGGTACCACTCCCGTCTGGATGTTGTGCACGAGTAGGCGGCAAGTCGTGCAGATTACCCTTTCTCCCGCGAGCCTCGTCTTGAGGGTCTGGGGGCTCAGTTTCAAGTCCGTGAGGGCTTCCTCGAACCGGACGGGGTCTAACGCATGGTACGACTTGGCTTTGAGTACTCGGGCCAGCTGCTTTTGGAGTACCACTGGGAATTATAGAAAATTCGTAGAGTAGTACCACAAATTAAGACAACACATTTGCAGTTTTAATGGGATTTGACAATGTATTCTTTTCACTGAAGGCAAGGGTCCCAAATTCCATAATGCAGTCCTCTATTAGGTAGAAAATTATAGATTTTTTTTTGCTTCGCAGTGCTAGATAAACTGTTTTTCATATCTGGGGAAACAACAATGCACAAATAATGTCCATAAAGGCAACGAGATAAATTACTTATTATCTCTTCCTAAAAATTATGTAGAGAATTTAGAACAGATGTGAAAGAGACATTGGGCCCACGCCTAATTTGATCTGACACTCTTCAGCTTGAATGTATTATTGCAAAAAAGCTAGAGACGCCTGCGCCTTCCATATATTATCAACTCTGCTAAACATACAGATCTAATAAAGCTACCTCAAGACAAAATGATAGATGACTCAGTATTACAGTGAAATGCAAAAATATCCAAAATGTCTCCAAGCTTTAGACAAGCATAATCATGCTAATGTGGAATGATAACATGGACCATAAGTGTTGGGAACAGTGTTTAAAGTTTCTTGGACAAATGTGAAGGTGAACAAAATAGGAAGAGAAAGGGAATTGCTGCGACTAGTGAAAAGAAGAAAGGCCTCTAGATACCAATTCCTGAAGGTGATTATGGATCTTAGAACATCAAGGATTCCTTCTGTGTAGATGGTTCACCTTGTTGACTCCTGAAGCTGTGTCAGTTATCAACAACCAACGCAGGATGAATCCAGAAGAATGGTAAATAGAATTACAAGAAGAAATAAAAAAATACTTCTGTCCCAGAATTATTCGATGCCCGTGTACTCTATAGAGCTGCACGCAAATTATCTTTATTTTCTTTAACTCATGTTTGACATCAAATTGTCACTGATTGCTGGAGGCAAACTGGTGTTTAATTCTGGCTCTTAGACAAAAAGACAAACTTGTTTCCCCAAATCCGACACCGATAGGACAAAATACCTTTAAAATGTTAGTCGTCATTTGCATAACACCCAGTATATCCGCCGGAGCGAGAGACAAAGGTCGGCGGTTCTCGCGAGGCAATTAAAAATCAACCGGTGATTAATTAAAATATTTTCCGCGTGAAAGGTGCGACAAAAACAACGGCGGTGACGTAAGACTCGTTTTTTCCCGCTACTCACGCATCTGATCATCTTCGATGCCGCCCCCGGTATCTTCCTTGTGCCCCCGACCCTTGGAGAAATACGTCACAGATACGATACCCGCCACAAGACACAAAAGTTTTCTCATAGCTTCGTCCTTGTCGTTTCAAGACCGCACTGATTCGGATCAACTCTCGCGGGTCGCTTTTAAAAGACACCAAGAGAACGTTTGCGTTTTATCGTAATCGGAAATTACCTGGGTTTCGAAGCCCCGCCCTCGTTATCATTGCGGTACAAGGTTTTTAGGTTAGGTTCGCATGTAATTGCGATTAATGTTGCGTGACGCGACTCCCTTGTAATTAAAATACGGTTGTCGATATCAAGCAGTCAACCAAAACGTAACTAGTACGTCTGTTCTACATGCGCATGCGCGAGATTCACAACACAACAATCAACATGGCCGCTGACAGATCTTCAGTATGTTCAGAAGCGGCATTTCTGCGGCAGTGTTTAAGTTAAGAGCGCGGAAATCGCTGTTCAGTGTGTGAGATTCAGAGGCATGCGCGTAAAATCATAACCTAAGAAAATAAAGGTTCCGCAAGGTGGATCGAAGTACTTAGGAACATTTTATATAAATATTTAAGGACTACATTTAATGTTTCAAATAATCGCATTTTCTTTTGAATTGCCCATACGCATCTCGTACTTTGGCTTGTATTTTCACCATTTCTTCGAGAGAGGAATCTTCCCAATGATAGATAAACATTTCTCTAGCAGCTTAACTGAATATAACTTGTTGAATGGTTGCTGGTGGTCCCAGATCAACTTCTTCATCTTCTTCTTCCTCTTGGTGCTCTTCTTCACCATTTTGTGCTTGTTATAATATGGCTTCCTATGTCAAGTCTGCTGTTGTAGGCAAATTCTGATCTGTCACCATAAAATCTTGCAACTCCTCTCTTGTAAACTTAATTGTTGTTTGAAACTGCTTTATCCTCTCCCTTAATGGCTGATCATCTTCAAAGTCCTGTTCGCATTCTGTCTCATTAATAAGTCCTGCATGACGATAGGTGTGTTGAATTGTTTCTGCTGTCGCCTCTTTCTAAGCTTTACATATAAATATTAATGGAAAATTTGTCTTCCGATTCGATCATTTCCATTAAAATGTTTTACTTTTTATTACGCTCTCAGTTATCTAAGAGAAGTGATATGTATTTTCTTCCCCTTTAATTCTGCATCCCATTTTCGTATCTCCTCTTCGATAATTTGCGATGTCATCCATACAAACTTGTTGGCCATGTAAGTGGGCGGCAAATGCTTGATGTTCTTAAAACATCGTGGGTTAGTTGATCACGGCTAGCTTTCCTTTTTCTCTCCCACTCATATTGGCAGCTAGTAACACTGTTATACATTCTTTAGAAAGTTTTCCATCCACACGAAATTTAAGAGTTATCTGGCGTCATTTTTTAAAAAGTAGCAGTTTCGTCAGTAATAAAAATATCGTCAGCAGGGTACTTTTCTGCTAGTTTTGACCACTTCTTCTCCAGCCAATCGTTAGTGACGTTTCTGTACGACATCACGGGCTTCGCCACTTATATGTCCATAATTTATAGCATGTCTCTGTTTGAACTTCCCCAACCATCCTTCCGAAGCTATCGAAGCTTTTACAAAATAATATCTTCTTCACTGCACTTAAATTTTAACATTAAAAGTGTACTATTTGTTAGGGTCGTGAAATCATCATAGTCAATATTTTGAGCATTCATTAAGAAAAATAGCTTTTCTCACTGCCAATATACTCAGCTATAAATGAACCAACTAGCCTTCGGCTCAAAGTGTCAAAATTGTAATATTTTCATTTTTTAAATTTATTTTTAATAATTTCGATAGAGTCCACACAGAGTCGTACCATAGAAATAGGTCCAAAGTTGTTTGCAGTAACTTCCCCACCTTTATGTATGAGAATTATTTTGATATTTTTAAAATATTCGCATTTTGGTTTTTTATTTCATTTTCGTAAAAGTTGTTGTAGCTGTTAATATTTCCTGTAAGATGCGCCTTGGGGTAGTCATCGTTTAGCAGATAAAGATTATTTCTTATTAATTGAAGTTTTGTATTAATCATTACTTCTTTCACGCAAAAGCAAATCTCAATGGTGTCGGAAAAATATCTATTCAAGATCCAAATTTTTGATTTAAGGACAATGTATTTATTTTTTGAAAAAATTTTATCGTACCTTCCTGATTAAACTTATGATACCTTTTTTTGTACCAATGACTTTATAAAATTGTTAGAATACAAAATTGCAGCTGACGGAAGATTTTTTTAAACATTGTCGACATTCTGTGATTGAGCAAAAAAAATATCCATTGCATTAATATACAGGGTGTTCCGTTTAAAGATATATGTTTGGTTTTCTACGTATTTTTATATTTGAAAATAATTTTAAGTTGTTTCTTTTAGTCTTATCTATAAGCTTTGCATTTATTTTGCATTTTTGCTAAAACAATTAATAAATTAAATATACTACTCAGTTAGTCAGTCAGATTTTTTTTTCTGTCACTAATAATTAATCATCAATATCTTCCTTACGCACGTCAAAACCAAAAGTAACCCAAAACTAACCAACATCAGACGTTTTTAACTCATTTAAAGTGCCCAAACGACAGAAAAGTGAGGTTATGATTTCACATTTGACATTCGCCTGAAAAGTGAGGTTATTTTTTGACATTTGACATAAGTTTAATGTCATGTCGAGCAAAACGGGGTCTCTTTCCTTCTTGTCAAATCGAATTCAGTTCAGTTTCAGCGACGCCTAACCGGTAACCCACAAAGATAACGCGTTATCACTCCAAAAAAAGTAAGAAATATTCCTTTCCCGTCGCGTCCGCCTAATTTACGATAACGATTATACGTCGATAACAATATTATAATAGAACAGGTGAAATTTTGCGTTTTCTTTCATTGGTTTTTTCCCCAAAACCTATTTGGGTCATTCCGTCGATATCTGTTTGTCGTGATGTCGCGCGCAATATATTGAACGGTTTCGCGGCGTTGCCACTTGTATCCGAAACGAAGGAACTTTAGGGAGAGATCGGACTAGGATGTTTTATCTCTTTCGGGAGGTTATCCGTCTTTCCGAGTCAAAATTAAATTAAAAATCTTGCTCAATACAAGAAAATAGTTGTTTGAGCTACCGAAATTCGTCATAGTTACTTCGGTTTTGGTTAGTTTTAGAGGATGGATGGATTTTCATCTTAAAGCATCTAGAAAAAATGTCATAAAATTTATAGACCCGGTAACAGCTACTACGATTTTGAGGTTATGATTCTTGCTTTCTTCTTAATTAAGGATGTAACAAGTTCAAGAAAAATTGCAATTTGAACACTAGTATAACGCAATCAATAGCTTTTGTGCAGTTTAAAAAAGTCACAACTGTTGGTAAGCTGAGACTTAAGTTTTCCTAGATAAATTTGCTAAGTTGAGCTTTCTTCTTGAAGAAACCCAATTGCCTTAAACTCTGCAGACTCACTCCATTAATCTTGATTTCAAAATTCTATTGGATAGAGTCTCTATAGTTTCCGAAGAGACAAAAACAGACTTTTCTGTGTCGAGTGCTAGTTTATTTTGATATAGCCAGGGCCATGGTTTTGCTTTCATTGGTACTGCAGTGTCATCCGCTATTACGGTATCTTGCAAAACCAATAAATCATTTATATATAAGATGAATAATATTGGTCCACGTATTGAACCTTGAGGCACTTCCAACACTTGTTTTAACTTGCTCAATTTTAATACCATATACCCTTACAATTTTCCGCTCTTAGATCCATATTTTGCAATTTGCACACTAGTATAAAAAGCTTTTGTCTAGTCTAAAAAGGTCACAACTGTTCATCAAGTCAATGTGTTGAGTTTATTAAGGAAGTTGAATAACCTGACAAAAACAATGTTTTCAAAAATCTTAACATGATATATATTAATATTATTTTTGTTAAGTTAATCGAGATTTGGCAACGCCGCGATCAAAGCTTCAGGTCAGGTTAAATAAAATAATCAATTAATTATTAGGCGCTATAAGGAAATTTACTGGGTGTTTAAAAAAGACCCGGGACTATTTAAGGTCAGATTATTTTATTAAAAAGAAGTTCCCTTAAATGTAGGTCCTCAAATGCACGAGATACAGGGAGTTATAATAATGTTGTTTAGATTGATTCAAATATAAAATGCTGATTTGCAGAAACTAAATAAAAATTAATAATAAAATAGTAAAATTTGTTCAAAGAAACGTACGCCACTGACTTCAATTTAATTTCGATACTTCCCTGATATAGAGCGACTAAGACTAGTGTTCTTTCGTCTCTTGAATTTTTCTCGAATTTGCTTTGTTTAAAAAAAAATAAAAAAACTATTTTCAATGATATTTGCGACGAATTCGACTAAAAATAACTTAATATTGATCATACAAAATATTTACAAAAACTGTTTGAAAGTGACCACCACTTCCACTGGATCTTGCTCGTACATTTTTATCAATAAATTTTATGATGCTGCCCCCTTTTCTTAACGCCACTGTGTTTTATTCAGTTAGGTCCAAATCGGATCCTTGTCACTAGAAACAACGCTTAAAAAAAACAATATTTATATGTATATTATTTTTATTATTTTTTAGGCAACTATATTTTTGTATTTATTTTGAAAAAGTTTGCCTGTAGAAGATAGAATTTTTAATAAGTAATAACAGCTTCTTTTTGTATTTTTTAAACTTCGAATGGTGATTTAAGAAGAAAAAATATGGGTATTAAAAACTAGATTTAGTGCGTTTCATATTACATACGTATTTTTTAAAAGTATGTTGTTCTTATAGTTTTTTTTTCTTCAACCTTGCGGAATCTAAAATACATACAAATACGAAATAATGGTAAATATTTATTTATTATGAGTTGAGTTTATTTATTTTCACACTTTTAATTTTTTAGTGAAAACCGCGGGACGAACTAAAAAAAATTAGGAGATCAAATCAGTGGCGTGTCACTGACTGCACATGAGTAAATAACATTTTAATCAGGTCGCTACTGTACTCGTCAAATCGAGAACTTTTTTTGTGAAAAATATCTAGTTTTTAGTTCCCGATTAAAAAAAAAAAACACTTCCTACCATTAATAATTTCTAACAAAATTGTCTGTTAATAAATTAATAACAATTTTTTGAAAAAAAAGTAGAACATAGAAGTTTTTAAAGGTTTCAAAAATACGCATCAGAGTTTACGTACTTCGATTTTGTGAAGTATAATAAAACACGGTAAAGGTAATCTTAACCTGCTTGTCGTTCCACCATCAACAAAACAATAATACTGGCACCGTTGCCGTCAGTGCCTATGCGTACGCGAGCGCAGCTGTAAATCGTGCTTGTTTTCCTGGAAAAACCCCAATCCTATGGTAATAGCCAGTAGCCTACCAGAACTTTAACGGACCTCATTGCGGAATACAATAATATAAAGAGTATCGATATTCTCAAAGACGCATTTAAGCTTCAAATAACTGGACACACTCATCAATGAACCACGAGGACCAAGACCCCAGATCAGATCGAGAATTGAGCAAACTCAGGAAGCACTTCTGGCTGCTACGTTAGACCAACTAGCCAGGAGTATATGATGATATGGCTGCGCAGTGTCTTGCAAAACCCAACAAGTCATTTATATATAAGATAATCAATATTGGCGCAAGTATTGAGCCTTGCTGACTTTTAATACAATGTATCCTTACAACTTGTATCCCGTATTCCCATACTCTGCAATTTGGACACTAGGATAAACAAAAAAGTATAAAAAGTCAAACTAACCCAAACTATTGGTAGTCTAAATTTCATCATCATCGATGAACTCGTCGATGAACCACGAGGACCATAACTCGGGACACTCAGAACAACATGAGAGGACAAAGAGAAAACGGTCATATGAGAAATTTGAAGGAACAAACCGAGCGGTCCCCATACTTACAGGATATGAGCTTCGTTGACCCAGTGCAATTACGAACGCTCTCGCATAAAATAACAATCGTTTCTCGGCACTTAAAAGAGTCGCCGTACGTCGTAGCCCCCCGAACCAAAGGAAACTGCATATTACTGGGTTGCTTAAACGTCTGGTGTAAATCATTTCATTCTGGTTTTGATTGGGTCCGATTCGTTGTGCGAGATCTCAAGCGTGGTCGCGTGTTCTAAGCGGCGGGCCAGTGGCGTGCGTGTCCGATCGTTTTTTCGGAAAATTTGCACGTCTATATGGCGCCTACCTCCATATTTATAGAGTTTTATCCAAGTCAGCTTTTTTTTTCTTTATAAAGAGTTGTAGGCACTTGAAAAATACGCATATGTGTTTCAAATAATCGGTTATTTCTTTTGAATTCTTTTAGTATGCCAATACGCATCTTGTACTTTGGTTTGTACTTTCACCATTTCTTCGAGAGGGGCACATGATACATAAAAAAATTCTTTTGCAGCTTAACTGAATATAGGGCTTGTTGAATGGTTGGTGGTGGTCCCAGATCAACTTCTTCTTCCTCTTGGTGCTCTTCATCACCCTTTCTTGCTTGTTGCAATATGGCAAATCCTGATCTATCACCATAAAATCTTGCACCTCCTCACTTGTAAACTTAATTGTTGTTTGAAACTGCTTTATCCTCTCCCTTAATGGCTGATCATCTTCCAAGTCCTTTTCGCATTCTGTCTTGGTAATAAGTCCTGTATAACGGTAGGAGTGTGGAATTGTTTCTGCTGTCGCCTCTTTCCAAGCTTTACTAATAAAGTTGACTGCATCTAGGATATTAATGGAAAATTTGTCTTCGGAATCGATTATTTGCATTAAAATGTTTTTCCCGTATCGACTCTTAAGACTTTTTATTACGCCATCGGCTGTAATACACTTGTTGTTTTGACTGGAAGAAATATCAATTCAATGTTCCGTAGATTTGGAATATGAGGATATACAGGGCAGTTATCTATCGACTCTCACGACTTTTTATTGGCTGGAACAAATACCACTTCAATGTTCCGTAGATTTGGAATATGTGGATGTGCAGGGCAGTTATCTAAGAGAAGTAATATTTCCCTCCCCTTTAATTCTGCATCTCATTTCGGTATCTCTTCTGCAAAAATTTGCGATGTCATCCACGCAGGCTTGTTTGCCTTGTAAGTGACCGGAAAATGCTTGATGTTCTTAAAACATCGTTTTGGTTTGTTTTTAGTATTTTAGTATTTCTCATGTTTTTTTTTAGCTGCTTTCTGACTTTGGAAGGTTGTGGTGAAGTGTATTTTGTCATAGAATGTAGGAATTATTAGAGAGAAAAGTAAGACTCGTTGATAACCGATGATTTTTGGACCTTGTGGTGATGTGACAATGCATTCAGGCGTGTCCGTATATTTTCTGTAAAAAGAATAACCCAATGTTATGAATTATGACTATTACTATTACTTTCTAATGCAAGGCTAAAACGTATGTTAGGGTGTGTGTACAGTTGATCTGGGAAGATTTCTTAAGCATGAGGAATGCAAGTGTAAATAGTAGCCAAAAACCACCGAGATTTGAGTTGTCGCATTAAACCTGGTCAACACTGGATTGAATGCGAACCCAAACCTATTACACAATATAGAAGGCTACCCTAGAATAGCCTATGACGACCAAAAGACTCGCTGATGGCGACCTCAGTAAATGCATTTGTTATCACAACTGTTGCCTTATTTTATTATTATATGGTACCATTTTTTTTATTGTAAGAGTGTGAATCTTCGCCCGTGGCGTTTCCTTCTATTCTCATTAATCGACAGCGGCGCCTCAGTATATCTTTTATTATTGTTAAGGCTTCTTCTGAGGAATCGCTTGACTCGTTTGCCCTACGTGTCTCTACAATTGCCGAAGGTTTTTCTTCCATCTGTTTTTTCTTGCCAATGGATTTACCTACCCCACTGGTCCAACTGGACTAGCTTTAGTTAAATGCCTTATGACAATCCAAAAGTAAATTGTATGTTATTTTTCTGGACCTTACGGTTTATTGCGTCTTGACTGTCTGTGCAATTGTTTATTACGAATCTTTTCGCTCTCTCTCATTCTCTTGCACATCGTTTTAGTGCAGTATTCTCTGCCATTTCAGTCAGTCATGTTTAATGTTGGATGTACTGTTCTTGCTTTAACAGAACTTCTAATTAATAATTTTCAGAAATCAGATGGTTTTGCGTTAAAGGGTAAAAGGGGTCTTCTGACATTTTTTCTTCTTCTTCTAATTATTAATTAATTTTAAAGTTTTGATATTGACACGGATTTCACTGCAAATCCACATCACGATCGAACTACGTACGCCACAACGAGAACAAATGAAAAATAAAGCAAACGAATTTTATGTTTTTTTTTCTCGAGATTTTCCCCGCTCGTTACGCCGCTGGGCCCTCTACGCTCCGCCAATCGCTACTTCCTTCCGTTCGCGCGGGGATTTTTAACAAATTTCACTCGTCGCTCAGTTGGCGTCGGTCAGCGCGTCACAATTTTCCGTCGCGGCCTACCGGGACCACCGGTCAATGAAATAACCCGATCGAATTAAACAATTATTGGCGTTAATATGAAAAGTGCGTAGGGAGATTTCAGTCGTCGAAAATGTTCCCGACGAGACGCCGCGATCCGTTATAGTCGAGGGCGATCATCTCGGGCGGATATGGCGGCCGTTTCGCTGATCGGAAGCAAAATCATTCTCGCCGCTTGTAACTTCCTGTTGCTGGTAAGCAACCCGCGGCGGCGACTCTCGAAACGCCATTTTTACTTTTTAGGCGTGCGGATTTACCCTCGTCATCGGCGGCATGCTAGTGCTATTCGACGCCGACAGGATCCTGCTGTCCAGATTACTCTCGGGCGGCCCCTTCGAGGACCTGCCCCATCCCCTTTTCTATTACGGTGCCATAGGACTCGCCCTGTTGGGCCTGTCACTCGCAGCTGCAGGAATATTGGGCTGCTGGGCTTCGTGTTTACACAACTATTACTTGCTGACGTTCGTAAGTTTCCGATCTCCCAAGTTTTTCACACATTCCGCGATAAAAGTTGGTTTTTGTCATCGCGTTCGACGTTTGACAGCCCGTCCACCCTTCTTCTTCTTTTACGATGTCCCGCACGCAGAGCAAAACCACAGACCACGCGACGATATCGCGGATCACTAACTCATCGTGTTATCCGTGACTTTTGGTGACGGTAAAGGTTTATGAGATGCTGGCATTTATTTGCGCAATGACGTTTCTTATATTGTTTATGTTTTATGTCGGTAAGAGGGTTTCGATACAGACAGCGCTGATAATATAAGGCGATCAACATTTTTTTAAGTAGGATATTATGCGCGAATTGAAGAAAAAGTAATATTAAGATATATTTAAGTTTTAAAACTTATATAGGTATTGGGTGAATTTTTTAACCGTTGCTAAATAACGCAGGTCGACAATTTTTAAACTTTTAGGCGCAATAGAATTTTAATCAATAATAAAAAATAAATAATAAATAAAAATAAAAAAATATGAAAAATACCAGATCTTTGTTAGCCTGTGTAATTAATTTGAAAAAAAAATTGAGGCACATTTAAATTACACTTTTCATGATTAGTCACTACAGGTGCGATAAACAGTTTTGAACTAGTCGTTAGTTATTTTTAGGCCTAACAAAATACTTATTATTATTATTTATTACAATTTGTTGTATTACTGTTATATTTTATGTTAATCGAGTTACGACGTCAGTTGACAGAAAGACAGACAGATTCTTATAATAGAGGTTTTATTACGTTACGTTATGTAAATTAGTTTGAAAAGTTTTACTTACTTTTTTTTTTTTTATTTAAATTTAAATTTATAATTATACAACGTTAATTGATAATCTATTACTACCTGTCTATATATAATCCGATAAACTTTCATAAACTAAATAATGGATTTTCATCAACTAAAAGCCACCTTAGTTCAATTATTGTGCTCTCACTTCTTCTTTACTTCTATGGCCAAGACTACCAGGATCATTCAGCCAAAATTATTGTCTTTGTGAGGTAGGCACTGTTTTAAATTTAATTACGATTAATTTGAATGTGCCTTATGCTCAAATTAGGACAACAAATGATAATTTTGGTAATATTGATGTTTTTTTGATTAATTAATGTAAACTCGCGCAGGGGGCCTATAGACCACAGACAATTAACCGCGGCTAGTCTCGCTCGCGTTGTCACGTCGGGTTAAATTTCTTAACCGCGTTCGATGATTCATTTTTTCAGTATTTTCTGCTGGTGATGATAGTTTTGGTCGGCGAGTGCGCCATATACATCGTCGCCTGGATATGGCCGCAGTGCGTGGGCCTGGGGCTGAATGCAGACCACCTCGCCAAAGAACTCCAACGCAACTATGGCGTTAGCGGTCAGGACCAATTTACAGCGGCGATCGATCTGGCACAGACCACCGTGAGTCGAGTCTAACTTATAAACGCTAACTGCTACGTTCTTTGTTTTATATTTAACACTAAACGTAGAAAAAAAATATTTTGGAAACTTTAGGTAATAATCTTGTTGCATTGTATATTAATGACCACCCTTGGATAATCCCATACAAAAGCAATTGGTCAGTTTCTTATATCTGTGAACAGACCATACCTACATAATATATTTGCTAAGGCTACATAAAAGTAAAACTAATACTTTTACTAGATAGTTACTTATATTTAAATAAAATTAGTATCTGGTTGTTTTTTACATTTGATACCTACATTGAAATGATCTTTACAAACGTGCATGTTTGTGTGCTTTTCGTAGAATAATCCTTCCGCATGCTTTTGTAGCGATTTTATTTGTCGATTTTTATCTTACTGTACCCGAATGAAAATTTTATCTGCACTTTTCGCAGTTGAACTCGTACAAAAAGGAACCGTACAGTACTTATAACGAGCCGTTTCCACAATAAATACAAAAATTGAACACTAAACGCTTTAAAACCGAGACTAACGATGCAAATTTAGTAAGAAATCGATGAGAAATGTTTAGAATGGCACTTTCCTGCGGTGTGACGTCACGCCGGCTGCTGCGCATTTTGTTTTGCTATTCATTGCGATACGAGTATTGCGATTTAAGGGTTGATATATGGTGTAACGTGTTTTTATATGTAAACCCACGTTTTAGTAAAATAAAAAAAATACGGGCAAATTCCCTCTTCGTAATTGGGCGTCGATTTTGTAGGTTAGAAAACCGTGAAATCTCGTTTTCAGTTCCGGTGCTGCGGTATCGACTCCGCCAACGAATACGACACTTCGCTATGGCGTCTACAAGCCCTCGGCGCCTCGCTGGCCATCCCGTTGACTTGTTGCGTCCTCAACAATCAAAACGACTCACGAGCGTACCTCAACCCTATCCCCAACGACTCGGATTTGTGCCAAGCGTTGGAGAAACAACGTCACGAAGGCCACAGACACGTCACGGCAAGCACCACGGACTACAGAAGTCAGCCGTCACTCACGTCTCCAATTCGCAGGGTTGCCAAGCGCACTTGGAACAATGGTACCGTCAGCACTACGTCGTATTTCTCGGGATCGGTTTGGGCGTCGTACTCGTCGAGTTCGCCGTACTTCTGAGCACTATCCTGACTTGCACGAGGGTCTACCACCACAACGAAGAGTCGAGGGATAACGTGCGAAACCGCGCTCACGACGAAACCCCGAAAGACGTTTTTTCGCACAGGAATCAGCCGGGAGCTTACACCAACGAGACTTACGCCATGACGGAAGGGTTCAAGCAGAACTACAAACTGCTGGAGGGAGCATGATGGTGGCTGAGAGGCGTCTGCCTGCCGAGGTACAAGTACTCGATCCAAGTCGAATCTATGCTGTGGTAGGCGCGGCCTCTCGTAAAATGTATCCATAAATTTTACACGCAATATAGTTTTTTTACAACTTGCCGTAGTTTTACTTCAAAAACGTCGACGTATCGAGTTGTATCTCTTTTGTGTTGTCACGCCGGTGACGAATTGATTGCGAATGCGATTTGAAAAGTGGTTGCTACGGTCCGTGACTGCTGTCATTTTGCCAAGGCCAACTCAAATTCGGTTTCATGACAGCGGTCAACAAAGTTGAAAATTAGTATGCCCTAGTTAAGTATATTTGAAATTTTATATGCAATATATTTGTTTTACAACTTGCCGTCGTTTTACTCCAAAAAAGTCAACTACAGTCATATGTGCGTTGAGCTTTCTCACGCCGATGATGAATTGATTGCGAATGCGATCTGGAAAGTTGATGCCATAGTCTGTGGCTGCTGTCGTTTCGCCACGGCCAAATTCGGTTTAGTGCCAGTTGACGAGTTTGGTGATGGAAAGTGATGCAGGAAATGAAGAAAATAAGTTGTACATGGTATTTCGAGAAAAAGAAAGCAAGGGTGAACAATTGCCATTGGCATTTAATCAAGAATCAAATCAAAATGAAAACACGGCTTCGAAAAGTAGAAAATTTGTAAGTTCTATGACGAAAGTAACGCGATTCTAATATTTTACACGAACGGAGTTAAGTAAACTTTGAAATTTCACGCGGTTTCCATAAATTTCACATGCAATATAATCTCTTTACAACTCAAACGATATTTGATCAAGAACCAAAACAAAATGAATACAAAGCTTCCAAAAGCCGAAAATTATATATTTTAACAAGCAGCTAAGTTCTTATCTACGAAGCGAATTTTAATCACAAAACAGTAGTCGACTATTAGCTTGAAAAGTGAGGTTGAGTTTTGATGGTGGCAGTTTTCTTTAAAAAAAAGAAGAAAAAACAGAATTGCGAATTAGTTAAAATGGACCGAATGGAAGATTAAATATACAATGATGATTTAGACATCCCGGATGTAGTCCACGACGGGTTTCCTAGCGCATAATTGGACAGGCCAAATTTTTTTTTTACCTTTTTCGCAAAAAGAACAGCAAACAAGTGACAGGGCAGTATAATATATAAAAAATGAGACTTTCGACATTTTTCATGCAAAATGTTTTAAAATTTGCGTAAAAATGCATATTCTATAAATCTGCTACTACACCACAGATGGCGCTAAGAAATTATGCGGCGTTCTCACGAGTTATAATATAATGCGTAAAATGGGAGCTAGGAAAAGTTTCAAATTTTACGCAGTACCGATCCAAGTCATATTTGCCCGTAACGAATTTATTGTGAATGCTATCGGCATAATCGAAAGTATGGTCCGTGAATGCTGTCATTTGGACAATGCCAATTCAAATTCGGCATTTAGTAAAGAAACAAAACAAAATTAATACACGCCTTAGAAGTCAAAAATTAGTAAGTTCCATGACGAAAGCAACGTTATTACGCCATAATTCGCGGCTTCTCGTAAAATGTATCCTTAAATTTTACCTCCAACATATTTTTTTATAACTTGGCGTCGTTTTTCTCCAAAAACGTGGACGTTTCTCGTCATATGTGCAATTCGTGTTCTCACGCTGGTGACGAATTGATTGCGATTCGGTTGTGAAAGTTGATGCTGTGGTTCGTGACTGCTGTCATTTGGTCAAAGCCAACTCAAATTCCGTTTAGTGACATAAAACATGTTCGGTGTGATGTGGAATTAAAAAAAAACATTATATGGGGACGAGGGTATTTCGGGAAAATAAAACACAGATAAGCAATTTCCAAACTTCGAAAAGTCAAAAATTTGTAAGTCCTACGACGAATGTAATTTAAGTGTAATATAATACGCAAATAGTTTAGAGAACTTTAAAATTTGACACGCAATGTCATACGCAATATAATTATTTTACAACCTGCTGTCGTTTTACTCGATGTATTAAATCATATGTGCCTTCAGGTATCTCAAGCCGGCAACGAATTGATTGCGAATACGACCGGGCAACTTGAAACCGTGGTCTGTGACTGCTCTCATGCGGCCGAAGCCAACTTAAATACAGGTTAGTGACATTAAAAGAGTTCGGTATCGAAAAGTGATACGGGAATTGGCGAAAATAAGTTATACGCGGTACGAGCGAAGGGTATTTCGGGAAAATAAAACACGGGTAAACAATTCCCAAACGGCATTTAAACAAGTACAAAGGAAAATGAATACACGGCATCTAAAAGTCAGTCAATAAACATAATTTAGTGGTAATGTAATACGCAAATGAAGTTAAGAAAACTTTCAAAATTTACGTAGCACCCATGTCACACGATATCTAATTATTTTAAAACTTGGGATGTTTTACTCAGAAAAGGTCAATGTATCAATCCGTGTGTGCCTTTAGCTATCTTAAGCCGGTACCGAATTGATCGTGAATGCGGTCGAGAAAGTTGATACCGTGGTCCGTGACTGCTGTCATTCGGCCAAAGCCGACTCAAATTCAGTTTAGTGACATTAGAGTTCGGTATCGAAAAGAGATGTGGGAATTGGCGAAAATAAAACACAGGTAAGCAATTTTCAAACGGCATTTAATCAAGAACCAAAACAAAATGAATACACGGCTCCGAAAGGTCGAAAATTAGTAAGTCCTATCACGAACGTAACGTGGTTATAATACGCAAATGGGAGTTAAGTAAACTTTGAAATTTTACACGGTCGTGGCCGCTTTCGTCCTTCGGTTCTTTGTGAACGCGCGCAGCACCGGTTCAGGCTAATTTTTGTTCTTCCCCTACTCGGATAGCATATGTACATCTATTTACCATATCACAGATGGCGCGTGGAGTGCTGCGCGTGCGCGGACGACAATGTTAACGGTAAAAAAAGTGTATACATCTTAGGCAACTAATCGTTTAATCACGATTCGAAAATCGACAACCCCCCTCCCCCACCGCCCAACCAGGCGATCCACAAATGAAGTGAAAAATTCGCGTTTTTTTTTTCTTTATTTTTGATGTTGCACAATAATTCAGACGTTTCTCTTTCGGTTCGTTTTTGGCAGTGTCGGAGGTAGATTTCGCGTTCGCCTTCCATTTGTGAATCGATTCGTTTTGCGTACGAGGTTCGAGTCGGATCCGAAGCTGTCTTACGAGTTATTTACTGTTCGAAACAATAGCGAAAACGGTGGCTGGAATCTTTTCGACGCCTCTCTCGACGAACCTGAGCGTCGGCGCGGGTAATTTGCGTCGCGACCCCCTCCCCCAAAGAAGAAAAACTAAAATTAGTCTTTTTCTCTCACCTACGTTAGTGAAATTATGAGACCGACGATCCTCAGTGTTATTTTTAAGCGCTTCACGAACAATGATCGTCCATTTAATGCGACTACTGTACGAATTTCGGGGAAATCCCGGCCAAAAATCAGAGGTTTCGGGCAAAGTCCATTAGCGCAGTTTTATTCAGAAATACATGTCGACATTTGCTGTAAGTGGCGTGATTTTAAAAACTGCAATCGACCCCTTCCCTAGGGACAAGTAAATCCTACCTGTGCAAAAGTTTTTATGTTGAAAAATAGGTTTTTCGCGTTTTTCCGCTAAAAGCTGAGTTTTGTAGCAACAAAAGTTCAAAGAAAAGTTGTAGATTGTCCGATTCTCTACAAAAAATTTCTTTACACCACATTTCCGTGATATGGCGGTTCAAAGAATTTGGCGCTATTTTTAAATGTGTGATCCTATTGAATTTAACAGTATTTTATGAAGTTCAAATGGAGTATTAAAACTGACGAAAAGAAACTTCAGGTCTTCATATTCTTCTTCCTGCTTCTAAAAATGATACACCAGAGTTTTTTTTTTGCAAAAAGTAAGTACTAGGGTTTATCAAAGAAGGTAAACTTTTTGAAACCTTTGAAACAATTGAACGGAAGAATGACTGTGTTCAAGGTCATGAGGCCTTTTTGACGTTCAAAAATTTACATAAAAGTACATTAACGCGCATATTAGGAATAAAATAATTTATTCAATTCTTTGAACCACTATATCACCAAAATGACAACGACAAAAAGTGTAGAGAATCTGATGATCTACTTTTTAGCTCTATGGGAATTTTTGTGGCCTTACTTCCATTTTAAGGACTAATTTGACTGGACTACTATCTAGAATAGAAAAAGATGCTTTTCATTTCATTAGCTCCGTTTATTCGATGAATCCTACGAAAGGTTAAATAAAAAAATCCTGCGATTTGATTTGAGGCAGCGGGTGGCGATGAGATTAAGGTACCTTTAGCCAGTTTTAAGTTAAGCTCCGAAGAAGCCAACACGATGCTAGACGAAACGTCGGCAAATTCGATTTATCAACAGAAGAGAAGATGCGTAAACAATATATAAGAACATTTTCATGATTTGGAGACAAATTCATCAAAAATATTTCATTTTGTGGTATTTAAGTAAACTTACTAAGAAATAAAATTAAAGAAAACCATGAAAAAGTAGCCCAAAATAAAAATAAAAACAGAATTTGGTATTTATTTATTTTTAAAATTTGAAGGCCTAGATCTGATGGCAATATGACCTGAGAGTTAGAGAACGGAATATTTTGCAAACCATCATATCTGGCTTTGGGGTAAACGCAGAGATTTTCAAAAAAGTCTGTCTTTTTAGCTCTGAAATCATGTAATAATAATTCACGAGTTCGATTGGACAGCTGAGTGAAGAAGCTTAGGAAGATGTTGAAAGGTACAGAGAGTTCCATGCTAGAACGTTGTTTAGAAAACAGAATACGGAGGACATTTTTAGATGGATTAATAAAAAATAAAAAGTGAAAGTGATAGAGGCGATAATATTATATAATATTATCATAATATATCTACACGACTATTTTTATTATGTCTTGCAGAACCACATTCTGTTTCGATTATGACTTTTCTTGTTGATTTTGCTTTGAAGGATTTCTTGTAGACATTTTATGCTGTCTATCAATTCCGCTCCTTTTATTCATTGTTAGCAGCACTTCTTGGTCACTCTTTGTGTCCAAGATATTTTTAATATTCTTCGGTATAACCACAGTTCAAATGCTTCCAATTTTCCGGTAGTTTCTTTTAATTAATTTTAGGTACTACTAGGTTAGTAAGATCGCTTTATCTACTAAGCTTTTCCAAAAGAAACTTCTTTTAGTGGCAACTTGTTCATAGTGATAAGTGGTTGGCCGAAATTTCGGTGATATTCTAAACATAAAATGTTTGTGGCCATTTTTTTACATTTCTTGTTACGACTAAGCAGAGAAATTGTAATGAAAAAAATACTTTCGACCTTTTGAAATATTCTACCAATTTTTTGTATTCGAATAATTTTGCATTCGGATTTTTGACCGAGATTTCATGGACATAATGAAGTAACGGAAATCCTACAGCATACGTCACACTTTCGAAGTTGCGCGGGAATTTTTTAACGGATTAAATTAAGGTTGATCGTATGATTCGAGTAAAATTTCGAACAAATCCAATGTCGACATAAAAAAAAAAAACGAAAAAATCGCGAGGAAATTGGCAAGTGGTCCGTAACCCGGTCGAAATCGAAAAAGAATAAGAAAATGGCGTCGCTTTTTTTTATCTTTAGATTTAGTGCTCCTAGAATGCTGGTATAAAGAATACACAAGTACACTCACAGGGAAGGAGCTCATAGTTTTGTAGGTTTTCAACATTTGAACCTCATATTTGGAAAAATATTAAAATATTTTAAACAAGAAGTACACCAACCCAAGAAATTGGATTTTTTACCGAACGAGTTGAGTGAAATCTCTTCACGATTTTTTTCTGTAATTTTTTATGAGCTTTGCTGCACTGCATTACTCAAGTGGGATTTTTCGTTTATTTGGCTCCAGCGCGGATATCATCTAAGATATTCTATTAATATTGATATCTACAAATTTGTGAATGTTGAGCACGTGTCAAATATAGGTTAGGTTTGAGTGCTCGCACTGTTTGTCATAATAATGGCGGTAACTGCTGATTAAGAATTAAAATGCTAAGGGGAAGAACTACACTACACGCACTATTAGCCAAGGTAAAATCAATTTGTTAAAAAGACGCGTTTTATTAAATTAATTGATTTTTATGGGTTAAATTGCTTTTTCCAGTATCGACCCTAAAAGAGTTTTGGTTAATGACCAAATGCCCAGGTATTACGCGTTATTCCCATAAAATGTTTGGTTATTATCAATATTAACGGGAAATCCCAGGGAATATTCATAATTTCTGACAATTTTAGTATGACTGAAAGTTTCTTTGATTACCCCTGATCCCTAAAATGCTCAGTTATTATAAACCAGATGCATAAAGAGAGTTCAGACGAACATAACCTCAAAACAATTGCCCTCGCTCCGCCTCCGATGCTTGGAGGGTGTGCTGCGCCCCCCGAGCCCCGTTGTAGCAAGTTGGTGTTACTTTTTATTCAAAAATTTAGTTATAGGTGCCATTAAATTCCTACTTTGAACACGACATTGCAGGACTGGAAATTTTTTGCGATTCTCTAGGAGGAAAACAATTTTGTCATTTTCCATTTCACTGTTAATAGTCTTATTTGGGGTGTGACAAAAACCTAAGGCTTTGGGGTGTGACGCGAAACATTATTTGTTATAAAAATGAATGTGACGTGAAAAAAATTGGTTAGAAGTTTTTTTTTTTAAGCTTTAGTACAATAATCATGAGATTTTGCTGTCACGTGACTACTGCACACATTTGAATTAATTCTAAATTTAGAATAAAAATATTTCATTTTGAACATTAAAATGGCATTTACTTACTAAAGTGCCATGTCTGGCTTTTTTACTGTACCTTTCATACACGGTGTTTTTTTCTCTCTATCAGCATTCCGGAAGTATTATGTGTAATATCGCGATTTATCTAACGATTATCCGATTCGGGGGCGGGGAAATGCGAAAACACCCGAAGCCGACGCCGCGGATAGCCGAGATCTCCCGAAGAACCGATAGAGAACCTATCGCTTGGAACAATAACATAACCACATAAGGCACCGCATGGGTCACTTGTATTTAGCGAAATATTGTGTGTTGTGAGTGGTGGTGGTACCGTAAAATGGCGGGTCGGTGACGATGGGCGACAGCGTCGAGTAGTCGACGCCGGCGGTACAACGGTGGTGGGCGGGCCACCATACGGGGGCGGGCAACACGTAAGAGGATGTCGTGTGCGAACCGAACAACGGAGGTGGCAGTGGCACGGGTGGCGGCTGAGGCTGCACGACCACGAAAGCGGACGGCAGACGATGCACCGTATGGGAAAATGGCTGCAAATCGTACTTATTAGTTTTTCAAAGACACTTCCACAGGCCACTGTAATACTTCTGGATTCCTCCTACGTCGAACTTGCCGACGTTTCGCCAATCATCCTGTTCGGCTTCTTCAGGGCTTGACTGAAACTGGCTCGTATTTTACTTTGTACCTGCTTATATATTGTTTGAGGGGGGCGGAGCTAAATTTGGGGCGTAAACACTGTCTCGGACGACTGATTCCAATAGTCGCGGTTAAGGTTCTTAGGTTGCTTATAGATTTCTATAGACTCCCGGATTTTTCGTTGGTAGAAACATTGATTACATGCAAGAATTTTAGTTTTGTCGAATAAAATTTTATGTCTTAAGGCTCTTTCATGTTCTTTGGGGCTAGTTGATATTTTTCGCCCGGTTTCTCTAATGTATTCTTTGCCGCGCATGCATGGAATGCTGTAGACTGTAAAAGAGATTTTTGGACAAATGGTAAATCTGGTTTTGACGTTATATGTCTTTAGAACTTTTGATATATGGTCAGTGGTGCTTTGAATGTAAGAATGGACAACAGTGGCAAGTGTAGGATTGCTTTCGAGCTCATTCATATCTGAAGGTTGTGGTGAAGTGTATTTTGTGATGGAACGCTTAATATCTTTAATGTGGAAATTATTAGAGCGAAGAGCAGAGGTGAGGTGTTTTAATTCTGGGTTCAGCGACTCGGGCTGAGATAGTTTTACTGCTCTGTAAACAAAAGTGATGTGTCAGTAGTAGATTTTCTTAGACATTTCAACTCTATACACCCTAACCTACGTTTTGCCATTGAAATAGAAACTAATAACAACCACCCATTCTTAGATATTCTTATCAGTAGAAAATCAGACCAAACATTGGGTCAATGTGCCCGATCCGGCACAAAGATCATCTTTTATCAACTCTCTTGTTTACAGTACCGTAAAACTATCTCAGCCCGAGTCATTCAACCCAGAATTAAAACACCTTACCTCTGCTCTTCTCTCCAATAATTTCCACATTAAAGATATTAAGCGTTCCATCACAAAATACACTTCACCACAACCTTCCAATAGCAATGAGGTCACTGTTGTTGTCCTTCCTTACATTCAAAGGGACTGACCACATATCAAAAGTTCTAAAGAAATATAACGTCAAGACCAAATTTAGCACTTGTCAACACCGTCAAAGACAAAATTCCATTTGAGATGCCAGGAGTTTACAGCATTCCAGCGGCAAAGAATATATTGGAGAGACCGGACGAAAAATATCAACTAGGTTCAAAGAACATGAAAGAGTCGTAAGACTAAGACACAATCCTACCAAGGAAAAATCCGAGAGTCTATAGAAATCTATAACCAACCTAACAATCTTAAGAGAGACTCAGGTTTTACCGATCCCCTCATTTAGCTCCGCCCCCCCTCAAACAACATATAACCAGGCACAGAGTAAAATGCGAGCCAGTTTCAATCAAGCGCTGAAGAAGCCAAACGAAGCGAAACGTCGGCAAGTTCGGCTCAACAAAAACGGACGCAGGAGGAATCCAGAAGTTTTGTAAAACGTTCGCGGAAACGGCTAATCCCTCAGAGTAATGTCAGAATGGAACACTGTCACGTGACGTCAGCGGCGGTGCATAATTCATATTTAACGAGGGCGCTTCCCATTTTATGCCACCATAAATATCCAATATACCGGGTGTTTTACGTTCGTTGGCACATTAGACGTTTACAACAAAATGTAGGTCGTACGGATAAAACTTAAAAGTCACTTTTTGAACACTAATAAAAAGTTTTATTATTATTATTATACCTAAATGGTGCTTTCTGCAATAAAAGCAAATTTCTCCGAAAACTGGATTACTTTGGCATAATTCATTCAGCATTCAACATAGCTAGAAAATGTATAAAAAATTAACGAAACAAATCCGGATTTACCACACACGAACAAGAATTGTTTTCCCGGAATTATTTTACGAATAAAATTTTAAAAATTATCCACACAAAATATTAGGTGCATAAAATAAAAAATTGCACACGTAAACATGAACGAAGGGGTTTGAAGTGTTCACGATTGCAATCTAAATATGTTAAAATTCTTCTTTGTCTCCGAGGGATTTTAAGGTCTGGTTTGATGCGCGCGCAACTTACGTGAAGGTGAGTCGAATGATTCTGTGGGGGCACCGGCACGGCCGGTTGCCCCCACCCTATCTGCTAGCATCGCTGGTTGTTCCAGTGGTTCATGTAGTCTTGGTAGGTCACGGTTATTTTCTCGCTCTGGTAACGGGTCAATTTGATTGTGCGACGGACGTCGCCTGAGATCGCCGATTTATAGCCCCCCTTGCGCAGAAGAGAGTCTATCGTCTGGAGGCGGTCCCAACCTAGACGTCTTTTCATTAGTACAATATGCGATGGTGGAAGATGTATGGAAACTTTTTAATATCACGAGCAAATCAATTTCTGCAAATTATAGTACCATTTCCGTAATAATCACGTATAATAACTACCGGTATTTGGTCATTGTGCAATGTATTAAAGAATTTTGAAGGAAGTTTCAAATAAAAACCGGAAAGAAGTGCGGAAACGTTTATTTATCTAATCAATTTTTGTTCCTTGATCTTTATAATTGGAATTGCATTCGAATAGGCATCCCCAGATGTTCAATGGGGTTTAGATCTGGCCATTGGGATGGTCATTCAAGTACAATTACGTATTTCTCCCTAACTTGACCGCATATTTGAAATCATTGTTCTGCAGAATTTTTACTAATTAAATTGCAGTGACAAATAAAATTATTAATCTATCAGTTCTAAAAAAAAACATGAACTTTGTATCATCGCACACTTTCGTATTTTTTTGTTACAGCACTTTTAGAAATTAGAATTTGCAATTACCAACTTTTTTTCCCCCCATTTTTAAAAAATCTAAAATATTTTGTTGAATCAAGACCAAATAATTTCGAGTAGAAATGATTAAAAGTCTCCATACTAATTTCCAACTACAAATCCTTTATCAAAAAAAACAAACATTCTATTACACTTTTTTAAACGTGGCTGCCCCGTACATTTCATAGCAAAAGTTGTAATATGACTTTTTGAATGATTAACTCGTGTGCCGAGTTGACTAAATTTTAATGAGCTGATCTTCAGGTATTTCATAAAACATTATGTTAAAATTAGAACATTTTCATAGTTTAGGTAACAAACCAAACACTAGTAAAATTTTGACAATGACAACATGAAAAATCGGGACAGTAATAATGTTTTTATTTGTGATTGTTATTAAACGGACTTTAATTAAGGTTAAATATGCGTTACTCGATTGAAGAAAAAGTAACCATAATTAAGTGGTATTATGCAAGAAACAGTCTTAGAGTCTTAGTTTATTTTCCTGCTAAAACCATACATTCGATTTCAATAATTTATTGTTAAATTAAAAAGCATTATTATCAAAATATTTAAACATTTTACTGCATACGGAGAAAAACAAAAATATTTTTCCTATAAACACGAAAAGCAAAGTTATGGACAAAGCGAACAACGACGGGAATTTCTACAATTGAATCAGCACTAGAAGAAGATCTGATACCAAACGGATGGAGGTCCCGCCCATAATTCCCGTATGGTTAGGGAGTCACCTGACCTCTCGCCGCCTTTCTGTAGGATCAGAAATGAATTATTGTTTAACTGTTAAGGGAGGGTTGTTTGAACATTTACCTAAAAATTTATTATAATTGTTAATAATTAATAATAAAGGACTTGAGGGTCAAATTTATTGTCGGTCACTGAAGCTTTTTTGCTGCTTAAACCGTCCTTTAAATAAAATGCCCGGTTTAAGGGACAAGGAGGTCTTAAGAACGGAGTACGAGTTTAATCCTAAAAAAACAATGATATACATGCATACTTAGCTTATTTTGAATGTGTGATAGCAGATGGGCATGTACTTATTGTAAACCAACTTTTATAGTCCAGCTTGACGTTAAATTTTGGAAATATAATTAAAATGTATTCAAACTTAATGTTATTCAAAAAGCTATATTATAATTTTGCCATAAAATGTACAGGGGAGCCAATATTTTATATCAAAAAGATCTAGGCGCCGACTTACCTTGTTCCGAAGCCACTTCGGGTAGATAAGTGGCGGTTCTCTTGTTGCCCTTTTCATTGACGAACTCGATCCTTATGCCATGTATGCCTACCTCCCAGTCGAGGTAGTCGTCGCCATCTTCGAAGTGTCTCAGTATCGACACCGAGACGCTCAGCTTAGGAAACTCGTCGCGCGTTATGGGGCTGAACCGGGAGTCCTTGAACGCGCTGGTGATGGCGTACTCCCTGAGTCCGGACTGCAGATTCATCGCGTTGAACGTGCCGATGCAGCCGCGCAAACGCTTGTCCTTGCCGATTTTCCACGTCACAAACAGGGGACTGCAATTTGTAACCTTATTTAGCGATCTATTGTAGGCCATTTTCGAGGTTAGGTTGCTTCTGCGTCAACCCGCATACGCATCATTAGTGCCATAATTTTAGGTTAGGCTAACCGCTGTATCTAGACAGACAAAACGATTCGTTAATTACAATTAGTGTTTTCTTTTAGCGGTGTATTTTTAAAACATATATTCAGTTTAAAGAAAAATTGACGAATATAATTTTAGTAAACAGTTAGTTAATAAAATGATATTGTCTTTTGTCTATTTGCTAACATTTATTTTTCTGATGTTCCCGCTACGGCGGGCAGCTCAGAGAAAAAAGCAAAAGGTAATGAGATATAATTGTTTTGGGTTTCTAATTGACTTTTTTTTTTAATATCTTTTTTTTTATATTGACAGAATGCAGATTGGAGCTGTTTTTGTCATTCTGTGGATGGGAAAAAATGGACCAGCTATGAAAAAAAAAAGTCGGTGTAGGTTCAAAATCAAAGAACAAGCGATTAAAGGGCTTGGAAATCTACATGTAGAGAGACATGCTTTGATGACTACATTATAGTAAGTAATGAATTCGTACGGCTACTTTTTAATACTTTTATCATAGCGACATCCAAAACACAATGAGAATTGACAATGAAGCGAGATTTGCTCAGATACAGATAAACCCTAAGCACAAATTATGACGGAACTCTAACAATATATATTTTTGGAAAAACTATGGTCCAAAAGTTTTAAAACATTCGGTGTCTCCGTCTCCAATTTTCCCTATGTATTTCCCCATTTTCATCTGAATCAATATATTTAACTAAAAATAACTAAAAACAAACTCGTTCGAAAATAAGCAGGGTTAGGTTCTTGTTTGCGCGAGTGAAATAGTTTTAGACAAATTATGACTCAAAATCTTCTGTTAATTACGTTGGTAGCACTGCACGAAGAGCGTAAAGACCGCGTTATTCTCTGCCCGAAGGACGGCGGCGATCGTTTTGGTAGTCCGCGCCACGTGACGTCTTTGTCCCGCAAAGGAAAGCGAATTTAAGAGAAAAAGCGTGGCAACCGTTATTTATTTTAATAGGAAAAACACACAAAAAAAAACGCGTAATTAATCGATCAAATACGCTAGCCGAACGAGGCGAGAGCTGAAATATAAGCGAAGCGCGTGGGAAAAAATCAACGTTTTATTATCGGAATGCGATTTTCGGGAATCAAGTGGGAGGGCGCGCGACGGACGGGGACGGGACACGTACACAAAGAAAAACTGACCAGCGCGCCTCGGGTTGAATGACCTGTGCGGAATATTTTTTCCTTAGCACAAATCGAGAGCGTCTCTACTTACTATGCGTCGTTGCTAAACGACGGCGTTTTCGGCGGCGCCAGATTATACAGGTGACAATAGAGCACGTCGAAACAAAAGAAACACATCTCGGGCAAGGCCACCATTCCACCACCCGTCGTCACCACGCAGCTGTTTATCATTCCGCTGGTCGGGGCTGGCGAGGTACCATTGCACGACGACACCGTCACGGTCGAATTGTTCAGTTTTTGCTTTTTGGTACCACAACAACCCGCAGCCATCGTAACAACAAACGTGAGCGCAAAATGTGAACAGCTGACCGCAGCTGACTGCAACGCAAGACGGCCGCGAACGCACAGATCCGTCGGACGGACGGTCGGTACGCGCACCACGCGACACGGACCACAGACACAGTTCGAGCGCGCTTATTAACGCAAGGCGGCGGCGGATGACGTCATCGACTGTCGCCAGAGAGCGCACAGGTTTCGCGTTTTCTACGAGTCGATCGAAACGTTTAAACGGCGTAATGTGGGTAATTTTCCGGTTACGTTTTTGTCGCCATCGAGCGCCGTTATTTATAACCCGCATTGTAACGAGATTTATTTTAGAAACGGGGTAAATCGAGCGTGGACGGGTATAGGGGTAGGCGGTGAACAAAAATATCCGGTTAATTATATTGTATATAGGCGAAGTGACGCGGGACGCCGGCGTCTGTCTTTAAACTGTAGATAATCCAGCGGGAAGCTGTGCGCGTTCAGAGGATATTCTCATTCTGTTGTCCGCGTTTTATTTTTTGTTTTGATATCTATATATTGAATTTTTAAATATAAAATATATTCCATGGTTCTAACAGTTTCTATTGTCTTCGGTTCTGGTCCAAAGTCTCGTTCGGACATATTTTTTCAACTGCTCGGCCTATCCTATTTTCTGTAGTCGTCGTTTTTTCCTCTTTTCAATGATAGCCGTATGTCTTCAGGTATTCATTGTACAGGTTGTCCCAGTAAGACCAACGAAGGACGACGGCTAACAATCTGTATTCTGTTTCCCCAAATTTAACAATCTCAAAAAATCAGTTAAATCGGATTGTTGCGCCGCATGGTGGTTATTCCGAGAATATTGGAGATGCAAATCAATTGTTCTACCAGCGAAAAATCCGAGAATACCAGCCAGTTTCAGTTAAGCTCTGAAGAAGCCAACATGATGATGGGCGAAACGTCAGCGAAGATTCCAGAAGATTTGTAAATAGTATAACTTAATGCTAAAAAAAGTTGGATTTTGGGAAAATTAATACAACTCAAAGCTAATTGGCAAATTCGACATAATAAGGAATTAGCAACAACTTACAAGGGTTTGTTTTTTCTCAAAATCAAACTATTTTTTGAGCCTTTGGTTAATGATAAACATTTTATTGTTTATTTGCTTGGTTATTTTGTTTGCTTTTTTGACTTAATTGCCAGAAAACTTCATCTGGCGGATTTGAAAATTCAAGATAGTCATTACGTCCCCTGCTGACCAATCATATTTTAACATTAAAATGGTTGCTTTAATTCGTGAAAACGTTTTCTCTATTTTTAAGGCTTGTTCTCTCTTTTAGAGTGTAGTTCAAGATATGGTATGTTCTCTATATTTAAGATATTCTAGGTTAGGTTGTTCTATATTTTTGATATATTATTCACCTACATTTTTTTCATATCTACAATAGAAAAAAATTCGGTTATGTGTACAATGTGTTTTCAAGGTTTGATTCGGCAGTCCTTCACTTTTACCATCAAAAGCAAAATTAAAGATTAAATATTTCCTGTTAATCCAGTGATGACAAACCATACCCAATAGATTAATCCTTAGCATGTCCTAAGAAACATCCTACGGGTATATGTATCGGATATACTGTGCACGTTCCAATTAGTAACATCCTAGATCCTTGAGACGTCTTAAGGATATCCCCTAATTGAAACAGTATATCCCTAGGATATACTCCATGGTCCGTCAGATATCCCGAGGTTATTATGGTGGGCCATAATACCTCCAGGAACCTTAGTCTGATAAATTGCAGCAAGAGTCTTCGGTTTGCAGGGTAAATAGAATAATCGCAAACCTCAAATACCGAGAGGATGTCGGATCGAAATTGTCCAGTTTACGCTTACCTTGAAGGGCACCCCTATAAAACACGGAATAGAGACAACCTCAGACCCGATTTCTTCCGTCTTAATGCGACTAGGTTAGGTTCGAATGACTTCCATTTTTTTAATAAACTTAAGCCCGAGACTTTTAACGAAAGTATCGGATAATGTCAACAAGTAAAAAAAATACATTAGAACACTAAAATACAAACTTTAAAAACAGATACGTACAAGCATACATCAACTAAAGAAAAAAAAACACACAAAGTATATCACACTGAGAGATCGGCATTATTACAATCAAAGTATTCATCGATAGAATAAAAAAACGTTCTTATTTAAAATGAGTTTTGATTTTTGCTTAAATAAATGGACAGGCAGTATCTGTTTGACGGACGAAGGCAACTTATTATATGGTTTTATTGGTAAAATCGTAGGGCTGTTAGCTACTTTGCCCAACTTATGACTTGGCACCTGCAAGTTAAAGAAAGAGAGAAACGTTAAAATATTTAATTTTGGGAAACATCCTTTTACAGCTTGAAGGAGTTGTATCTTTTTTCAAGATATCAGTTGTTATTCCATGTGATATTTCTTTCCCGCCTCCGAACGCGGCCATGGTTAATTCGAGAAAAATGTTACCATTAGACAATTAACCATCGCGGCGGAGCTTTGAGTAGGGGTTGGGGGGGGGGGTGTCTTTTCCTTTCAGCACCTCTTCGCCCCTGTGTTCCAGAGGTTCGCGGTGGCGCCATCTGCTTCTGGATCGGCGCGGTTTTCAGACAACGAGATCGACAGTGTTACGGTGACCGTAGAGAAGGATCGGGACGCTGCTTCGCGGACATTTTTTTTTCTCACGTGTGCGTCCGCGATTCTCACGTGTGTGTGCGTGCGTTCGCCTAGATAGATCGCGCGGAATTCCACAGCTAGACGGGAAAAAAAAGAAGAAGAAGAAAATACGAAAAGAAAGAGAGAGGACCGTATATCGAGGAACAATGGGACGAAGGCGCGTCGCTCGAGGCGGCGGAGGTCGCCTAGGGGGCTGAAAGGGGCCCCCGAGATCAGCGCCCGTGGTAGGTGCTTCGGGGGGTGGGGGGGAAGCTGAGCGAGGGTGAAGGACCTCCGGAACATTTAACTTGTTGCCCCAGAATCGGTTTTCGTGGGTAGGGGGTGGGGGTGGAAATTTGCCTAGAGAACCAATCGTCAGTGAGGAGTAGTCATCCCCAATATACTGTCCGTATTTCCTTTTATGAAATGTTTCATCATATACAGGGTGATAAAACAATGGTAGTAAGTCGTGTAACAAAAATCCGAAATCGTAATATTTTTCCAAATTTCTTTTTGTTTAATTTTATTTTTAACGCAGTGTGCCTAATTCTCAACGAAATAGGCTGGTATTTTACCCATAGTAAAAGTCGTCGTTACAAAATGAAACTGTTTCAGAAATCTGTCGCTAGAGGGCACTTTATCTGGAACATATTTTTTCTATTTCCCCTGTATTTTATTTATTTAGACTGACATTGCAAAATAGGACAGAAACACAAACCCTTGAAAATTGTTACTCTCGTTTTGAGGCGAATTTTACCGGAGATTTGAAAAAGTCATTGTCACGATCCGTTAAAAATTTGTTTCTATTAAAAGAGCTTATTGTCCAACCGCTACTGTGATGGCCCGTCAGGAATATTCAATATCGCGATGTGCTTTTTTGCTACGAAAGAGGACGACGGCTTTGTATCGAGGCTTATCCCAATAGAAACAAACGTTCAATCTCCTAAGACATTCATCAACATACTCAGAAGACTTGGTGAGAGAGGTTCATTCAAACCTGATAACACTGGTATACAGTGGTTTTGTTGCCCTGGATATGAGACTAAATTACTATATATTTATGCTCACAATTCATTAAACTATCAATGATTTTGTAAGACTTGCTCTCAATTTTAGCAAAATCCTTATTTTCATTTTAATTAAAAAAAAATTAAAAAATATTAGTTTTATTTTGAAAGATTTACAAACATTGAAGTAAATAGAGAAAAAAATGTTCAAAACATACTTTATTTCCATAAAACGTCTTTTATTAGCTTTTCTTTTATAACTCTTAAGATCAGCAGTAATCTGCCATCATGTGACAATCCCAGCTACCCTGATCCATTCCATCATTTTTAGATCCCGGTGGAATCGCTCCCCCTGTTCTTCACTATAATTCCCTAAATTATCCGGGAATTTATCTAGATGATTGCGAAGATAGTGTAACTTGATACTCATATTTGCTTCTCGATTCTGAAAATTTCTCAGCATATTTTGTACAATTTCTTCATAATTTGGTGCTTTAAGACTACCTAGGAAATTTTCGACTACCAACACAAAACTTTCCCGAGCTTTACTTTTTGGAAGAGTCATAACTTTGATAACATCTGAGTCGTTCATCATTTGAGGACCATCAAATATTCCACATTTCAACTTAGCTCAGCTTAGGAAATTTTCTACAAATGTAACTAAAACAGTTTCCGTCCTTGTCTAATGCTTTTACAAATTGCTTGATCATTCCTAACGTAATATGTAATGGTGGGAGTATCATTTTGTCTCTGCTCACCAATGGTTCTCTTATTACATTGGCTTTACCGACAGTTAAAGAATCTCTCACAAGTCAAACATCTTTATTCCAATGACGTTGCTTTGCTCTACCGTCCCACATACAAATAATGCACGAGTATTTCGTGTATCCACTCTGTTGACCGAGTAAACAATTAACCATTTTTCAATCTACACAATTGGGCCACTGATGTTCCCAGTATTTAAGAGACTATTCACAAAAGAAGAGCACAAAAGTTTCATTTTTGACGTCATGCAGTCTCGTTACAGGTAATGTTTTACCTAAGACAACTGTGGGTGAATTGTTATGACATAAAAAATCTTAAGATAAAATGGAACTGTGTTTTACGTCTACCATGAGGGATTAGGATATAAAGGAGCAAATGAAGTGTGCTCAATGCTCCTTCATTTTCTGGAGACCTTCTTGAATGATGATGTGCACGAGCTATACCTTTTCTCTGTCCGGGACAGAACAAGAACTATACAATGATCAGATTTCTCTGGACTTTGAGAGACATAAGCAGATATTCAAAAATAACACATTTTTTTCCAATAAGGGGACACTCCTTCTTGCCCGATGACCAAGATTTTGATGTTGCAGAAAGAAAAATTAAAAAGGTTCACTTTTATGGCATTTCAACATGATCAAAGCAAAAAAGGTGCAGCCACTTCACAAACTTTCATTGATGGTTTAAGCAAACACTTTTCAATTATCCAGGAATAAATCGGTTCCTATTTCTTTGCCAGTTCTACAGGCTTACCAGAATGGAAATGTTCCTCTAAACCCTAAGAAAATCGAAAATATCAAATGCCATTTTATGAGAAAATTTTCGATTGGCCGACTGCTGAACTGGCCGATGAAGACCCAAATGTTGAGTGTGACCAAGAATTCGATTATGTGCCTTAAAAACCCTGACATTTTTGTAAATTAAACGTAGTTTTGAGTTTCCACTTCGTGCAGAAACCACATATGTCCCGAATATTTTTTTAAATTATATATCGTAAAAAATAATATTTCCAAAACCCGTTTATCAAAAAATTTATTCAAATATCATAGCATTTTTAAATAACAAAAATAAATGTATGATAAAGAAATTATTATTCGAGTAATGTGGTTTGTTTGATTCCTGAAAAGTTTAATTCTTTGACTTATTTGGTTTTTGAAATGAGCGATTCAATTTTAATCGTTAACTTGGGTATGGTATGTCTCGAAATATGTCGTTTCGGTTTTGCATCACGGACGGAGATTTACTGTGCTTAACAGATATAAAAATTAAATATTACGTTACGTTTATTTAAGTAAAATAAAATCGTATTAGTACTAAGTGACTTTGCAAGAATCCTTTTGCCGCTCCCTGCTCTATTTATATATATAGAGCTATCTAGAGCGGCACGCGCGTGTATTAGTGTTTGTATACGGTCAACGGTTTGCCAATAATTTAATTTTTGCGCAAAAGCGTCCCGATAAAACACCGACCTACATTCGGCTGGAATTGAAAAAAGAGGATACCTGCTAAACGTGATTCCGCGGTGGTGTCAGATGTTTTTTTTTAAACAGGGCCAAATTTCATTAAAAAATTTACCACCTATCCTTTCAGGCGATTTTTCTAAAATTACCCGCCATCGTTAACTGTCGTATAGTATGTCTCAAAGTATACCGTCTTGGTTTCTGCGGATGTGACGTTTAAATATTATAATAAGTTTGTTGCCGAAACAGCTGTTAAAAAGCATCAAAAACTGTCAAAATCTGAACATTTTTTGTTTTAATTGAATTTGTCCCATTAAGATGATTTGGTCTCAGTTGAAATCGCATATAAGAATAAATAACACTGCACCAAAATTTAGTGATAGTACCATAAAAGTAATTCGGCAAGAGGTACCCAAAATATCAGTACAAAGTTGGTCTAAATGTGAAAAACGAAGGATTTTTTAAGTGATACTTTATTATAATTATATTTAATATTTTGTATATTAATAATGATACTATGGAGAAATGTAATGTTTCAAGAATTGCTCGGGGTAAAAGATTGAAAACATACTTATATCCCTGTTGTTAGTGTAGTAAGATAAATTCCTAGAACGGTCCTGGGATGGTCACGGGTAATAAACATTATTCAAAGTTAATCACGCGGTCGGTTGGAAAAGCACTATATTTCTGGTGGAAGTATACCAACTGTCTCTGCTTCACGTTTTGTAGAAAAACCTTTGAGTTTAGATTTCACGAAAGCGCTGGAAATTTTTGCAATACATGTCGGAATTTTTGACTTAAGTCAGAAACACGTCGGAATTTCTGACTTAGGTCAAAATTTCTGAAGAACATAGCAGAATTTTTGAGAAACAAGTCACAACAATTTTTTGTTGTTAATATACTTTACATCGAAATTTAACTTGATATAGTTTTGATTTTATTATTTTTTAGATTTTTTGATATTTGATTAATTTTTTTTTCATTTTTTGTTTTGTAAGAATTTTTTGAAAATGGTTATTATCCAGCGACGTGCGTCATCCAATCCAAAAATTTGAAGTATTCCCTAATAATCCCGACGCTTCAGCAGATTCCGATCGCAGCCGGACTTTTACACACACCCACACACACGCTCGCGCACAAAAGAAACTTTCAGCCTGTCCCGAAACTGGCGCGGATGTAAAGGGAAATTTCAGTTTGGAGCGGGGGCGGTTGCATTTTTTTTTTTCGCCCCACCCTCCCTTCCCCCAGGTTACAACAAAGGTATTGTTTTAACGCCGCTCGCCGCCCATATCTGACGCCGTTTTGTTAGATGAATCGTCGGTAGTTTCGGAATCGCGTGCCTCTGACTCTGTGTATGTGTGTGTGTGTAGAAGCTTCGTGTTTTGTTACTATCATTTCGGGAAAATGCTCGAAGTTTACGTGGACTTTTCGGCAAAAAAATTAAAAATATTCGTTTTCCAAAGAAAAATTTCAATTTCTAAAATTTGTTGGATCATTTATTTTTCTAAAATGTTCGTTCCGTTCATTCGTTCGTTACTAAAAACATTTTGGAAAACATTTAAAAAAATATGCTTTTTGATAGTTAAAACAAGTATATAAAAAAATTTTCATTTAATAGCAATTTTCGAAAAATGTATTTTTCCGTATTTCTTAAAAAGATTCTAGCACCAAATTTTCTCAAAATAAATCCTGACAAATTTTGTTTTTTTCAGTTTGCTACTTTCAATAAAATTTCCCCGGATATTTTTAGTAAAATTAAATTAACCAAAACTAACGAAAAAGATTTTGTCCAAAGTTTTCGTTCGTTTCTGATATTTTTACCAAAAACAATTTTCGAAAATGTTTTTTTTTAACATTTAACATAACGTTTTTTTAAAAACATGTTTTTAGATAATTTAGACAAATGTGTTAAATCTTTTAAATGCATTAATTTTTTAAAGTGTTTTTTTTTCCTAAACATTCAATAACAATGTCCGAAAATATTTTTTTAAAATTTCTAAAAAAAGTTTCGGAACCACATTTTTTTCAAAATAAATCTGAAGGTTTTTTTTTCATTTTTTTAACCACAGATTGTGCATAAGGAAAAAATAAAAAAGAGAATCTTTTAAAACTGTACATTTTTTCCCAAAATTTTTGGGCATTTATTTTTTGGCGTTAAAAAAAATCTTTATAGCTAGTTCAATAAAATGTATCAAACAATTTTTCAAAGAAACTTCCAACTGTTTCTGACCAGTTTCAGTCAAGCTCTGAAGAAGCCAACAGGATAATTCGCGAAACGTCAGCAATTTCGACTAAGCAAAAACCGACGCTGGAGGAATCCAGAAGTTTTGTAAAAAAAAAATGTATCAAACAATGTTTTCCTAAAATTATAAAAATAATTACAATAAATCTTTTTCCTAAAATTATTTTAAATATATGAAGTGATTAATTTTTCTAAATATTTAATAGAAAAATCCAATAACGTCTCAATTTCTAAAAAAAAATGAATTAAAAAAAAACTAAAAGAAATGTTTTCCATTTTTTTATATTTAATAAAATGTTTCTCGATATTTTTTGGGAATATATCTCAATCATTTGTTCATAAAAAAAATAAAAAAGAGTAATTTTTTCCCAAAATTTTTGGGCATTTATTTTTTAGCGCTAAAAAAAATAAATGTTTATAGCTAGTTCAAACAAATGTATCAAACAATGTTTTCCTAAAATTATAAAAATAATTTCAATAATTCTTTTTCCTAATTTTTTTTGAATATATGAATTTTTCTAAATGATTCATTTTTCTAAACATTCAATAGAAATACCCAAAAACATTTTTTTCAAAAAAAAAATCTGAAAGAAATGTTTTCTATTTTTTTATTTTTCATAAAATGTTTCTTGATATTTTTTATGAATTTATACAATTACTTGTCCAATTAAAAAGGAGTATTTTTGTCAGCTATATTTTTCCCCCATTTTTTTTTTGTTTTCATTTGTTTTTCTAAAATGTTCATTCCTTATGTTCATTTTGTATTATTTTTTCCTAAATTTATAAAAACTTTTTCCAAGACCGATTTTTACCATTTTTTTTTTTAATGTTTTTGGATAGTCAAAACAAACGTTAAAAGGAAATGTTTCTCCAGAATTGTAAATAAAATTCCAATATTTTTTCTTCCTAATTTTTTTAGTACATATTTTTTTGTTTTTTTAGACACTAAACAGAAAATTTAATTTTTTTTTCTCCAAAAACCATTTTTTTCATTTTTTAATTTTAATATGAATCAAAACAAATTGTCTGAGATTTTTTTCTTTTAACTAAATTTTTTTCACAATTCTCTTCTTGTGCGCATTTGTTTTTTCTTTTTTTGCCACAACAAACATTCAACAAAAATTTTTTGATTTTGATTAAGTTAATCAAAATAATTTTTTTTAATGTTTCCGTAATTTCAATATATTTTTTTAAATTTTATCCTTAAACATTCAATGGAAACTTCAAAAAATGGATTTTCCCAATCGAAATTTGGTATCAAACCAATATCCACCAAAAAAAATTTTTTTTGCTTATTTCTTTTCCCAAAGCAAATTTTTATATACATTTACTAATCTATTTTTCTGCATGATATTAAAATTAAAGACTAACCAAAACAGTTTTAAATATAAAAAATATATATTTTTAAATATCAATTGTATTTTCCCTAAAATTTTTTGGATACCTCTGTTTTTATAATTTTGTTTTTTTTTGCATTTGAAATTTACCATCAATATTTATAAAACCAACTTTTTCAAAAAACTATATTGTTTTGCAGATGAATTCGCCGCGATGTAACACGCCCGCCCTCTGGGTTCGGCTCTCATCGGCAACGGTCGTCGCGTCAGGACCGGCAGCGATGCCGGCGTCGCGCCGGAAGTGAGCCGGGGCGTCGCGACGCTCGGCCGGAAATAACGACGAGACGCGGTACGATGTCCCGCGATGAGATCCAGCACATCCGCGATAGGTTGTTGTTCCTGGCCGAGACGTCGGCGTCGGCGTCGTCGGGGGGGCAGCGGAGGCCGCCCCTGTCAAACGTCAAACGGAAATCGGGTTCGATGCTGTCGAGGCAGACGTCGAAAACTGCGGGCGGCCCCGCCCCCGGCAAGCTCAGCGTCCAAGATTTTGTGCGCATGGATCCCGGGTAAGATAGGCAAAACATTCTTCCCCCTTCTGATTTATTTTTTCGTATCTCCCCCCGTATATCCAGCCTCGACCTCTGAAGCTTCATCCTAGTTCTCAGCGATACATCCCGACCATGCTAAGTAGGTATTGCGTCGCTCAGGCCAGGTCGGTACATTTGAACTACTCTTCCCATATCTCTATTAACCTGTTTTCTACCTGCATATACCTCATATACCTTTCCTCTATCTTCGTATATCTCAATAATTTCAATAATCTCTCCTATAATTCCACATACCTTTTTTCCACCTACATGTACCTCTTTTATACTTTTCTTCTACCTCTGTATACCTCTGTATACGTTCACATACCTCTCAAATACCTCGATATCTCCACATACCACCTTTCTACCTTCATATACCTGTTTTATACCACATACCTTTCCTCTACCTCCGTATACCTCTCCTGTATCTTCATATACCTCTCCTATACCTCCATACATACTACTATAAAAGGATATATGTGGAAGTATATGTCAGGCATACGGGTAGTTTAAATGTCTAGCCCGAGCTACGCAATATCTTAAACAATGACGGGTGTTTCGATTAGGAATATCATTTCCTCTGCAAAGTTTATCAAACAAGTACGGTGGCGTCTTATTGTAGTTTTGTAAAAAAGCAAAAGTGGCGAACTCAACTTTATATCGGTCCTCCAGCTCGAGCCAACCCGAATCAGAGAGGCACTGGGAAATATGGTCATACTCTCCGAACGAATACAAGCATTCTCAAGTCGTTGGAGTCTCTCCTTATCTCGATTAAGTATAGCTGGCCAATAGACAGTTCTGCAATAAGCGACATCGGATAAAACTAACATAGCATAGAGTTGAAGTTTGACTTCTTTACTGAGAAAATGTTTATGAATATACAATGTCCTCAACTTGTAGAAAAAATTTTCTAACACCATACCAACATGTTTAGAAAACCGCAAGTCACCGTCAAACCATAATCATAAATTTTTACACCCATCTTAAGAAGGAGAGACAATCTCATCATTTAGTGTAATCTCAAAAGAGGCGTTTTTTACAATTTCTTTGACCAATGACGTCTGTAGCTTTAGAACTCCTCTACTGAGTGTGACTTTTCTTGACTAGATACCCTTTTACCTTGAGTATTCGTTGTGGTAGATCACTAAACAGTTTTTCCGCATGATACCTCGAACCATCTTGATATGTCGATATGTCGATGTCTAAGGATGGCGAATATCCTGTTGCTGATAAGTAATAAGTTTTAAGTAAGATAGTAAATATATTCACAATTCCTAATCAAGACTGACGGAATTCCGTCAGGTTCATGACAAAATCCATTTTGAAGGTTCAAGCATCAATCGGTAATTGGAATTATAATTAGGTACCGCGGCTTTGCCTTCTTCTGGGTAGTAAAATATATTTTCGAAAAATCGCCACCACCAAAATTCGATATAATGATAGGAACCTGGAAAAATTGCTTTAAAAATATGGAATAAGATACCTGGTCATACTGGATCTTTTGGTGGAACAAAATATGGACAGCTAGCAGCAAGGTAACAAAGGATACATTAAGAACATTATTCAACAAATCACAATTTCATTATTTAGTCATACCGAGTAACATCTCCAGTTTAACGTGGTATGTTGAAATGGTGTGTTAGCTATTCTCTGCTTGATAGGTTCTCGTTTCATTTGGTGCTCACTTATGTATCTGTTTTATGAACCAGTTTCTTAGTGAGTTGGGTTTGACAGAAGCTCCTTTGTATTCCTGATTTACTGTTCGCCATTTTATGTGCTAACTTACTAGATATTACGTACCGAGAGCATTAAGAGCGTTAATTCAAAATGAAGCTATTGTTATTAACTATGCGTACGAGACTAGGAGAACTACATCGCAGTCAATACTGAATTTGCATTTGCTTGTATTGCCGGTAAATGGACCAGCATATTTCAAAGCGTATTGAAACTTTTATGAGCACGTTGTTAGGAGGAAGTCTATGAACCGAATCATTACCGTAATGGATTCGGCAAACAATTCGCAAAAATGGCGGCGTATCTGACGGCGACAGCGTCGATAGGCGAACGAAATCGCATTTTCTCCGTAGGCACAATGACGTCGTTTAAACTCCGCAAAATTTTTCGACAAACGGCTGACAGTAATATTGTCCCGATATATTCAATTTTATTAAAGGTTGTGGCAGACGTAGGCGCCATTATTGTGCTGAAACGTATTTTCACAATAATGGTAAGCCGTAGGGACCATGATATTGATTTTAAATAATCTGATTAGCTTGAATAAGCAGATACTGGAAATACACAAGAATATTTCAATCATAATCACTTAAAGTGAAAATTCAAGCCATGCTTGCAACGTACTGCTGTCTAATTATGAACCTACAGAAGCATGGAAAAGTCAGGCAAACCCAGTACGTTATCGTAGTAAAAGAGTTCAGACAGTACCAAAAAAGAGCACATAAAGTGTTTCAACGCTAAGATTGAAAAGTGTGCTTGGTTTGATATTGTGGATATATGGCCATTGCAGAAAACCAGTTTGTTTCGTACGCAGACGTCCATAAAGAAAATGTAGGTTTTGTTGCTTTGCGAATGAAAAAACGTATACATAATAATCGTTCATAAAGAAATATTTAAATTTTAATAGCAAAAATGGTTTTATTTCGAATATAAAGAACTTATATAAGCATTTATGAGTCTTTCGGAATTTCTCAAAAAATCAATACTAAACTTATTGTTATTTTGCAACTTAAACAGAGGAAGACATGGAAAATGATAATTAATATCTAGTAGACACTTCACCGAATATCTATAGTTCAAGTGGTACTGATTCAGATAAGAAATCACCTGAAATTGGTGACATCGCTCTAGCGGTTCCGCCAAATCAAAATTTATTAAATGTTTACCTAATTTTTTGCCGTAATGTCTCAGAACCGTCACAGTTATCTACTTGTCAAAAAGAAATCAGTTATTAAATAACCTACGCAATACCTTTTACTTCGTGCTGTGGGTTACCTGCCCCGTTATCCGTTGATAACAGTTTTCGTAATTTTGCTGGGGTGGTGTCACAGTGATCTACTTCTCTGAAATTAATTCTAGCTTCTACCTATACCTTCCAAAATGCATATCGGAAGCTCGCGTGCGGTTATGAAAGGTATGGTCTGTTCCTAGATATAAGAAAGTGACCAATTGCTTTTGAATGGGATTATCCAAGGCTGGTCATTAACACGCAATGCAACAAGATTATTGCCTAAAGTTTCGGACTTTGAATTCAGGTAAAATTGTGGTCATCGTCACAGTTATCTACTTCTCTTAAAATAATGCTAGCTTCTATTTTGAATACCTTGCAAAATGCATTTCGGAAGCTCGCGTGCGGTTAGAAAGATAAAGGAGGGAATGCCTCCTAGCCTCCTGGTGCGTGTCACCTGCCCCGTTATCCGTTAATAACTGTTTTTGTAGTTTTGCTCTTGTAGTATCCAAAATGAGTATAGGAAGCTCACCTGCCTTTATTAAATACACCTACGGAATACCTTTTAGCTTCCTCGAGCGTTACAATTAGCTACTTTTTGTTTCCCTTGATAGGTATACCCCCGACATCGAACATCTGGTGTTTCCGAAAAGACGCAGTCCGCAGCAGGTGGCACCAGCGGGCCCTGCGGCCGCCTCCGCGCAGCAAACCGCGTCGGGGGTGGCAAGGGCCAGGTCCCGATTGGCCGAAATGTTCGCCCTCAGCAAGCACCTCCATCAGAAGTCTACGGAAAGGCAGGGTAGCAGAATGGGCCCCATAAATGTAAGTACAACCTCGTCCAGCCTCAGTATTGTAACGCGAAACTTTTTAACATTTTAATATTGCAATTTATTTGGAAGGTTGTTGTCTCTACGGGATCCGGTGATCGATTAAACTTATTCCGGTTAACTGGCGAAAGAAAAACTTAGCGTCCCCGGTGTTTACATCCGAACTACATTAAACTGGGGCACTTGCAAGTGGCGCCCCGCCCCGACGGATCGTGAAACTTTACCGCGGAAGATCGAGTTGTAATCGAAAAGTTAAACTTCGGTCCCGTACGGGACGCGTATGAAAAGCAAACCGAATTATGATCCTACGTCAATATTAAACTTGGCCTTTCGGTTTTCATTTGTCAGAGAGCTCGACAAAGGTCGCGAGGTTATTATTAGACTCGATTTCTGGCCGGCTTCGAAATGGCTGCTCTATTTGATTCGGCAAATTGAAAAATACGACGGTAAGGTCGAACGACGCAGCACGAAACAGTTGCAAATAAAATCAAATTATATCAATTTTCGGTACACTTGGCAACGTCGCGTTGCGAATCTACGCGTCGCTCGGAATGGGGTACCGAATGTAAAGTTCGATTAAGAAAATTGAAAAATACGATGGTTTGATAGCCTTCGGACGATTTCAGACGAAGGGTACACTTCAACAACGTCGGGTTGCGAATGTACGCCCTGCTCGACGCTGTACACTCGTTGCGCGGATTCGAACAGCGAATGTAAAGTTTTATTCATGAAATTGAAAAATATGACAGCAAGGTCGTCTTCGGGCTACATCACACGAAACAATTATATAATTATGTAATTATGTAAATTTTTGGTACACTTGGCAACGTCGCGTTGCGAATATACGCGTCGCGCGGAATGGAGTACCGAATGTAAACTTCGAATAAGAAAATTGAAAAAATACGATGGTTTGGTCTTCTTCGGACGATATCAGACGAAGGAATTCCTAAGAGATCCAAATTATATAAGCTTTCAATACACTCCAACAACGTCGGGTTGCGAATGTACGCGCTGCTCGGTGCTGTACACTCGTTGCGGAAAGTCTTCTTCGGACTACATAACACTATGCGAATACCAATAGAATTAAATTATGTAAATTTTCGGTACAGTTGGTAACGTCGCGTTGCGAATGTACTCTCCGTTCGACGCTGTACCCTCGCTGCGCGGACAGCGAATGGGTAGTTGGAAGCATCAAACAATCAAGTTTCTTCCGTAATCGGTTTTATTGCGACGACACAGTTTTGATCGTCTCGTCTCGTATTAGACCGAAAGGGACCTAAAAAATAAGGGACGTGTGTGAGAAGACTCAAGTAGTAACATAGGCAGGAAACCGGTAAAAGGAATGAAAGGACCACGTAGATAACATGACCAATGATCGGTTAGTTAAGATTTCAAAAGAGGAAAAATATACACTTGGACCACCTGGTACCTTCAACATCCCGACTGCTTCTGGGAAAGCATTGAGAGAAACGCATGAAGCAGTGATAATGAAAAAAAAAAAGAATTTCGGTATTTCTTAAAATAATTATTTCTGTCGGTGTTCCCGCATCATAAGACTTTCGAATACGTTCGTTTGCTATGCGACGCACATAAAACGCCACATAGGAGGAGTGGCAATGGGGCGGGGTAGGGGGAACTCGCAATTTTTTCTTTGCCACGTCGACAATCCCCCTGCCCTAGAAATTAATTTCGTTTTCACCTGACGCCGCCCCCACCTGGGGAGCACTTTTAATCCGTACGTATTCATCGGAACGTATTTGATTCAATTTTCGATGGTAGAGCCCGCGACAAAGGGCCTTTTCGCGAAAAGCAACAGATGGGGGATTTACTTCGTTATGTTATTGATTTTTTTTGTTGCGACAGCGAATGGGGGGCGCGCTTCGAGAAATACAAGTGTGTGTGTGTGTATATCGGATGAGAGTTTCGCCCTTTTGGATTTGTGTATTTGCATTTAGCACGAGCGTTTCCGCTCCGCGGGCCCTATACAGAGCGTCGCGCGTTTAAATCGGTTATACGGGGGGTCAAAGTTTACTTGTTCGTTTATTAATTTCTTTATGTATTAGCGGGAAAAGAGAATTATTGAAAATAGCTAAAGAGACGGAGTCGCTATGGGGAACGCCATTAGCCCAGTTCTTGCCAATTTTTATATGGGAAGCTTCGAAGAAACGGCACCAAGAACTGTCAAAAAACGACCTAGCCATTGGCTACGGCACGTCGACGACACGTTTGTCATATGGAGCCACGGTCGGGAAGAATTAGAGAACTTCCTCGGGCATCTGAACAGTATACATCCAAAAATCAAATTTACTATCGGAATGGAACAGGATCGACAACTCCCATCTAACCACCATCCAAAACAAAAGAGAGGAGTTATTAAAACACTAGTCGACAGGGAAACTAGAATATCCGATCCACAATATCTGCCAGAGGAAATAGGACATTTATAGAGAGTGTTTCAAGCAAATGGCTACAAAACCAACGAAATACAACGGGCCATAAGACCGAAGAAACAAAATAGACGGGAGCCTAACAAAGAAACGCCTCCGGACGGTTTGGTTTTCCTCCCATCGGAGGAGTAACGGACCGGATCGGCAAAATAATGGAGAGACATAACATAAACCCAATTTTTAAACCCACAGGACTAATACAACATTACTTAAGATCCCCGAAAACCGCTGTCTTCGGCAGGGGTATACAGAATTCCATGTTCATGCGGACACGTGTATATTGGAACAACAAAATGCACCATATCTACGCGCTTGACTGAACACAAAAGATCCTGTCGCTTGGGACAAATAGAAAAATCAGCGGTGGTAGAACACGTGTTTACTAATGGCGATCACAACATCAAATTCGACAACACCGAAGTTCTGCCTACAGGGAAACATTACCACGCAAGACTACATCGAGAAGCAATTGAAATACACAAACACAAAAACAGTTTCAACAAACGTGAAGAGGGGTTACAATTAAACAAAATATGGCATAACGTCTTGCAAAAAACGCAAACAAAACCTTATATTAACAACACGGAGGGGGGCCCGGACGCTCAAACGACCGTTCAGTCCGCCATCCGTCCGAGCGGTTCGAAAAAGGTACGACTTCGACAACCGGCAACAGTACCGATATAGTCGTCGCGCTACAATCTACGTTCCACTGAAGATGGCTGCCGCAGTAATAGCTGAAAGCTTTGGTAGCAAAACCAATGGACCACGGCCTAATAGCCCGAAAAATCCCACAGATAATTTAAAGTGCGCTCAAAAGATGTACGACTCGCCTTAAGAGAAAATGCGTGGTGGGATTTCAGTGGAACTGAATTTGTTTGACCACCACACCCTCTGAACTTTTTAATACTTCCCATACTTGAAAGAGTTGATATCTGATATATACGAAGAAGTCATTTCTTTAAAAAAAATGTTGCCGAAAAACACAAGAAGAAATAATAGAGTTTTGTATTTAATTTATTACTATTACCACAAAAAAACAGAAAAAATTGTATTTGATATTTTTAAATGAAAATATGTCAAAAACCGGCAACAAGTTAAACGGCCTAAACAAGTACCTTGTCTTTGAATAATTGAGAATTCCTTCAGAAAAATATGATTTCATTTATTTTTTCAATTAATGAGAAAATTCAGAATAATGAGACATGTTGAGCTTAATGCCTCCAGTGTAGATATTGATTATTCTTTAAGCATCACCCTGTAAATGGCCAAAACAACTAGCTGATCCGGTTGCTTTGACTCCGGGATATGAAGTGTAATTTTATCAAGCTTTTCCGAGGAGAATAATATCAAAGGTTTCTCTTCCAACGACGTAGAAGCATAGTAGAGTGGCACAGTTGCAATTAAATAGTTTATGCTCGATCAACTGACAGTATAAGAGGTATTCTTACCTTTCTTCGATAGATATTTTGAAGTAAATAAAATTAAAAAAAAAATTATATCGTATTTTTCCGAATATTGGTGCTGAATAAATGCGTAACAAAAAAAATACCGATTTAATACTTACTGACAATGTAATAACTCAATTAAATCTCTTAATGCCAATGTCAAATCGTATTACTTTAATACTATTTATTTTATTTTATTTATTAATATTCATTTTGAAGGAAATTACGACTCTTTTTTGAAAACTAAAACCAGGTGGATTTTGTTGACTCGCCGAACCAAGTCCGCCATATTTAATAATGACATTCATATACCACGATTAAGTATTGACAAGTATTGAGTTAAAAGTCACCCGACGCGACGATTCAAATTTTTCCGCCGAAAGAAAACGTTGGCGGCTCAACCATCGAATAGCAATGGCGGTCACGTCTCTTGTATATCGTTATCCTAGCCTGCCTCGATTCCCGATATATACTGTCTGGGATTTCGCGTCAAGTAGGTGCTCGTTAAAACAAAGACTTCGAAAGAATGTTAAAACGCCGGAATATACAGGGTGTTCCACTGGAACATTCTTCGATCTCTTATGAGAAAACTAAAATTGGCAAAAGATGGTTTCTGAGATATTTAACTTTTTATGGCTCCAATGACGTTTATCAACAATTTTAATTGGAAATTAATAATACGGGATGTTAAAAAACAATTAAAATAGAATAAATAAAATAATTGAACTGAGGTGGCTTTTACTTGATCAAAATCCATTTAACAAAATAATTAAGAACTAAAAGTTCAGATTTTCACTAAATTATATATTTTTACATAACAATATTTACAAACTAACTGCTGCTATATATACCGAAAAATTACCATAAAACCTTAATTAATGTTGTGAGAATTTAAGTTCAATAAAGGAGAGGTATTTAAATCTAATTGATCGTTAAGCAATACATTTGAATGTCTCATTTTGTTAATCTCCATGGCTTCCAATACATTTAATTTGTTACTTTTTGTGGCTGTATGTAAAATATCAAAATTGTCGTCAAAAATGTGGACAGGATCTGCCTATTTGTCCAATATAAATTTTAGGACAAGATCCGCATTTCAACCT